TAAGTATCTCAATGTGAGACATTTGAATTACTCTTGGTCGTGAACAATAGCTTGCTGGTAGTTTTGTTCCTTGAGAAAAACATTTCTGTAGGTTTACTGCACTGGATTCATCCAACATAAACATGTCTTCTTCACATTGCATGTCACTAAAAAACAAATACCAACACTGCTTTATGCAGCTGGAATTAGTATAACTGTTAACAGGTTACACCAATACTAACAGCAAGAAATAGGCATAGGAAACGTACACCTGGTCCCTGGTCATAATACACAACATAAAATAATAATTCAACAACATTTGTAATGAGGTATTAGGTCTAATAAACATTGTATTTCATAAAAATATACACATACTATATTCAGTTGTCATGATTTGCACAAGTCGTATGACCATCACAGGTAACATCATATTAGTGCAACAAACAATTATTGGACTAAAGATATGTCGTCACCTGACACTTTGTCAATATTCCCGTTACACATCGGACAGACCATACCCGTCGGAGTTCCTGATATATGTCCAAGAAGGAAACAGTAACATGGAAGGCTTTCACTGTTCAGTGTAAACAGAAAACATGTTTAACCGATTATAACTTGAATGTTAGGCATTGCAATAGACTATACAGAGTTGTGTCCCAAGAATCCATGAATGATGGATTTCAGTGCATTCACCATACACGTTTCATGAACATCAGAGACCTGCGTCTTGATTGGATGTGTGACACCGTTCCAAGTGTTCCCACATCAGTCACCTTCTTTTTGTATCATATTTTAGTGTGGAAAAGCATCTTTGCAACTTGGACATTAATCTATCATATTTATGAACTTTATCTTAAATTTTGAAAGACAGTGTCAAGTTTCTTTTTTTGAAGAGTATATATTCATGAAACTTTGTACACACATCAGGCATACACTGAAATGGAGCCTTGTACTATTTGGGAATTATTCTTTGGCATTTCCATGGCAACAAGTTGGATTTCAAACAAGGGTAGGGATCATTTTCAGAGAATAACTTTTTTTTGTATAATGCAAAGGCTGAACTGATGGGTTTTGCCTGTCAGGTGTCTTTTTTATAGATGTTACGTTAACAAGTTGAACAAAGGTTTAAATGAGGGTTTCATTTTGCGGTTTAGTCATCTGTCATAATGATGGTTGTATTCAGAATACATTGTTTGATTTATGCACATACCAGAAAGAGCAGGGGATATTGATGACTTTATCTTCTTGTTCAGTTTACATCCGATAGTCGATTGTATACAATAACCATATGGAATGGCACAATGGGGCTTCATTCACACGTAAAATAAATCAAAGATTTATGTTTAATATTATAGGTCTACTGACATGACATGATTAAATATCAAGCTATGAAACACAGAAATAGGATCCAAATCAATCTGAGTCCACATCCAAACATTCTAAAACCCTAAAATGCTTTCCCTGCTGGGATACTTTTTTTTATTAAACAATAACCATCAGGGGTATTTCCAAATAACGACATCCGATGAGCTTCCACCGTTCTATTTGTCTGATTTTTAGATGAAATTAATTTATTGTATTTTAATCAATTGTAATATTAAAATCTTCATAAATCACAGGTAACCAATCAGTGTTCATGCATACAGATATTTCCTCAAAGTCTATTTACACTGTCCTTACAGACAGGAACCCATTATTTTTTTGTCAAGCTCAGTTGCGTTAGTGAGCAAATCACCTCATGGCAGCTCATGTGGGCAGTGTTAGACAGCCGGGAAGACGCTAGGGACTAGTGCCCCTTTAAGGAATATTTCAAATAAACAAATAAATGGTTCAAAGAATATTAGTAAATATTAGTCTTCTAATTCTAAATAAAAAATATTCTTCTATATAATTTATAAAATTATTCATCAGCCAACATGGCCAAAAAATGATAATCATCATACATTTTTAACTGATCTTTTATCAAGCATACATAATTATACATTTAAAAAATGCCATTCATTAAGGAACTGTATTATAAATATGATCAATCCTCTATGAAGAATACACATATATCAATTTAAGAAACAGATTAACAAATTCAAATTAAAACAAATGTGCTTCTCTATGAAGCACCTTTATAAACACTCAGAAGCAAAAGAAACTATACCTCCTAGTTAATTACATCATATGGTTGATTTTCAACAGAAAATATCTTACGTTAACAATATTATATTCCAAAACTGAACTGTATTGGTGCTTAGTCAGGACTCAACGATAGTTCTACATGGTTTTATTTTTTAAAACAAAGTTTGAATAAAAATTCCAAAAAAGGTCATATGGTTGCAAATTCATTTCTTACAGCAGTCTTCAAAGAACCAAGTTATTTTTAAACAAAATTACCCAGCCAGATTACTTTTTACAAACTGTTGCGGGAATGAGTGATGGTGAAATAGACATAATCAGATATGACAGTTCTTTCAATTAATTACATCAAAAACAAATGTGGTATACTTCCTTTTGCCCCTCAGTGTAGCTGTGCAATGTTCAGTGATGCTTACACAAGTACTTCATGAGGTTACACTGGGGTGAAGACAGTCAGTCTCAAAGTCCCTGAACCATATCATTTTTACTTCCGCCCACTCCCAACTGTAATGTTATAGTCCAAATTGAAGCAAGTCTAGATTTTCCACAGGTTCGGAATCTGCCATGTCACTGTGTCTCCTGTTCAGTTTAAATGGAGTTATTTGTTTCAATCAAAATATTTTCAGAGATTAAGCATAGTCTAGTGTGAAGATGCATGATGTGGTCAGATAATACTGTGGGTTGTGGTCAAGTCACTACTTTTAAAGCTCACTTTCCAGTCTCATTGTTTTAATCCTTGTCGTACTGGCCGGTACACCTGTCCTTTACACTTCTTTTCAGTCGGCTTATCCCAAACACATCATTTAAAGGCTTCTTGCTTGTTTCTCTGCGCATTCTGAACGAACCGCGATCTCCAAGGAAGATCTTGGAGCTTCAAAAGATTGGGCTCTCAAATTCTAAGGTTTAGATGTATAAATATAATACAACTATATTTTTCTCATGTTGCCATCTTAGATTATTTACCATAGCGATTTCTGCCAATTCCAGATGCGAACTAAACTTAAAATTAACAGAACGTACATTAATTTCTGCTTGGTTTGTAAACCTTGTCAAATCATCATAAATTTGGAATTTTTTAAATATTTTACATGTTTTTTTGGGGGGTGATCATTTCAATTATTTTGTCTGCTGACTGGTCAACATCCAATGGAAAGGTCCCATTGAGAAACGGTAGGTGTATTGGCCAATACACCACAACAACTATTTCTTACATAAACCACACAGAAACAACGTAAGCAGTTGATATACACAATATACAACAGGCTATACAGGAGACACACCAAGTGACCTCAATCCCAGTAACAAACCTGCACAAGGACATAATAAAGTAATTACTCGATTTTCATCCTTACCCACCTCACTACATGCATCAAATCAAATTATTGGTCTCCCCCTCCCCAACTGAGTGCCCCCAAGGTATTTACAATTTAGATTCTCTAAACATAACAGACAGTGAAATAAAACATGCAAGAAGAAGCCAAGACACAAATGAGGTCTCACTATGGTAATACTGTTGTGTTGAACATGAATGTTCTGCAGAAACATAAGATTGCAAAGTGTTTCAAATGTAGAAACATACATAATGAAGATAACAAAGATTTAAAACAATGTACAGTACCAGGTACCTATAAAAACAGAACTATGAAGACAACAATCCTATAGCAAAATATAATTAGCTTTGATTTCATGGTTATAGGTTATGTATGGTTATATCAATATATCTTTATGCACTGTGCATGTTGTCAACAATCTTCAGTAGGAGTGAGAATTTATGGAGGATAACTTCTTTATTATGAGGAACACAACATTTTGGAGTATTTGATTCATCCTTCATCAGGTGATTTTACCTTGTCTTCACCTGATGAGGGAGCAAGCATATACTCCTTGATTTTACCTTGTCTTCACCTGGTGAGGGAGCAAGCATATACTCCTTGATTTTACCTTGTATTCACCTGATGAGGGAGTAAGGATATACTCCTTGATTTTACCTTGTCTTCACCTGATGAAGGAGCAAGCATATACTCCTTTATTTTACCTTGTATTCACCTGATGAAGGAGCAAGCATATACTCCTTGATTTTACCTTGTATTCACCTGATGAGGGAGTAAGCATATGCTCTGAAAAGTTTGTTCCTCATAATAAAGAAGTTAACGTCCAAAAGTTCTCTCCCCTGTGTATCTTCAGTAGATAAAAAATATATGTACAAATAACTTGACACTTCCTCCTGCCAAAACCTTTACAACCTCAGAATTATTCTATTTATACACCTTTACAAAGAGAACTATTCTTTGAACCCACTTTACATCCTGAGAACTATTCTTAAAACCCACTTTACAACCCGAGAACTATTTCTAAATACCCTTTACAACCCGAGAACTATTCCTAAAAAAACCTTTACAACCCGAGAGCTATTCCTAAAAAAAACTTTACATCCTGAGAACTATTCCTAAACCCACTTTACAACCTGAGAACTATTCCTAAAAAAAACCTTTACAACCAGAGAACTATTTTTGGAACCCACTTTACAACCCAAGAACTATTCCTAAAAAAAACCTTTACAACCAGAGAACTATTCCTAAAACCAACTTTACAACCTGAGAACTATTCGTAAAGCCCACTATAAACCCTGAGAACTATTCCTAAAGCCCATTTTAAACCCTGAGAGCTATTCCTAAAACCCATTTTACAACCAGAGAACTAATTTTGGAACCCACTTTACAACCTGAGAACTATTCCTAAAACCCCCTTTACAACCCAAGAACTATTCCTAAAACCCACTTTACAACCTGAGAGCTATTCCTAAAACCCCCTTTACAACCCAAGAACTATTCCTAAAACCCACTTTACAACCTGAGAGCTATTCCTAAAACCCACTTTACAACCAGAGAACTAATTTAGGAACCCACTTTACAACCTGAGAACTTTTCCTAAAGCCCACTTTACAACCTGAGAACTATTCCTAAAACCCACTTTACAACCTGAGAACTATTCCTAAAACCCACTTTACAACCTGAGAACTATTCCTAAAACCCACTTTACGACCGAGACCTATTCTTGGAACCCACTTTACGACCTGAGAACTGAGGGTAGTTTGTGTCACAATAGGTCCCCCACCCTGCAACCAGAGTGTCGATGAATCGGAAGGTTGGCACGGTGACTTGGTTGATTGCATGTCATGGTACCTTGATGGTGTTTGATGGTGCTCATTATGTCAATCAGTGGATTTTCTGGTCCAGGTATGATTACTTACAGACCGTTGTCATATAGCTGGAATATCGCTGAGTGTGACATTAAACAAGAAACAATTTGAGAACTATTCTTGACACAAACATTTACAAACTGAGAACTATTCTTGCAACATATTTTACAAACTGAGATGTCTTGACAAACGCTTTACACAAATGCAGATGAAAACTTAAACAGGAATGAATGCTGACCTATACTTGTAAGAAAAGTTAAGGATCTCCTGATTCTTTTATATCACTATTGTTAATCTATCACAGCATGACAGATTACATATAGTAATATAACGAATCGGGTTGTCCTTAACTTCTTTGGAGTTGTATATATTGTCATCACATCAATGTCATTCATTAACACAGAAGGAAGTAATAAATACAGTCAAATCCAACAGAAACAACACATGTGTAAAGGAGTCTTTGTTCCAGGGAAAATATATTATCTGATTGGAAGACTACATATTCGTGAAGCCCCTGTACATCCACTGGGAAGGAGTTTAAATAGCCGGTTTCTGGATGCCAGTCACTTCCTTCCCAAGGTGACCCTGGCAGTATGTCACATGATCCAGAGTTTCCATGATGTGCATTACTGCAAATCAAATATCTGATGTTTGTACAACAGCCCAGCTAATGATCTAAACATATTAATATTTCAGTTTCAGTGATCAATAACACACCTGACAGTACACACATTATAATGTATATCAGTTTACAATACAGCTCTATTTTTTGTCACAGGTGTTCATATTCATCAAGCCCCTGTTTTACCATAGAAATTGCACTTGCCCAGGTATTCTTTTGCACATGCAGAGGCAGAGATGCCAACACTAATGAAGCTTTTGCGTCATCAGTTGGGTAAAAGTGCGTAATTTCATGTGAAAGGAGTAATGTTAAGAGTACATGCCATGATCCTGGTTTTCACTTCGACATTTTCATAAGGCCTATATGTACGTGAAGCACGGATACACATGCATTGACGCTAGTAATGTAGCTGCACACTCAAGCTGCACTATCTTAAAAACAGGGTGATAAATCTCCCAATAAGCAGGAGAAATGACTCCGCTTGTGTTTGTATGGTTAAATATGACTAAACATCGAAATTGAATATCAATCCAAACATTGAAAATAGAAGTTCCATTACAGCATGCGACAACCTGATCAGTGACATACAGGAGGTTCAAGTTAGAAGGACATCGTAATGGCTATCTCCGAGTTGATACTCATTGTTTCACCAACTGTTTGATGTTTCTTTAGATGGACTATAAACTGGTGCTATCCATATGTTGGTTTCATCACATAATTGGGAGATAACATACTATGCTGTAAACAAACTGCTTGAGCATATAGAGCGCTATATTTTGTTTAAATGCTGTTGTCGGTGATTCAGTAATTTCTGATCAACAACCCACTCAAAACACTGGACTGTAATTTCTATCACCAAAGAGTTCGCATTTTATCTACTCATGGAGATAAACATACTGTGTGTTCACTGTGGAGCTAGATTACCTGTAGATTTAACCGCGGTAAATTGAATTTGAAACCAAACACGCAGCATGAGGTTACAAATGTTAAATTTAACTGCGTGTTCGGTTCCAAAGTCAATAAGACAGGTTAAATCTACAGGTTACCACAGTGGTGTCATGATTCATCCTTATTCACCCTAATATCTGATGATACGATACAAGATATGCCTCCTGTGTATCAATTTGAGTTTCTATGCAGTACCAATTTACAAAAACATTTTATCAAGTAAATGTTGCAATAGCCATGGCCTGATAACGACTTGAGCTAGCGTTGACGTAACGCCTATCATGAAACAAAATGCTACATCTGTTTGCACTAGACTATTATCACAACAAGCCAGTCACAGCCAGTCATGCGAGATATCACAAACTGGTTGATGGAAATTTTACGCAAAATAAACACAAATTAAACATAACAATGAGTATTGTATCGTGACCTAATTACAACAATATGTATTGATACGTGAGGTAATCATGTCATTACGTCCCCATGTGATAGCTCACCAACACTATCTATTCTCCCCTACAAGCAGTGTCATGTTAGAAGAGAACAAATACGCTGTTGCATGTCACGATGTTTTCAATCCACTGTCGCCATGTTCCAGGGTTTACATCAGAATCGCCCTCACTTCACTTACATCACAGCTTTTGGCACTTGTATAAGATGGGGGTACATACATTTATCCAATATGTGTAATAGTTATTTTACAAAAATATTATGTTTGTTACAAATGAACTTTTTATCTCCAACCTGAGAAGACAAATGATAAACTTGGATATATCAGACCAGTTCAATTTCTTGTGTAAAGATATTTTTTTGGTCAAAATGCAAGACCTTGGAGTCATTAAATGGGGTTCATTTTAAAAAAAGACACCATTTGGAGACAACAGTTTAAACAAGAAATACAAAGTTTTAGAAACCGGCATCACTTCGGGCTTTCCTCCCACATTAAGCTGACACGCCGCGATATAACTGGAATACTGTTAAAAGCGGTGTTAAACCCAACTCACTCACTCTCTAAGAGCATGGGCAAGAAAGTAAACTGGCGTGGAGGTGTACACCACCTTGAACCAACAATATGGTGAAGAGGACACAGGTGTCCCAGATGTCCATCCATACATGAAGTCTTCCTCACAAGCTGTTAGGAGGAACTGTTTCACAACATGAAACAAACAAACTAATACAACATGTGAGAACCATGACTGAAAAACCCATTCTACTTCGGATGATGAAACTAGTTTCAAGACAAAGGTGTAAAAATATGTGATAAATATATTTTGGGGATTAACATAGGTCTTAAAAATTGGTGTATATCTTCATCTGGAATTAAAAACCTTATAAACATTTGCAAAAATATAAGTTGGAATGATTCAATACCTATCCCAGATATACATTTGACACCTTCTACAATACAGATACATGTAGCTGATATCAAATGGCTGGAAGAACGTCTGACATGGAATGCAAGCAAGGCTTTAGGATTATTTCTCATGCACTGTCAACCAAGTTCCTGATGGTTGAGTACAGACTGATCACACTGCATGAAACGCCCATGATGATGATGATGATGTTCTTGGCCTTGATGTACCAGGGCATGCTGGGGCCGCACAACTTGTTGTAGAACAGACACGGCAAGATGTAGGCCAGCATCGAGCTTCCGATTGCACCTACACACATAATGCAACATGTTGGCGAAGAGTATACTGCACAGTGTTTTCTTCCATAAACTCTATATTCATTCTGTCACATTTACTTTGTAGCTTTAACCCAGTAACCCATGTTTATAGTTCTGTGTTTTCCTCAATCAATGCATCCCGTGACTAATCAATATTACCATACACCAGCTGGTGCTGTAAGATTTAAATGTATACTCACCACCAAACGAAGTGCGAATACCATACAGGCTGGTTAGTTTATGAAGAATTACCCTATACATAGATATTAGATTGGTTCGATGCACAAATGAACATACTGGTGTTGTGTGAACCAACGCTCATGACTGCAGCACATGTGATGTCACAGATCCATGACACGAGACACACAATTTGTCACGTGCAGGATTAGTGTGAAAAGTTTGGAAATCATGAACAAGAATAAAGACACTGTGTGGTAACACTTGACTGATTGTTCGTTTTGTCTTTTAGTGGTACACATTGGAAACATCTCTTCTTATCGTACATACTGCTCGCATTTCTTTTGGCGTTGAGCATATTAACATACTGCGATAATCACTGCATAATATAGTCATGAAAGGTGTGCACAATGCATGATGGTGAGGATTCATTTCCCTGCATACATTTCTCATGCATATGTTGATGGAATACAATGCACATGATCTAGATTGTCAGGTAAATCATTAAAGTAAGACAGATATGATTGGGGAAGATTGTAGGGATGGGGTTAGAGCAGGTAAGGTTTGGGGAGATTGGGGGATGGGGTTAGAGCAGGTAAGGTTTGGGGAGATAGGGGGATGGGGTTAGGGCAGGTAAGGTTTGGGGAGATTGGGGGGATGGGGTTAGACCAGGTAAGGTTTGGGGAGATAGGGGGATGGGGTTAGGGCAGGTAAGGTTTGGGGAGATAGGGGGATGGGGTTAGACCAGGTAAGGTTTGGGGAGAGAGGGGGATGGGGTTAGGGCAGGTAAGGTTTGGGGAGATTTGTGGAGGAGGTTGGACTAGGTAAGGTATGGAGAGATTGGGGATGAGTTTAGGGCAGGTAAGGTTTGGGGAGATTGGGGGGATGGGGTTAGACCAGGTAAGGTATGGAGAGATCGGGGGATGGGGTTAGAGCAGGTAAGGTATGGAGAGATTGGGGGATGAGTTTAGAGCAGGTAAGGTTTGGAGAGATTGGGGGATTCGTTTAGAACAGGTAAGGTTTGGGGAGATTGGGGGGAAGAGTTTAGAGCATGTAAGGTTTGGGGAGATTGGGGGATGGGGTTAGCCCAGGTAAGGTTTGGAGAGATTGGGGGATGAGTTTAGAGCAGGTAAGGTTTGGAGAGATTGGGGGATGAGTTTAGAACAGGTAAGGTTTGGAGAGATTGGGGGATGAGTTTAGAGCAGGTAAGGTTTAGGGAGATTGGGGGGAAGAGTTTAGAGCAGGTAAGGTTTGGAAAGATTGTGGGGATGGGGTTGGACCAGGTAAGGTTTGGGGAGATTGGGGGGATGAGTTTAGAGCAGGTAAGGTTTGGGGAGATGGGGGGTTGGGTTTAGACCAGGAAAGGTTTGGGGAGATTGGGGGATGAGTATTGGGCAGGTAAGGTTTGGGGAGATTGGGGGATGAGTTTTGGGCAGGTAAGGTTTGGGAAGATTGTGGGGATGGGGTTAGAGCAGGTAAGGTTTGGAGAGATTGGGGGGATGTGTTTAGAGCAGGTAACGTTTGGGGATGAATTTAGAGCAGGCAAGGTTTTGGGAGATTGGGGGGATGAGTTTAGAGCAGGTAAGGTTTGGGGAGATTGGGGATGAGTTTAGAACAGGTAAGGTTTGGAGAGATTGGGGAATGATTTTAGAGCAGGTAAGGTTTGGGGAGATTGGGGGGAAGAGTTTTGAGCAGGTAAGGTTTGGGGAGATTGGGGGATGGGGTTAGCGCAGGTAAGGTTTGGAGAGATTGGGGGATGAGTTTAGGGCAGGTAAGGTTTGGGAAGAGAAGAATAAAAACACACCTCACATGAAGGCACAGATGTCAGAAAATTAGTCACTGAGAAATCTCACTGTGAGATATACACAGGAGTATTGGCACCAAGTAGGAACAAGGTATGGTGGTTTTCATGTGTAGTGCACTCACCAGTAAATGCTCCGATGTAAGCGAAATTGTCCCGGAAGATGACGGCGAGACCAGCTGCTACACCCACTATAAACATGCGCAGCACATTCCGCTTGAGTGTGGACACCTGTACAGACACACATCCTTCATTATCAGGATTATTACTTCTGTCTGGGTGATAAACATCTGTACACACATCCCTGTGCAGAAACTGAATAAACCAGAAGTGACTGAGTGAGAGTGAGTGAGTGAGTGAATGAGTGAGTGAGTGGGTGAGTGAGTGGGTGAGTGAACGAGTGGGTGAGTGAACGAGTGAGTGAGTGAACGAGTGAGTGAGAGAGAGAGTGAGTGAGTGAGTGAGTGAGTGAGGGAGTGAGGGAGTGAGTGAGTGAAAGAGTGAGTGAGTGAACGAGTGAGTGAATGAGTGAGAAAAGATCTGTTCTGTTTACATGGCCAAATTAGCATGATTAGTTCATAATCAAATTAAATCTTAAGATAAATTTTGGTGATTTGGTATCAATTCTCAAAAGAATAGATATGCTTTGGTTATGACATCGTGAAACTGATACAAAACATTTCTGAAAGAACCTAAAAACCTAAAAACCTAAAAACCCTGAGCTAAGCAATACAAACAGAAACCCCAAATACTTACCTCCTTGGATATGGCAGCAGCTAGTGGGACATGGGAAGAACTGGATGAGTCTGAGGGTAGCAGTGCGTCCTGATCACTGTAGTCAGCATGTCTGTCAGTGATTCCTTTCTTGGGGCCACAACATTTCCCTGTGAACAACAATACAAGTGGTTCATCACCCACGGCAATACATGACACAGTGACCTGGCTCCAATGTCACCTTAAGTGCATGTTTCCATGGCCACACATGACACAGTGACCTGGCTCCAATGTCACCTTCAGTGCATGTTTCCATGGCCAAGCATGACACAGTGACCTGGCTCCAATGTCACCTTAAGTGCATGTTTCCATGGCCACACATGACACAGTGACCTGGCTCCAATGTCACCTTCAGTGCATGTTTCCATGGCCAAGCATGACACAGTGACCTGGCTCCAATGGCACCTTCAGTGCATGTTTCCATGGCCACACATGACACAGTGACCTGGCTCCAATGTCACCTTCAGTGCATGTTTCCATGGCCACACATGACACAGTGACCTGGCTCCAATGTCACCTTAAGTGCATGTTTCCGTGGCCACACATGACACAGTGACCTGGCTCCAATGTCACCTTCAGTGCATGTTTCCGTGGCCACACATGACACAGTGACCTGGCTCCAATGTCACCTTCAGTGCATGTTTCCGTGGCCACACATGACACACCTGGCTCCAATGTCACCTTTAGTGCATGTTTCCATGGCCACACATGACACAGTGACCTGGCTCCAATGTCACCTTCAGTGCATGTTTCCGTGGCCACACATGACACAGTGACCTGGCTCCAATGTCACCTTCAGTGCATGTTTCCGTGGCCACACATGACACAGTGACCTGGCTCCAATGTCACCTTCAGTGCATGTTTCCGTGGCCACACATGACACAGTGACCTGGCTCCAATGTCACCTTCAGTGCATGTTTCCGTGGCCACACATGACACAGTGACCTGGCTCCAATGTCACCTTCAGTGCATGTTTCCATGGCCACACATGACACAGTGACCTGGCTCCAATGTCACCTTCAGTGCATGTTTCCGTGGCCACACATGACACACCTGGCTCCAATGTCACCTTTAGTGCATGTTTCCATGGCCACACATGACACAGTGACCTGGCTCCAATGTCACCTTCAGTGCATGTTTCCGTGGCCACACATGACACACCTGGCTCCAATGTCACCTTTAGTGCATGTTTCCATGGCCACACATGACACAGTGACCTGGCTCCAATGTCACCTTAAGTGCATGTTTCCGTGGCCACACATGACACAGTGACCTGGCTCCAATGTCACCTTCAGTGCATGTTTCCGTGGCCACGCATGACACAGTGACCTGGCTCCAATGTCACCTTCAGTGCATGTTTCCGTGGCCACGCATGACACAGTGACCTGGCTCCAATGTCACCTTCAGTGCATGTTTCCGTGGCCACACATGACACAGTGACCTGGCTCCAATGTCACCTTAAGTGCATGTTTCCGTGGCCACACATGACACAGTGACCTGGCTCCAATGTCACCTTCAGTGCATGTTTCCGTGGCCACGCATGACACAGTGACCTGGCTCCAATGTCACCTTCAGTGCATGTTTCCATGGCCACACATGACACAGTGACCTGGCTCCAATGTCACCTTCAGTGCATGTTTCCGTGGCTACACATGACACAGTGACCTGGCTCCAATGTCACCTTCAATGCATGTTTCCATGGCCACACATGACACAGTGAACTGTCAGAAAAAGGCCATTCATTCTTAGGTTAGCATCAATGCTGAATGATTAATGACTGAACATGATATCATTAATCAATGTACCATATTTTCTTGAGTATAGCATGGTATAGTGCACACTTTTTTTCCAAAAAACACAGCTGTGTAGACATGGTTGAAGGGTTGGTTGGTTGGTTGTTTAACGCCGCACTCAGCAATATTCCAGCTCTATGACGGCGGTCTGTAAATAATCCAATCTGGACCAGACAATCCAGTGATTGATATCATGAGCATCGGTCCACGCAATTGGGATCGATGACATGCATCAACCAAGTCAGCGAGCCTGACCACCAGATCCCGTTAGTCGCCTTTTACGACAAGCAAAGTCACCTTTTACGGCAAAAAAAATAGTTTCAGATACAATTTTTGCCGATCCTTGCATTAAAATCCTTTAAAGTTATATCATTGGGTGTGTCTTGACCGAATCACCGGTAGATTCCAAGAAAACGTGTGTACAGCTGACAGTTTACGAGAAAATACACAAGGTAATCTTAATCCCTGGATATAAAACAATGCCTAGCAGAACAGAAAATACAATTTAAATGGTAAATAAACATGTCTGCTGATTTTTTATCTCAAATTTCGAATTTGTACTGACCAAGTTTCTCATCACCTGTTCGTTTGCCGGACTTCGCTAAAGGGGTACGGTGTAAAAAAAATTCTGCGCTTGGTATTCGAATTTTCTTTTTTTTGGCCAAAATACTGAATCCGCTAGAGGGAGGTGCGCATTATACATGGGTGCGCACTATACTCAAGAAAATACGGTATCAATAAATATTTTGCAGGCCAAATTTTGATACGTGATTCCTGACAATTTCTTTAAAAAATCCAAAGACATGGTTAACAAAGTTGATAAGGATTTCGACTGAAGTATTCTTAATGTACAGATGCTAGACTCATCATCAAGCACTTATACTGAAGTTTCTGAAATAAAGATATTGTTTTGTTGTTTTTGAGATGGGTGTTCATATGATGGTTTCCACGTCCACCTCTACATACCATCAGCGAATGTGTAGACTTCTGCCAGTTCTATCACAGGAAATATCTGGAGTGGGAATGTGAGAATGACCCCGATACACAGGCAGATGTTGACGGCCGTGGCTACCCAGGTGGTCGAGGGGATGTTGGTGTTGATCATCTGACTCGTTGACTCCCCGAACTTCAGATAGCCCAGAACACCAAAGGCCAACAGAACCAAAGACAAGGTGCCAACAGCTCCGTGAAGGAATGCACTAAAGTTGTGCCGGTTGCCCTCCATGCTGGATTCAATAGGAATAATCTGGAACAGGCAGCTTGGATAGTTAGTGAAGGTACTGAAGCTCACCCTTCTTGGATGCTTCTTATGTTTGTTTGTTTGTTGTTTAACGCTGCTCTCAGCAATATTCCAGCTCTATGGCGGCGGTCTGTAAATAATCAAGTCTGGACCAGACAATCCAGTGATTAACGGCATGAGCATCGATCCATGCAATTGGGATCGATGACATGCATCAACAAAGTCAGCAAGCCTGACCACCCGATCCTGTTAGTCGCCTCTTACGACAAGCATAGTCGCCTTTTATGGCAAGCATGGGTTGCTGATGACCTATTCTACCTCGGCTCTTGTGCGATCCTATGATCAGCATAACACATATTTTCTATTCCTATTATATGATATTTTGTAAACAGAAACACATTAAGAAAATAACCTCTTTTTCATATAATGTCATACTTAAATTAATCAAATTTTAAGAAGGCGACATACTTTCATTTGCTGAAGTAACTGCAGAAATAGCTTAGGAATACAATGCCTGAGTGAACCACCTCATGTGTTTTATAGTGTCAAGTGGCTTGCAACCACTTCGGGAAACCTAAATGAACTTTTGTGGAATATTGGCAAATTGGCATCACATCTTTCCATGAATTTATTTATAGTAGTTCTTGCTAGGTGACCTCATTTACATATCCATCGGATTGTGATACTAAGTTTAACGGACAGGTTCATTGCAGCCATAACAATAATCAGGCTATAAGTCTTTGGAAGACGGAGGTACATTTTGTGAATGGCTACCAAATGCCTCAAGCAATGTGTATTTAGGAGAAAAAGAAAACGTGAATGATTAACATAATTGTTCATTGTTCTTCAGTTTATTACTTCATACATATGTACTGTCGTTAACCATGATTTTAACTATATTTGTACTTTACTTAACACAAATATACATAAATACAGGCCAAATGTGATGCGCCAATGTTCCAGCAATCATGACACGCCTATAGCACACATGGATGTTCAATCAATCATGACACGCCTACATCACACATGGATGTTAAATCAATCATGACACGCCTACAGCACACATGAATGTTCCATCAATCGTGACACACCTATAGCACACATGGATGTTCCATCAATCGTGACACGCCTACAGCACACATGGATGTTCCATCAATCATGACACGCCTACAGCACACATGGATGTTAAATCAATCATGACACGCCTACAGCACACATGGATGTTCCATCAATCGTGACACACCTATAGCACACATGGATGTTCAATCAATCATGACACACCTATAGCACACATTGATGTTCCATCAATCATGACACACTTACAGCACACATGGATGTTCCATCAATCATGACATGCCTACAGCACACATGGATGATAAATCAATCATGACACGCCTATAGCACACATGGATGTTCCATCAATCATGACATGCCTACAGCACACATGGATGATAAATCAATCATGACACGCCTATAGCACACATGAATGTTCAATCAATCATGACACACCTATAGCACACACTGATGTTCCATCAATCATGACACGCCTACAGCACACATGGATGTTCCATCAATCATGACACGCCTATAGCACACATGAATGTTCAATCAATCATGACACACCTTTAGCACACATGGATGTTCAATCAATCATGACACGCCTATAGCACACATGAATGTTCAATCAATCATGACACACCTATAGCACACATGGATGTTCAATCAATCATGACACGCCTATAGCACACACTGATGTTCAATCAATCATGTCACGCCTACAGCACACATGGATGTTCCATCAATCATGACACGCCTATAGCACACATGAATGTTCAATCAATCATGACACACCTATAGCACACATGGATGTTCAATCAATCATGACACGCCTATAGCACACATGAATGTTCCATCAATCATGACACGCCTACAGCACACATGGATGTTCCATCAATCATGACACGCCTATAGCACACATGAATGTTCAATCAATCATGACACGCCTGTAGCATACATGAATGTTCCATCAATCATGACACGCCTGTAGCACACATGAATGTTCAGTCAATCATGACACCCTCACGGTACCTACCGTGCCAATTCCTTCAAAGGCACTGGTGACAAGTCCAAAGAATATCGGTAACTCCGCCCAGTTGTACAGCCTGTACGAGGGGCTAACACTGAAATCTGAAAACAGAAACTTTTCAATATTTCTTGGCATATCAGCTGTAGCCTGCAAGCGAGATGAAATGTGCACACAGAAGTCTGAACTAAAACAATATTGGTATTAAGCATGCTTAGTGTTCTAATTCAGGAAAAAACAACTGAAAGCAGACATGATGAACAAAACTTTGTTGAAACGTCTTTAAAAACTTGCCCATGATATAGTTGAAATCGTACAACTGACTGTTTAGCAGAGATTTCTTATGATTATGTTTATTTGTTTGTTGTTTCACGCTGCACTCAGCAATGTTCCAGATATTTGACGTCAGTCTGTAAATAATAAAATCTAGACCAGACAATCCAGTGATTGATATCATGAGCAACGACTCACGCAATTGGGATGTGATGACATGCATCAACCAAGTCAGCGGCCGTGACCACCTGATCCCGTTAGTCATCTCTTACGACAAGCATTGGTGCTTTTTATGGCAAGCATGGGTTGCTGAAGACCTATTCTACCCCGGATCTTCACGGGTCACAAGTATGGGTTGCTGAAGACCTATTCTACCCCGGATCTTCACGGGGAGCCAAGCATGGGTTGCTGAAGACTATTCTACCCCAGATCTTCACAGGTATGTTATGATTATGGAAATGGTTTTGTTGCCTATTTTATGGCCTTTGAATGCAAACAATGTCTTCCTGCTTGATTAGTTATTCGTATTGTGTACCACAGATGGTCTTATTATCCTCAGTTGCATTTGGTATTGATTCATCTATGCAGCATCACTGCAACCATGGTTGTTCACTTTTGCAGGTGGTGTGCAAGCCACTTTGTTTTGATCCTGTTGATTCAAAATTTGGCATTTACCATTACATGCTGCAGGGTAGTCAGACATAACTCAAGTCTCTCATCAAACATTTGTGAACCTACAAATGCCATTAAAGAAAATCTGATTTATGTTTACAAACATGCAGGGGCCAAGCTCATCAAGATCAAATCGTCAATTCCGACATGAAACCTCTGTGCTTCAAGGCCTGATAACACCTCCATCTGTCATGTGAACCCTGGGTGACCTTTGACCACCCTATCAAAATGAAGGATGCATGTGTTCTTGAGCCAATCAGGTGTCAGCACTGAAATGATTTAGCTTAATTTCATTACTTCCTTAATTAAAAAATGTGATTTTGAACAAAAGAAAACCCACAAAAACATTCCTTTGATGGTACTCCTTTTTTTGCGTAGATGCCACGGCGCCCAGAAAACACAATATAATGGTGTGGCCTTCATTATGTACACTCGGCAAAGGTCATCTAAGTTTGTTTTCGACATGTGTACAGCAATCAGATATGCTTGTCTGAATGTAGACTTGCACAAGTCTTTACTGCAAAAATTATTAGAAAAAAAATCATCATTTCTATATTATATGAATAAGAAGAACAAGTTGCCCCTATGCATGCTATAAGAGACTGGCGTCCTTGTACTGACTGCTTATCTAGACGTGCCTATTATAAGGATAGAATTACTTAACACCAATGAATGGACTTATCATTCAGTACAGCCTTGGAGAAAGGCTAGTGTGAATGCCTCGACAGCTCTTACAGAGAATTTAGATGCCTCAATGCTGACAGCTAATTAGAAAGTTCATCTGATTTGACCTCATAATGTGTCCTCGGCTCGGTGAGGTGAGGTGAGGTGAAATGGGGTTTAGCATCGCGTCCAAGATTATTGCACTTATATAGCGACGTGCATGCATGTGTGTGTGTGTGTGGCTGCTTCTACCAGTCCGGACTGATGCCAATTTATAGTGCTTGCCCACTGAGATACCATGCCACAGTTTAACATGAATACTTCACTCAGACACAGTATACTGACTCCGAGCCGACCAGTCCTTGCTGAACGCGAGACAGGGAAACAACAAGTACCATCTTTTAACGTCTTTTGGTATGGCGTGGCTGGGGATCGAACCCCGGACCTTCTGCTCTCTGGGCGGACACACTACCACTAGACCACCGAGGCGGTCTTAATGTGTACTCGGATCTTCACATAGAGAGGTATATGAGTTAAAGATTTGATGTAAATGAGTTTTATGTCTGGAATGTTTTTGAGTTGGGTGTTTTATATACTGAACGAGCTGAACATGTTGAACATGCTGAACATGCTGAACATGTTGAACATGGTACTGATGATATTCTACATGTTCTTACATCTGTATCATGGGGCAAACGAGGGAGATATTTAATGTATTATGGGGGAGTGAAAGTGAGTGAATGTTATTACCATATAAAACATTAAAAATGTTAACAAGCCACAAGATAATGAGCAATAACATCGTTATTACACCTCAACATCACACTGAACATGTGTAACACAGCTCATAAATAAAGCCGGCAACAGCTGCTGATAATATCACTGTTGTTACATATTCAGAAACACATCAACCATAGCATCATCATCCAATATATTTCTGCCATACATTACAACAGACAATGTTGAAAAACAGGAGTAGATGCTCAGCCAAAACACTCTGACAAGGTGATGAAGAAATGGGCGATTGGGCTGATCGATGCGATGAAGATGACATAATACAAGTTTCCTAACGCTTTATGAGTGAGTGAGTGAGTTGGGTTTAACATCGCTTTTAACAGTATTCCAGTTATATCGCGGCGTGTCAGCTTAATGTTGGAGGAAAGCCCGAAGTGATGCAGGTCTCAGATGTTTACCACTTCTTGAAACCCATGAGCACGGGTATGGTGCTGACAAACCTAGAAACATAATTGGGGCGAACCGGGATTCGAACCCACAATCATAGGTTTCTGGCGTGCCCAAGGGACGCAACTCTGCACAGCGAATCGTGGCGCCTTAGATGACTGGGCCACCTGTGCCCCCTACGCTTTATGAAATGTTAATATAAACATACACTATTAATAAGTAGACATTTGATATTGCAGCGCACCAATGACTTGTTTAAGCCCGAGGCATCAAATCTAACACTGGAAACCTTAAGCTTTTAAATTTGAATCTAGAACTGTCAAATGTACAGGTAGCATATAGACCGGCAGCCCAGAGCACTTTGGTCAAACGAACAAGGTACCAATATCCGAACACAGGAACATTTACTGTGTAACCCAACATATTCATATATGGATGTCTGCCGGGGAGCCCCTGCTGCGTGTGGCCCCTGGCCCCCCAAAAGAAGGGGCCATTCAAGGGCTGGATCAAACATTGGAGGTACCACATGAAAGTAAGTGTAAATGAACTGTTACATCTCACAGAGTACAGAATGGGCCACGCCAGACAAATCTTCCTCTGCAAAAGGCCTGCCAGACACCCCCAAAGAGGGTCCCAAAATTTGGGCTGGGTTAAACATTGGAGGTACCACATGAAATCAACATAAAATGAACTATTTCACTCTACTAAGAATAAAACCCCCATTGCCAGACAAATCGTCTGCTGCATAAGGCCCGCCAGACACCCCCAAATGTTGACCCTTAATGCACTCAGTGGACACTCTGGTAAAATTTGACCAGAGTATACATTCAAAGTACCAGATGAAAGTAAGTTTAGATCAACAGGTACATGTTACTGAGTACAACACGGCCCATACCTGACAAATTGTCCTCTGCATAAGGTCCGCCAGACCCCCCAAGAGAGGGTCCCAAAATTTGGGCTGGGTTAAACATTGGAGGTACCACACTGGGGGGTCGCGCCTTCAGATTATAACAATTGCAATACAAACCAGGGGGGTCCAAGAAACAGGTTCTCATGACCTGCAAGTATGATCATGTTAATTCTAGTTCAAGTGGGAAATCACGCCATTAAGATAATTACAATGCCAAGACAAACCAGGGTGTGTCAAAGGAAGGTTTCTCACGACCTTCATGTATGATCATGTTTATTCAGTTCAAAGTGTTTTATGATTTGATAAATGCTTCAAGTTATATTGTGATTATAACGTCAGTAGCACTATTATTTAGATTTCATATTTGCATTCAGAGGTTGGCAGAAAAGAAAAGGCTAGGTGTGGTTTGGAAACGGCTTTTCTTTTAACAAAAGAATTCACATTTGCTTGAAAACACAGCTCTATGGTAACAATGATATGGGAATTTATACAAAATTCAGTCAATAGTGACAGATCAACAATTGCTTGTTTAGAATTTTGTGTTGTGGAAAACACCCTGAATGGATCAGGTTAATGCAACCTTTCTTGGCATTTTACCGGGAGGTAAGAAAAGTTTTTCAAACAGATAGATGGCAAATCTGAGACGTAAGGCCTTGTGAACATTTAGATATATAGTGGAGGTTTCATAACAGATATTTGAGTATTGAAATCAAAACCATGTCACATTATGAACATACATTTACATTTAACAACAAGAACAAAATCATAAAACATGATGGGTAATTACATTTCACATTTGGTGGTGCGATAGTTTTGACGAGGTGAATATCAGTAACGGCCCTTCTCTTTTGAACAGAAAAATATTTTTGTATCCAACCGTGACACTCCGAGAAAAGTTGTGAAGATCAGGACGAAAATACATCAAGAATAGAAAATTCAACTTTTCGTGTCACCAAACCCTGTTCATATCTTTCCGTGACCTGACAAACTTGATATTTTCACACAGGTCTGTGCCACGATTTTGTTAGGTTTCTCGATACGATAAACTTTTCAGGACCGACCATAAATATGGAAATATTTGGCCGGAATTCAGCTTTTTAGATGATAAAACTTGCTAAATAAACGGAGATCATAGGTTTTTAAACACAATTATCACCAAAAGATTTCCAAATGGTATTAGGGACTGTCATTTACCATTCTTATAGCAGGCTTTGAGGACTACCTAAGCATGTTTGGGTTTGTAGGAATCCATAGCCAAGCTATCAGGCTATAGCAGGCTTTGAGGACTTCACAGCTGATCAGATATATATTCACAAGAATCAGATTCATGCCTTTTTTTTTATTACATTTCAACGATAGGCCTAATCTATGATATCAATACTAGTATTCAGAGACCTGATTTTATAAATACGTGATTTTAATCTCAATAAAATCCTTCCATCTTTAAGAACAAAACATAAATGTGACCATCTGTTGACTCTCAGAGCTGATGTCCAATGTTTCATTATGCACACTGGGATTACAGAGGGTCAACTGTGTGGGGTGGGGTGAGGGTCTGTCTAGCGGGCCTTATGCAGAAGAGGATTTGTTTGGCAATGGGTATTTTGTAATAAGTAGAGTGTAATAGTTCATTTTATGTTGGTTCCATGTGATACCTCCAATGTTTAAGCCTTATGCAGAGGAAGAATTATCTGGTGTGGCCCATTCTGTACACTGTGATATGAACCTGTTCATTCAAACGTACCTTAATGTGGTACAATCGATATATATTCCAGACCAATTTTACCCGTGTATACCTGAAGGGTCAACTTTTTGTGGGTGTCTGGCGGGCCTTATGCAGAAGATGATTTGTCTGGCAATGGGTATTGTGCAATAAGTAGAGTGCAATTGTTCATTTTATGTTGGTTTCATGTGGTAACTCCAATGTTTAACCCAGCCCAAATTTTGGGACCCTCTCTGAGGGGTCTGGCGGACCTTATGCAGAGGACAATTTGTCAGGTATGGGCCGTGTTGTACTCTGTAACATGTACCTGTTGATCTAAACTTACTTTCATCTGGTACTTTGAATGTATACTCTGGTCAAATTTTACCAGAGTGTCCACTGAGTGCATTAAGGGTCAACATTTGGGGGTGTCTGGCGGGCCTTATGCAGCAGACGATTTGTCTGGCAATGGGGGTTTTATTCTTAGTAGAGTGAAATAGTTCATTTTATGTTGATTTCATGTGGTACCTCCAATGTTTAACCCAGCCCAAATTTTGGGACCCTCTTTGGGGGTGTCTGGCAGGCCTTTTGCAGAGGAAGATTTGTCTGGCGTGGCCCATTCTGTACTCTGTGAGATGTAACAGTTCATTTACACTTACTTTCATGTGGTACCTCCAATGTTTGATCCAGCCCTTGAATGGCCCCTTCTTTTGGGGGGCCAGGGGCCACACGCAGCAGGGGCTCCCCGGCAGACATCCATATATGAATATGTTGGGTTACACAGTAAATGTTCCTGTGTTCGGATATTGGTACCTTGTTCGTTTGACCAAAGTGCTCTGGGCTGCCGCTCTAATAGCTCTGTATTTAAAACATGGCATGTTTATCTCCTAAAAGACACAGACAGTTATAATTCAAGACTCAATTATCAAATAATCAGACACAGCAAACCAGTGTCAGAAAGCATGAGCAACCAATCCATGCCATCAGGGCATCGACCCATGAAGATCCCAGTTAGAATAGCTCTTCAGCAACCCTTGCTTGTCGAAAGAGGCGACTAACGGGATCGGTTGGTCAGGCTCCCTGACTTAGTTGATGGCTGTCATCGAATCCCATTTGCATGGATTGATGCTCAAGATAACAGTCACTGGATTGTCTGGTGCAGACCCTATTATTTACAGACCGCCGTCATATAGCTGGAATATTGCTGAGTGCCGCATTAAACAACACATAAACAAACATTGGGGCACGATGTAACCAAACATTTTTGGTCAGCTCTTGTGGAGGCAAAATAACATGCTGAACTAGAAACACGAGAAAATGGAATAGGACTTAATAACTTAGAACCAAGACAAAAGATTGATCCCCAGGATCAAACTTACCTGCCATCAGGTAAATCAACACAGCGACAGCTCCAAAGAAGATTGAAATGTTTGCTCCCACACTTATTCCCCCGAGGTGACGCACATTTCTCACGTAGGAAAATCCAATGAAAACCGGTAAAGGCAGCAAAACCAACAACTTGAGCGATGGAGCAGTGGAAAGGAGTATGGATGTGGAGATAGCGGTGATATTGGTCACATTCATTCCTGTCGTGTTCCTGTCTAGTTCCAACATTGATGGGTCGGAGTCTGATTCTTGATTAGCCAGGTAAAAATGTGTCATTGAACTTCCTATAGAGTTATTGCTCCCTGAATACACATCCCGTCTAGATAGAGAGGTGTCACCGTAGTTTGAAGTCCTGTTGTCACCCCCACATAGATACGTGCCATTCATCAAATTGCACATATGAAATGGAAATATGGCTTGAATGGTATTGCCAATAAATATGAAATAACCTATGCAAAATCCAAACTGTGTGATGAATATACAAAAATTTACAATGTAGAGGCCGAATCTTCCATAACTGATTTTTCCCACATCTCCATAGGATAAATTCCTCAGCATCTTCTGTCGTAGTTCAAAACTGAAGGTGTTTTCAATGACGACATCGCCGTCATTTGTGGCTCCAGTCTCTGACACTGACTCCACGCACACAACCGCATCAATAGCCTTATACTTGCACTTGACGATCATGTGACAACAGTGGTCTGTGACGCTGGCAATCAGAAGCAGGCACACGACACCCGGCTGTGAAGGATAGAAACATGGTATTGGAACTTGCAGAATTAGACAACTGTAAAATGTACTGAAATAGTCACCATGGTTACACTAACCACAACCCTGACAAGTGAGAAGTAACATGCTGTGAAAATGGTGCAATCTCCCACTGACAAGACTGCAGAGGTGCATGTTAAAATCGGTTTGTGCAGCCTTAGTTTACAAGCAGACTGCACTTAGCGCAGTCGGTAAAATATTCCACAACAGGCTAATACACATCACTTTCTTCAAATATATATCCCCATGTTATGGGGTTTTGGACACTTAAGAAACAGTCATAGTTTTCTCTCTAATCACATGAACTGTAAAACATCTCATTCACTCATAAAAGACAACTTTCTCTTAAAACAAGCCATCATCTGAGTATTCATAAATGTCTGTGTGATGCTATACCCCCCGTTATAGCGTGAATAACTGCAATAAACATCATGAACATGGCCGTCAAAAAACCTACGACCTGACAATACTACGTCACACGATCTAAACAACTTGCAATAAAATTACTTTCATTTCACACAACGTACATGACACATCCTGTCTATGTACCCTACAGACCACCAATCTACCTATCGCTATATATACATGTTCACCAAGAACATGTTTTAATTGTACCATGGTAACCATTATGAGGTGATTATGATCATGTATTGCAGTAATGTTGAAGTGTGAAAGTATGTGTGTCAGTACACAGCCACTGCTTTGTGTAATATCAAAAGGTATGTCATATGATGAGTAATAGTTTTAATTTTCCAGTAAAGTACTTGTAGCAACCAGCTGTTTACTGTAACCTGCACTAGATGCAGTGGAGAAAACATCGGAAATTGCACCATGTGTGAAGATTGTGAAGACTGTGCAGACTGTGAAGATTGAGAAGACTGTGGAGACTGTGAAGATTGAGAAGTTTGTGAATTTGATGTGCCTGATGTGGCACTTCTCTCCTGTTTTCAAACACTTAACCACTGTGGTAAATATCTATCAGTGTGCATAAAGATGCTTGTTCTAGAACCATCTCAACCCTAAAGCCATGTGACTGTGCTATTTGGTCTCGCCTAGTCAAATAAATGTGTGCTATTTTGCCCCTGTGCAGTTTGTCTATACACTATATCAGGTGTCTGTGTACTATTTCAGCCCCTGTGTAGTTTGTCTATACACTATATCAGGTGTCTGTACTATTTCAGCCCCTGTGTAGTTTGTCTATACACTATATCAGGTGTCTGTACTATTTCAGCCCCTGTGCAGTTTGTCTATACACTATTTCAGGTGCCTGTGTACTATTTCAGCCCCTGTGTAGTTTGTCTATACACTATATCAGTGTCTGTACTATTTCAGCCCCTGTGCAGTTTTTCTATACACAATATCAGGTGTCTGTACTATTTCAGCCCCTGTGTAGTTTGTCTATACACTATATCAGGTGTCTGTACTATTTCAGCCCCTGTGCAGTTTGTCTATACACTATATCAGGTGTCTGTACTATTTCAGCCCCTGTGCAGTTTGTCTATACACTATATCAGGTGTCTGTACTATTTCAGCCCCTGTGTAGTTTGTCTATACACTATTTCAGGTGTCTGTACTATTTCAGCCCCTGTGTAGTTTGTCTATACACTATATCAGGTGTCTGTACTATTTCAGCCCCTGTGTAGTTTGTCTATACACTATTTCAGGTGTCTGTACTATTTCAGCCCCTGTGTAGTTTGTCTATACACTATATCAGGTGTCTGTACTATTTCAGCCCCTGTGTAGTTTGTCTATACACTATTTCAGGTGTCTGTACTATTTCAGCCCCTGTGTAGTTTGTCTATACACTATATCAGGTGTCTGTACTATTTCAGCCCCTGTGTAGTTTGTCTATACACTATTTCAGGTGTCTGTACTATTTCAGCCCCTGTGTAGTTTGTCTATACACTATTTCAGGTGTCTGTACTATTTCAGCCCCTGTGTAGTTTGTCTATACACTATATCAGGTGTCTGTACTATTTCAGCCCCTGTGTAGTTTGTCTATACACTATTTCAGGTGTCTGTACTATTTCAGCCCCTGTGTAGTTTGTCTATACACTATTTCAGGTGTCTGTACTATTTCAGCCACTGTGTAGTTTGTCTATACACTATATCAGGTGTCTGTACTATTTCAGCCCCTGTGTAGTTTGTCTATACACTATTTCAGGTGTCTGTGTACTAGTTCTATGTGCCCAGTGTCTACCCCTGTGTAACATGTCTCTAGACACTATTCCATGTGCCCAGTGTCTACCCCTGTGTAACATGTCTCTAGACTCTATTCCATGTGCCCAGTGTCTACCCCTGTGTAACATGTCTCTAGACACTATTCCATGTGCCAAGTGTCTACCCCTGTGTAACATGTCTCTAGACTCTATTCCATGTGCCCAGTGTCTACCCCTGTGTAACATGTCTCTAGACACTATTCCATGTGCCAAGTGTCTACCCCTGTGTAACATGTCTCTAGACACTATTCCATGTGCCCAGTGTCTACCCCTGTGTAACATGTCTCTAGACACTATTCCATGTGTCCAGTGTCTACCCCTGTGTAACATGTCTCTAGACACTATTCCATGTGTCCAGTGTCTACCCCTGTGTAACATGTCTCTAGACTCTATTCCATGTGTCCAGTGTCTACCCCTGTGTAACATGTCTCTAGACACTATTCCATGTGCCCAGTGTCTACCCCTGTGTAACATGTCTCTAGACTCTATTCCATGTGCCCAGTGTCTACCCCTGTGTAACATGTCTCTAGACACTATTCCATGTGCCAAGTGTCTACCCCTGTGTAACATGTCTCTAGACACTATTCCATGTGCCCAGTGTCTACCCCTGTGTAACATGTCTCTAGACTCTATTCCATGTGCCCAGTGTCTACCCGTGTAACATGTCTCTAGACACTATTCCATGTGCCCAGTGTCTACCCCTGTGTAACATGTCTCTAGACACTATTCCATGTGCCCAGTGTCTACCCCTGAGTAACATGTCTCTAGACTCTATTCCATGTGCCCAGTGTCTACCCCTGTGTAACTTGTCTCTAGACACTATTCCATGTGCCCAGTGTCTACCCCTGTGTAACATGTCTCTAGACACCATTCCATGTGCCAAGTGTCTACCCCTGTGAAACATGTCTCTAGACACTATTCCATGTGCCCAGTGTCTACCCCTGTGCAACATGTCTCTAGACTCTATTCCATGTGCCCAGTGTCTACCCCTGTGTAACATGTCTCTAGACTCTATTCCATGTGCCCAGTGTCTACCCCTGTGTAACATGTCTCTAGACTCTATTCCATGTGCCCAGTGTCTACCCCTGTGTAACATGTCTCTAAACAATATTCCATGTGCCCAGTGTCTACCCCTGTGTAACATGTCTCTAGACTCTATTCCATGTGCCCAGTGTCTACCCCTGTGTAACATGTCTCTAGACACTATTCCATGTGCCCAGTGTCTACCCCTTTAAAACATGTCTCTAGACACTATTCCATGTGCCCAGGGTCTACCCCTGTGAAACATGTCTCTAGACACTATTCCATGTGCCCAGTGTCTACCCCTGTGCAACATGTCTCTAGACAATATTCCATGTGCCCAGTGTCTACCCCTGTGTAACATGTCTCTAGACTCTATTCCATGTGCCCAGTGTCTACCCCTGTGTAACATGTCTTTAGACACTATTCCATGTGCCCAGTGTCTACCCCTGTGTAACATGTCTCTAGACACTATTCCATGTGCCCAGTGTATTCCATGTGCCCAGTGTCTACCCCTGTGTAACATGTCTCTAGAGTCTATTCCATGTGCCCAGTGTCTACCCCTGTGTAACATGTCTCTAGACTCTATTCCATGTGCCCAGTGTCTACCCCTGTGTAACATGTCTCTAGACACTATTCCATGTGCCCAGTGTCTACCCCTGTGTAACATGTCTCTAGACACTATTCCATGTGCCCAGTGTCTACCCCTGTGTAACATGTCTCTAGACTCTATTCCATGTGCCCAGTGTCTACCCCTGTGTAACATGTCTCTAGACACTATTCCATGTGCCAAGTGTCTACCCCTGTGAAACATGTCTTTAGACACTATTCCATGTGCCCAGTGTCTAACCCTGTGTAACAAATGTCTGTAGACTCTATTCCATGTGCCCAGTGTCTAACCCTGTGTAACAAATGTCGACTCACCACGAGGCCACTCTGGTGGAAGGCGAAGGCAATGGACAGATAGTTGGACCCAATGAATGCCTTCAGCATGTTGGCAAAGTCTCCGATGTGAACATACCATTTTGGATTTCCTCTGAAACAGAAACAGGAACTGCATTTCAAGTCCTCCATATTTAGCACCACCTAAAATCTTTAACGAACTTCCCCTGTAGGGATTCTGGTAGAATGTAGGCTCCAAGCAACCTAGTCTGGTCATAAGAGGCTAACTTAAACGATCGCGTGTTCAGGCTCGGTGACTTGGTTGATTGCACGTCATCGTACCCTGACGACATGGATCATTCCTCACATTATCAAGCACTGGATCATCTGGTCCAGGCTATATTATTTACAGGCTCCCGACCATTTGCTTTATGTATGCTATATATATACTTATTACAAACTGTCAGTAACGGTTATTATGAACTAAATAAGTGATCCCTTTGAGTTCGTTATATCCAGTTTTCTGTAGTTTATAATCCTAGATAAATCCCTGGAACTGGTTAAGATTTCCTATTCAACTTTCAGAAATAACCTGTATGCATCGGCCCAACTATGACCATATTCGGGATATCTGTGGTAACTCTGCCAAGACACTGAATATATTTCTACATTAGCTGAGGCGTAGAAGGTTAGATACATAAATCCTCAAAGAATTGGAACATCGAGAAAATTACATTCATATCATTCAGGACAATTGGAGTAGGAAAGCTGGGTATTAATGAACTAGCTATGAGAGCTACTGACAAGTATTTCCCTTGCCTTGTGCAACATTCAAATGTTAAAAACACACTATGGTTACATCTTAAAAGAGCTTCTTGAAAATCTTTATAAATGTAATGTTATTGTTTAATGCAAACAATAGTCTACATATACATCATTTGGTTTCCTCAACAGAATAAAATCAGTGGTAATTGATACAAATGCCCTCAGTTCTACCAGGATCTTGTCCTACACAATTGACGTGTTCTAATTTGAAATAGCCTTGAGCTGACAGGAAGACATCCTGTATGTGCTTTACTTATTTTGTGAAATAAATGCAGCTCCAGACATGCTGGTCCTGGAAAATGACTGTGGAATATATGTACTTTATGAAACCCAAACCATCTAGATTATGATCAAACAAATCTAGCCAGATCTATTCCACATAAATATTTATCAGCACAATCAATCATGGTCTGCATTTAAGATGCTACTCATGAAGCACCACCTATATTCTATAACTAACTTACTCTGTTGGGATTCTGGGTTAGAATATAGGTCTCTAGTCTGTCATACAGACCCTGAAACAAATATATCCAATACAGCCCATGCAAGTCTATAATTTTTGGCAAGTCTATATTACTGCTGTATCACTGGCTGAAAATGAAAAAAAGCCTCTTAGGGGCTCCTTTTTATTATATTTAATACCTATTATTTAACAACTGTTTTCTTCTGTAAAATATGTTCACTTTAGAGACTAGATGTCAGTTTGATAGATCTCTAGCAGCCTATGCCGGTCTTAAGAGGTAACTTAATGCACCGGTTGTTCAGCATCAGGTTAAAAAAGTTAGAGGAGAGAAATATATTGTGTAATAAAAGATTTCATAGGCTGAAAGTTTACTGCCTGAAGTCTTACTAGACAATTCATCAGCTTCGGCCTTATTTTCAACCATTGGATTGAATGCTTTGTTGATGGTGTCTGTACTAGTGATTCAGATCTTAGACTGCCACAACTGTTCATTTAGCATAGGCCGTTTTCTGTTTTTCAATAATGCAAATGTTTGAAATATCATACCATAGTATGCAATATGATGCTTGCAAAGATATGCCAATATACTGTACTGGTGTTCCGCATAAATGGTGATGAAGCTGACAATAAAACTGTTACTGACAGTTCAGCCCACATTCAGCTGATGATCACTTTCATAGAAAGGAGACACGCATTTCTGAATATGCTGAGCAAACTTTTATTCGTATTTGAAATCTTAAAACTACACCAACTAAGCAGCATGCCTTACTATAACTCCATACCAGACAAGTGGGTAGTCTCATGAGCATAATCGTCTATCTGCCCAGCATCCTGTTCAGGTCTTCCTACAGTTATGATTCAACAACCCAATTGAGTACTTTTGTCCTTATATTTCAAAATCCATAATATATGGAACAGTTACATGTGAAACCAGACCCTGGCAAAACTAAGGGTCACAACCCTCCACAGCAAGTTGCAGTGCTAGGGACCTCTGTCAGCCATGCCCCCAAATAACATAGATGAACTGACATTGCACTGAATATTCCTACTATTGTCCAGGTACAATGCCAGTGTATTTCCTGAATAACAAATCTCCCCTCGTGATCCTCATGTGATGTATAAAGAGCATTGTTAGTCAGAAAGGAAACCTACAGAACTAAACACCAGTTGACAACATGACTTCCCCTTAAATATTTATTGACAAGTTAACCTTACTAGCTGATTGTCAGTGAATGACTAAGTGCCTGGCTTACGTCATCTGCATAACTAACCCTGTCATAATTTTGTCAATAGGGAAGCAGAAAGTGAAAGGCTGCCCTACCCAAAACTGGTCTGCTAAGCTTAACAACAAATCATTAAAAATGTAAAGAACAGTATTCTAGACTGACAATATTATCTATTACATGTAGAATCATTTAGTTATAGAAAAATTTTAAAAAAATTTAGAAGTGGGTGCAATAGCTTAAGCATCCAGGATGGTCATAAAGGACTATGTGAGTTAAATAATGATGATGCATTGTGTGAAATATGTAAAGGGCCCTACGGTGAAACTCTCCTTGATGGGAGAGTCAAACACCTAACATCTTACTTCTCTATCTATTTAACTAAAATTTAAATAATACAACGAATATGGTTCTCTATAAGTTTAACAGGAAGCTAATACTTCAATTTAGCTTACTGTTATTCTAACATAGGTGATGACAAGTTTACTCAAATAAAATAGTTCAAAGCAATCTAATAAGCTAGGTAGACATAACTTTTGTCACGTTCCCTCAAGCTAATGTTACCTTAGGCTAGTATTTATCTCTAAGCTATTACTAAAACTAATATTTTATATTTGCATTTTCCCTGAATCCTAATATATATTTTGATGTATATTTATATAAAAATGTGTATAAATGTTACACAATGATAACTTCTATAATAATCACTTGCTTAGGATCTAATTATTACATCAAAACTTAGTATAAATGTTACACAATCATACTTCCCTTGAATCCCCATAGGGTTTATCATGTAAGAGATACACTTCAGTATTTATGAAATGTGTGTTAACACCCGGTGAGTTCAAGTCCTCCCTACATGAATGATATATCTTACTATTCTGAAGATTGACATTTCCAATCAAAATAAATACTGTAAATCTTGAAATTAACGTGAGTGTGAATTAAATGCGGAAAATACGAGTGGTCTTAGCTTGCATTATTAAACATCGCAATTAGATCAACAATAAAACATTTTGGACAGCAAAAATACCAATTTAGACATATGCTGAAAACAAACAACTAAGTATTCCACATCAGTGTTTATTGAGCAGCATTTGTAACAAGAGAAGAAGAAGAAGAAGAAAAATAGTTTATTTAAGTGTCCAGCGGTGTATACATAAAATTACTTCAATTTATACAAGAGGTAAAATATATTAAAAGATATACATCGCCCGGCCAGCGTGGGCCTATTAGACACTAATGTTCTTAAAAGCACCGCAAGTGCTAAAATAGTTATGTTGGACAGTGGTTTATTTGTTAATGGTGCACAAAATACGAGATAAAAGTATAATGCTCGTACATTTATGACAAGCATTGCCATACAATGACATGTTTTATCAAATATAAAATATACAGAGGCATACAATACTGGAATGGGTTTATGACACGTTGTTATATAACCTACGTTTGTACATGGATTTAATTAGTGCAGCTACAGAATAGGATAAATTATCGCACTTCATAAGGAATGTGGTTTGATCTATAGGGGTCATGAGACAAAAATTTGGGCAAAGAGACGAGGCATAACCCCAGACATATTCTCGTTGATCTGCATAAAGAAAACACGTTGTTAAGAAATGAACCTCGTCTTCGATACTGTTTGTATTACAGTGTTTACAAATACGATTATGTAAGGGAATTTTTGGTTTCAAGAAACGACCGAGTTCAATTTCCAGAGGGAGGGTACCACATCTAAATTTAGCAAATATACTACGGTGTTCTCTGTTGGCTAAATCAATGACATATTTGGAGGTACTTAAAGACGTTTTAAACAAACGATATGTTCTTAACTTAATACCATTTGTTAATCCTCTGTCATCCCAGAGCTGTTCCAACCATAATTCCTTATCCTTATTGATGAGTATATTTCTAGCAAGGTCGAAGTCACAAGATAATAGGTTAGTTATAACAGAAGTAATTGATTTCACATCGAATAATTTCTTAACTGAATTATCCCATGACTTACGAAATTTAGATGACCATCTTTGCACTATATGCATTAGCCTGTTTTCATCTGCCAAACTCAGCCTTTTCCAGAAACGTACTATCTCAATTTTTTGCTTTGTATAGTTAGATGACCAGCCCATTTCCCCCCTTACTGCCAAATTAGGTGTTTTGTTGCCTACTCCCAAGAAAAAGCGGCAAGCTCTATTTTGGATAGCGTTAAATACAACTAAATTCTTTGGTGCCCCAAATAGCTGAACCATATGATAAAATTGGTTGAACTAAGTTATTGTATAATGTAGTGAATACATCATAATCCATGCCGCCCACCGCTTTAAACTTACTGATAATTACCCCAAGTGCCCTACTGGCTGATTTAGATATTTCTTTTGCTGTATAATTCATATCTAAGTTTTCATGTAACCAAAGCCCAAGATACTTATATGAATGAACAATTTCTATATTTTCCGCACCACAAGTAAAGTGATAGGATGACTTAACAGAGGATATGTTACGATAATGAACAATTTTTGTTTTTTTTGCTATTTATTTGAAGGCGCCATTTCTTGCACCAATTGCCGACACAAGTATATACACAATATCATTCAAACACTAATTACATCCTGTGAATTCACACTGCCGGGGTCAAGACAAGAGTTCTACTCACTTATGTCATCACTGATCACACCTGCAAGTCCACACAGACACCGGCCACGCAACACAGTGTCTTTGTTCTTTGGCGATTGCGCAGTTGGGTTTAACACCGCTTTTAACAGTATTCCAGTTATATCACGGCGTGTCAGCTTATCGTGGGAGGAAAGCCCAAAGTGATCTGGTCTCAGACGTTTACCACTTCGGTGAAACCCACGAGCACAGGTATGGTGCTGACAAACCTAGAAACATAACTGGGGCGAACCGGGATTCAAACCCACAATCATAGGTTACTGGCGTGCCCAAGGGAGGCAACTCTGCACAGCGAATCACAGCGCCTTAGACGACTGGGCCACTCGCGCCCCCGACCCCCCTTGAAAGCCCCCTAATTCTAGGCAAGAAAAACTAGCAATATACGGGATATAAAGAACTATTGTGTATGTGGATAACGTGGAAATCACACCTGTGCTATTATCTGAAATTCATGCTTGTTTGTCCCACTGTAAGTACTGCCTCTATGCACTGAACATAGAGGTTATCTCGCAAGTGTGTTTCGGGATGAAGACACTGGTATTCTGTATTAGATAGAAACATTGCATTTAGCGATCCAAGGCAAGCAAAATACATAATGTTTATTGTTAATACATATAGACACTGATTTTTATTATCTTAGACTATCATTATGATAATATCAATAATTTTTCCAGAACCCCAATGGTCAATTGTGACTCGATCGGCAATAGACAAGGATGACACGATGTCTGTTGATTGATTGATTGATTGATTGATTGATTGATTGATTGATTGATTGATTGATTGATTGATTGATTGATTGCATACTCAGCAACATTCCAGCTATGAAACTTCAGTCTGCAAATAATCAAGTCTGGACCAGACAATCCAGTGATTGACATCATGCACATCACTCTACGCAATTGGTCAGCGAGTCTGACCACCAGATCCCATTAGCTGTCTCTTACAAGCATGGGTTGCTGAATGCCTATTGTAACCAAGATCTTCACAGGTTCAATCTTTATGAGCAGAAGAAAACACAATATTTGACATTAGCCAATGATAGACAGATACTTATTCAACAATACCAGTCCTTAGTCCTAAAGCGTCATCTACAATAGGGTTAATAGGGCATGTAATCCAGTGGTCATCTAACAGACAATGCTGCTCAGTTTCTGCGTATTCCACTCTCCCTGGCGTGTAATTCCGCTCATACTTGTAATAATAAATTGTGACTTGATACGACAACGTCATCACATGACAATCTGCCCGACAATTCAAATATGTGAATTACTGGGCATGTTCAACATCTTGGAGGTAAAAAATTACTATTTTGAAAATTCTTGTATTAGACTATGGTCTGATTACAACGATTTATTCATACAAAACTAATTACCAGTTACGTATGTAACCAATGACATCTCGACAAATCTGTTCTAGTTAACTTGCCTAATTAATGTAATGTGAAATAATTCGATAGAAATGTTGATGTTATGATGAAAGATGTCAATCTGTCCACGTTGTAATAGATCATGACAAAATAATATTAATATTTATCCAAATATCCTGACACCAAGGTTCTATACTGATACTATTTTTAATATGATAGTTACATTTAACAATGCCATAACATTGAATATCACATGAAAACTGCCTTGTTCAAAGAAATAAATACAAACATTTGTTAAAGTACCAAATGAATGAAATTTATTTTGATTTTTATAACAAATAATCTGACCATGGTTGAACAGATCAATGATTGTTTAAAGGTACTACATTCACATATGACACATGAATAGCTCCCCTTTTGTGACAGAGGACTTTAAGTGTATCTGGGGAAAAGCAGGTAAGAGGCAAGAGGCAAGATAACAGAGGCCTACAAATTAAAGGGGCACTGATCTAACGCAATTCCCCGGGACTGGTTGTTGCCTTTGTTATTGTTTTTTCCCAGTGAATACCCGGATGTATAGCAGAAATCTAGACTAGTTCGCGACCTCTGCTGCGCCATTCGTAAGCGCATTAGTCACTTTTATGGGTAGTAATAAGGGTGTATGGTCACATTGATCAACAAAATGAAATACAGTTTTCGAGATAATAAGGAAATGTAGGTATCTTTGTGAGTAGCATCGGTAATGGTGACGAAGTTTTGATAAGTCACTTGCTTGGTAATTTTGCGATTTTCGTTTACACTATTTTGACTTGCAACACAAAGTATATATTTCACCTGAGCATATGCTTTTTTATAGTGTGTATATTTTTTTACTGTCAAATGTGTAACAAATTTATTAAACGTCTAAATATTCAGTTATTTTACAAAGTGACTGAAAAACATTTCCATCTGTATTATTATGACAACGAATTCCAAACAATTTGATGTTTAATGTCATCACCAAGAGACTGAAAATGTAACGTTGAGAAGTACATTTCTAAGTTGTTTGGCTTTTAATCCTACATAATAATCTGTTGTGATGTTTGTAGGCCCTTTTGATCGTCTTGATCAATCTGGACAGATTTTTTAGTCAAAATGACTGAAATATTTACACATTTTATAAATTGCCTGAGAGAATCACATTTTACAAATTGACGGTAATATATACACGCTTACAAAGGAAAAGACCTGTGACAACAATGTCTATCGCGCATTGAAGAATTTCCCAACCAAGACGTAGAGAAACAAGAACGAATCGGTTCAAATGAAGGAAAACAAAATGCAGATATCATAATTACAACCTACCAAATTTATGTGTATAAGTTTTAGGCAGCTTCCTCGTTCGAGGAATGTATCCGTGAATATCCACACAAAGGAACAATATCCCACTCGTCTGCAGCTGTACAAAGAAACTTATTCGCAGCACGTGTCTCAGTAACAATCAAATATTTTAAAAGATATATATCGTTTCGGGATATTATAACCCGTGTTCGTTTCTCAACTGATCGCTTGGATTGTTTCAGGTGTTTTACATAGGTGTCAAGTCTCAATGGTCGGCTGAGAAAGCTCACGTGACAACTATTTTCATAGCGTCCACGGTTCCTAAAAATTCCATTGAGTGATAGATAACAATGATCAATCAATCAACGTTTTATCAGTTAACCCTTTGAACAAAGTATGTTGTTTTTACATCGGCACTTCGCGCCATGATATGAGTGTATTCCCTTTGTTTCAGTAAACCTAGACATGTAAACACTCACTCTTGACATATCCACTGTGCAAGATAACAGTGATTAATCAATCAAAGTATTTTCTGTTAATCCTTTGATGACTAGGAACGATCCGTTGATTTAGAAAAAAATGTAAATCAACTGATCATTCATCTCTTGCTGGGCTGCCACATGCATATTACATAACACACATTTCACCTCACTTCAAACCTGGATTTAGATTGAATAATTACCCCAGACACAATAAATGCCAAATGGGAACCTTTGTCAGGTAATATAAGTGGTGCTACCACTAATTGTACCTGTAATAAATTCATTAACTGAGCATCAAGTGAATGACGACAAATACACAAGTGTAGGGTTTTACGAGAAAACGTGGATGACAACAAGGGAGTAGTAAGCCGAAATCCGAAAATGCTTTCACTGCATGGATACTGTTTTTAGTATTAAACTATAACCATCTGGGGTATTTCCAAATGACGACATCCGATGAGCTCCCTTGTTCTTTTTGTCTGTTTGTTTAGGCTGAAGAAATGAATTAACATGCGCCCTTTGTCGAAATCTTTATAGATCACAGTTAACCAATCAGTGTTCAAAAATGCGTAAAACAAATATTGCCTCCAGCCTCCAAGTTTATTTAGCTGTCCTTGCAGACGGTACCCCAGTCTCTGCTCACGCTCAGTTTCGTTGCGTATCATCCGGGTACTCACGGGGGAAAAACAATAACAAAGGCAACAACCAGTCCGTTAGATCAGTGCCCCTTTAAAGCTCTGATTAGTCGGATAAAAGGTCGTTCTGACGTGACCCCTAATGGGATGATCTTTGTTTAGCGGAAGAGAGAACTAAGATTTGATTTTAATGAGATTAACTCAAAATTAACATCACTCACAAGGTCATCAAATGAAATAATACAAATGGAAATAATCGATCACAGATGTTTGATTCCTTGGTTGGAAAAATAAAACCACCCATCACCACTTCTGTCTTCAAATGTTAGTAGCTAGCTTATATATATTAATGTAAGCAAATCCACATTATTAAGGGCTTTAGGTATACATATTGTAACAAATTTAATATGCCTTAATAGCAGGATGATTAATAATGGTATGATAAACAACAAATACACAAAACAAATACAATTTTAGTTTATCTTCTGAAATCAAAGGCTGCCAATGCATCATGGGAATTATGACAATACAAAGGTTTGTAAACACAGAAAGCATGTTAGGCAATTGTGGAAAAATTGTTGAGATATAAAGTATTGATTACCTTTGTGGATGAAGGACCTGAAAACTAAGCATGTAATCACGCTTGTATTCATTGTAAATCTGTCATATATTTTCAGCCTTTCAGAAACATAACCAAGCTGCAAATGTTCTGTTGATATATAACAGTCAAACTACAATAACTATGACTTTTAACGAGTCAATGTATAGCATTAATGATATATGTATCCATACTCTATCATCTATGGTTCATCGTAAGGTATCAGTAGCAGTAATATGATCTTGGTTGCTGTAAACAATGGTCAGTTAATGTCATCTGCTGATCAGTTCACGCACAATTTCGCCAAAAAGAATGTATACGAACAAACTTTTCAATAAATCTCATAAACTTCATTACAAACATAAGTCCAGATACACAAAGAACACTTTTTATAACTAGAGTGCAATAATAGGATTAAATTGCGTAGTTCAGTACAGATTTGTTGGCATGGCAATTCCAGTGTTATGTGCTCACGGTATTGTCTTTGCGTTGGTGAAAAAACATCCAAAATCATTAGGGCATGTGCTATGTGCTGTGTTTTGAGGAAAATGTGTGCGCTTTACGGAAGAAATATACTGGTAGTACATGGTTAGAACTTAACACTAGCCTGCTAGTACAAATTCCAGCAGGCTAGTTCCAATTTCCACATTTCCCCATTATTTTAACATTACAAGCACATTTTATCTTCGCCCGTAGTAGTACAGTAGCATATGCTAGTTACCTGGGAGCCCTTGTACAAGACAGCCTTCCTACGACTGTGGTAAGTTCAACGATAACCTTGTGTATTAGCAATGAGAAGCATAACCAGAATACCATCTACATTCGTGACCTAGGACCCAATCCACTAAGTGTTTGGAGTGCTACAATCAATGCTAAATGTGCCATAACTTTATGAAAAATCTTCAGTAATCAATAACGTTTTCTGAGTAAACCTATTTGTAAATATAAGAGAAAAGTTACAAAAGGTCTGGGCCTATGACAGCGACTGACAATAGTTAAGATGCTGGGAGGACACAGTATGCTTCAAATATAGATTTATAATAGGGTAATTTGGTAGAGCTTCAGCTGCGACCTTACTTTTCCTGAAACCTATTGTTTTGCATCAACATGATCAAAACCTCCAAAGCACATTAATGACCTCACAAGACAAACATGAGAAGAGTTGAATTTTTCTGCTGTAATCTACCACACTGTCAAGTTGAGAGAAGTACTATTTCTATCAAGGGTGGGGTCAGGTAGTACTGAACAAGCAGCTATTTCTGAAAAAAAATCCGAAGATTAAAAAATAACCGAAGACAGACACTGGGCATCAAATTCTTCCTTCCAGTTCGCATATTGACCATGAAAAAAGAAATAAGATAATAAGTTTGATTACAACTAGAATGTCTTTTCTCTGAACTTAACATCAAGCTTTTAAGAAGACAGGACCATCCTTTTTTATAGCAAAATATGGAAAATACAGTCTGATGAACAATGCATCTACACCATATTCTATCTATAGCTAATTCTGTACAAACAGACTGGATGTGTGATTTTGTCCTACGATACTGCTCATGTGCACACTATACGTGAGGTTTACCTGTTTAGTAATACTGTTATAACCTAACACATGATTGACCAAGTTCTGATACACATGGTTTATACATTAACATGAGTCTTGCTTGATAGGTTACTGAATGTTCTAGTTCCTGTATTTTTGGTTACCATGGAAATAAATTGCATGTAATTCAGTGGTATTTAATAGGCTATCCATGTATTCTTTTGTGTTTGTTTCCACAAACCGAAACAATAATTAAAAAACCTGCATCAGAGCATTTAGATCCCCAATTTTCATGACATGCTGTAGCCCCCGGTTGTTCTGGCATTATAAAGCATACAGGACTAAATTCTACTGCTTCTACGTTCAAGTTTGAATGATTTCCATATGAAACAAGCAGACCAGCACAATACTTTTTGTGACAGCTGTCTACTGTAAAACAACACTTTTTTATAACTGTTTTGTTGTTGCAGGAATATATAAACACATGTGACGATTCATGTGACTGCACATGATTCCATGCCTGACAAAATCCCAAGTTTAAGTTTCCTAATTACCGTATTCAACGTAATAAGCGCCCAGGGCGCTCTCAAAATTAGAAATAGGGGGCCCTTATTAGAATATTATTTTGGTGGAAAAAAAGAGAGTTGAAAGATAAATTTCGTGGTTTATGCTGACACACTGAAATGTTTAGATGCGACAGATACATTTTTCCAGAATTTAATTGCCCATAATTAAGAATGCATATAACACACGATTGCATATTATACGCGAATAAATAAGTCTTGTGTATATTGATCAATCGGAAGGAATGCTAATTGGGATTGTTCACTAGCCAATATATTAGCAAATATCGCCGTGGGCGCTTATTACGTCGAATACGGCAACAGTTTTTCATTGTATCTTGTTTGAGTTATACAAAAGCATGATGCATGTACTTGTCAGGAAGCTGGAAGTGTTGCATGAACAGTAGCACTAGCAATAATTTTAACACATAAGCTGTAAATTGTCCCATCTTATGAATTAGAACTGATACTTTGTCCTATAACAATGGGTACTGTAACATTCCTGAACCTGGTGTAGCAATTTTCAAGGTATATATTTATAGTACTGATTCATAACAATTAATTTATGGGTCATCATAACAAATTTGTCATCTATCATATCTATTCTATGTGAAAGAACTGGCACATGATTCATTATGTATTTAATATATGGATCAGCCAAAGGAAATTAGGAAGAATTCACCTCTAGCAATCTAATGTTAATTACACAAGATATATAGCAGGCATACAAAGTGAGACAGACAAAACTTAGACATTTCTTAAGTCTTCAGTGACAAAAATTATGTCCGATGCAATTCCTTATTTTGACTTGTACCATATGTTCCCATATTTTTTTGGATGAACAATTGACTTGCCTTTGCATGTGTTTGTGATGGGTGCCACTGGTTGGACAGGATACGCTCACCTTTTCGCGAACACCTGGTATCATTACTATATGATAGTGATTCATAAACACATATTCATGATATAGTCAGAATTGTACAATCAACTCTGCTTTTTGTAGAGATTTCTATTTGATTTGGAAATGGTTTTGTCGCTTTATTTCCCACTATGTATAGGGTGTAGGATAATTTAGGATAAAACAAACAAAATGCAACAAGATAGGCCATATTCAGAGTTATACACCACTGATCATAGCCAACTAGTCTGCAGCTCAATTCGGACTAGTGGACTATGTAAACTAAAAAGATTTTGGACCAGTTGCCATGCCTTTCCAAGCTTGATATTTGAAATAAAGTATAATGTTGATGTAAATAAGCTTAGCAGACATCCAGCTTACCGAGCAAGTGATTATAAAAAATGCATTGTTTAATCGTCAAATTATATGTTTCGGACATCATACATTTTCAGATGTTTATCATGATGTATTTCACACTGTTATGAGGGGTGTGACATCACACTGACATGGTAAATACTCGACTGATGGCTTGTTGTTTCCATAAAGTTGTTGTTTATAGTTAAGCGAGATGTATTACAGTTGTTTATCTGATTAGTGAGAAAACTATGAATGTTTCATGCATCTATGACTACAGTATCTCAGATCATATCATTGATGTGTGTTTGTCATTATGTTTTTTAATTTGTATCAAACATCTTACAAAAGACATGACTAATACTGTGTTCATACTAAACATTGATCTTCCATCAGCAGATACACTAACAATTATAGTCTGTGAAAACATTTTTCTAAAATAATTGTATTTTTTATTTCAAAAGAAACTTCGCTCTTCTGCTGTTTTCATAGTGGAATCAAGGAAACTAGACTTGGTTTAGTTTTATCTACACTTGCCTAGGCTTTTAGTAAGAAAAATATTAATGTTTATAAATTTCACAGTCATGGCGCTGGACTAATCATCAGCTTGAGTAGTTGTTTAACATGACACGTTCAAATCAGAAGCGAGTATATAAAGTTGAGTATGACAGTCAATTTTCGTCATGACCCTCTCCATGCATGTTATTGTCAACCCTGCTGAACCTTCTTTGATAGGCATTTAGAAGTTGGAGTACTAAGTAAGGATAAGAATTTATGGATGAACAACTTCTTTATTACAATTAAGAGCAACGTTTCGGTGTAGGTTCTAACACCGTTATCAAGCAAGTGAGAACCTACACGAAACGTTGCTCTTAATTGTATTTGTCATTATGTTTTTTAATTTGTATCAAACATCTTACAAAAGACATGACTAATACTGTGTTCATACTAAACATTGATCTTCTATCACCAGATACACTAACACTTATAGTCTATGAAAACATTTTTCTAAAATAATTGTATTTTTTATTTCGGTGTAGGTTCTAACACCGTTATCAAGCAAGTGAGAACCTACACCGAAACTTTGCTCTTAATTGTAATAAAGAAGTTGTTCATCCATAAATTCTTATCCGTACTTGCTGAACCTGTTATCAGCTGGTAATATTTGCCTCTCGCGGACCCAGCTAACCGTAACAAATCATGTGGTAACTTTCGACTGAGTAGGTGAGAAGTTTGTGTATCGACAACTCTAACTTTTACTTAAACCCAGGCTCATGTATACAGCATAAACTTAGTAAAAGGTCGGAAAATAAGATCATCTGAAACATATAGATTTATATCGATATTTTTTTTATAAAATAATGATTCAATGAACTGTATCCAGGCATAGCCAATATTAATAAGTTCACACTTACCTGGTTTCTAGTCCTTCCATTTTCAGTTCTTTTAATTAGTTACTGCCTAATTTCCTTGTGAAATCAACGCTTCTTTTCCTCGGATTCTAGCATTTGAACAATATTTCTTGCGAGTGAGTACTCCCAACCAGAGGAAAAACTCAAAATCAACGCGTGCTACATTTGCTTCGCAATCATATATATCAAGATACGTAGTGGCGCGCTGCGAGGAGCTTGCTGTGACAGCTGTACACAAACATTGTTTTTGTTACAGGTTCGCTCATTGGTTCATTGCTGCCAATTTAGCCAATGAGATAGTGTGTATTAAGCACTTATAAAACTTTATAAGAATTTCATTCATTGGTTCCTTTTCACGTCTCCAGCCAATAGAAATATACGAGAGGAACTGACAGGAGATCGCGGCAATATTCAATTTGTTGTAAGTTTTATAATAGTAATATTGTGTTCCTTAAAAGTTCAATACGAAGGAAAAGCACAAAATTCTCTCATGTCTGAATCACATATGACCTTACAGTGTCAGATCATAAATATAATAAATGGCTGGTGAATATGTTGAAACTGATTTTTGTACCACTTCTTATTCGTCCAGTTTTCGATCAAAACAAAGTTGTAAGAACCATATCACCGCTGATCATTGACGCCGAGATTCGTAGATTATTCAAATAATCTGAACTGCAAACCGGCCCCAAATTGGCGAAAACAAAATTTTAACATACCCTGGGAAGGAGGCACATGATGTTCATATTACTCGTATCATGTTTTATGTGGTGTTGTGGGAATAACCATAAAACGATATAATGAGGTTGTTGCCGAAGGAATCCAATCGTAAATCATTCACCTAAGTTGACGTAACCTTTCAAATGTACATTGAGTTAATGAGTCATTAGTTGTAAACATTTTATGTCCATTTAAGTAACATATAGAATAATTATCAGAGTAGAAACTAGTTTTATGATTATATCCATACAATCTAGGCCATCTATAAGCCATTCAAGAATGTTCTTCTTATCAGTTTTAATTTCTTTTAATCGAGAATACGTTAAAAGAAGTTTCCAAGCTAAGTCGGCAGTTTGAAACTAGTGTCATAAAGCTCAAGAAAGCTGCCTTTTGATTGGCTAATGTCGATTTCTTGTCAGTCATTTCATTGGTCAGTGAAAATTCGCGAAAAGTCTTTCTGACATGACCCGTAATGGGATATCCTCAGCGGTAGAGAAAACTAAGATCTGATTTTAATGAGATTGCTTGACTTTAGTCTACGGATACTTACAAATAATCCCGATGCCATTTGGCACACTCGTCCCATTCCGTAATTTACAAGATACCGAGTGGTGAGGAATGAGCCGATATGGCGTGAACTGAAAACGCCTCCAGACGTCAGACGTCGAACTCGCCAATACGCATGAATGACATGGTATTTAATAATTCGTCGGGTGGATTTTGTGACAGAAAAGTGTGGTAGGGAACACTGTTACGATTATGTGGATAACAGTAAGGAATGAGGGAGGCATGAGCGTGGCTAGTGACAACACAACAGTGAGTTCGCTTTTGAATCAGTACTGAAAAAATGTAGCCGGTGAAAGTGGCTTGTGTGAATGTCCCAGGACAGTTTCCAGTAGCCAAAATATTTGACACAAAACCATTTCATTATTTTTACTCGACATTTTTGTGTGAAGAATATTAGGAGCCACTATAGAATCTATAATAGCCACGAAATGGGTACCTAACCCTAATGATCGTAAAGGGGGGATTGATTGTAAAGGGGATCCAAGGGCTAAGGATAGAGAGTTCGGGGTAGCCTACCCTAACACTGGCGACATTTTGATGTGTTCGCCGCCAATATAATATCCCCAATAAACTGCATTCTTGTGCATAATAATGAAAATTAATGAACCAAAAAAATAATACATGTAAATTAGTTCCCATTCATAACCATTTCAGCCACTTGAATTACGAGAAAACAAAATAAAAAATAAAAGTGCTTTCGTAGTGCTTGCTATAAAATTCGCTGCTGCAGGCTATATTTAGTAAACAAATATCCAAAACTCTCAACACCGCTGGGCGTATTCAATAACATTGCTTGTAGAGATGATAGATCACTGGGAGGAGCTTATGCACACTCAATGACCCCTGACGTGACAGGGCATTGTTTCGCCGGTGTGACTGGCAACAAAATACCACAAATTACATCATAGGGTATTGTCACATGTTTGAAAAGTTTGTGGTACTGTATTCTAAAGCTAGGCCGCAAAACCCTTATAATGGCAAATTATTGTTTTTATATGCCATTGTTGGTTGGTTGGTTGGTTTGTTGTTTAACATCGCACTCAGCAATATTCCAGCTATATGACGGAGGTCTGTAAATAATCGAGTCTGGACCAGACAATCCAGTGATTAATATCATGAGCATGAGGAATACATTGGACAAACAAAGTGCTTAAAGGACAACAAAACAAGGTGCATCCCCTTCAACGCTCATATCGACAAATGTGCAGCAGGAAAGGACATTAAATTTAAGATAATGCTTTTGTTTAAAATGAATACTGCTGAGGCTATGCAATGTAAAGCTAAAGAAGACTTTTTCATTAAAAAGCTGTGTCCATCGTTAAATAGGTAGCGCAATGTATATGAATTATATTTGTTTGTATTGTGAATGTTACCACCGTCAAATTAAGTCGCCAGTGTGACGTCATGGCAATGCAGCGCTGACAGTATTCATATACAGTTGCATTGTGACGTCACGATATAGTGACATCATAATATGATCTGTAACTGTAGTCACTTCTCCATGAAGATAAGGCTGAAACATGTAGGAGAACAATCTGTGTCGTGTGATTATTTTGTGAATTTAGTGTTGAAAATAGAGTTTATGCCAATCATCATAAATATGCAGCTTATGTTGATAATATGTAAAAAATGATTGAAGTTTCTTACAAATAATCACATTTTAATCTTTGTTGTGTATTTTGAGAATCCTCTCTCAATGGTGTCATTAATCCATGTATTGATGCATTAAACATCATTGTTCAGTCGATATGATTGAAATTTCCAGTCCATTGAATGAGAACCCCTACAGTAGGTGGACTAACAATGACTGAGAATTCATTTCTGAGCAATGACTGCAAGGTTTATTTGCAGACATGGGAAAAAACAATTGACAGTTGATTCTTGAAGTGATGTTTAAAATAATAAGTTACTATTGAATACATTGTTTCAGCTGTGAATTTTTCCCATCACTATGACATCATACGACGAGATAACCAGTTTTGCAGGGGAGTTAATTGTGTACCTGGACAAGGATAACGAGGAAAAGAAAATGATTGACGACATGAAGGAGATGTGGACAGATATACAACAACAGCGACAGAAACAACACAAGCATGTACAAACAGCAATTGAAGGTAATTATCAAGCGCAGTCAAGTAATCTTAGTGCTGTCAGTAAGTATGACGTTTCTTGTCACATCTGGCAATAGAATAGCTGGGAACACCAAGAATTGTCTTCACACATTGTATCCATGTGGGACATCAACCCAGGTTTTTAGCATTTTGAACAAATGGGTCGGCAACCCAATGCACTCTTCAACTATTCAAAGTCTTGTATGTATGTAATGTATGTATGTATGTAACGTGTGTGTGTGTGCGTGCGTACGTACGCACGCACGCAGGCAGGCACGCACGCTCGTATGTATGGACGGACAGATGTACGCACATACAGATGGACAGACGGATGTAGGACTACGTATGTATGGATGGATGGATGTACGCACACACACATAGTATTCTCAATCATTTTGATTGTGAGTAGATGTGTGCTAAAACAGGATTCAGTCTAGCGAATATTTGAATGCCATCTGCAAAGTTGGTAATTTGTTTTATGAATTTAATATCAAATTGTGTTTGGACAAGTTTTGTACATGTTTCTATTACAGCAATATTGACTGAAGATTGTGACAAAGCAGATGGATACCAGTGAAAGAGACGTACATAAAAATATTCCACGATGGAATTTCACATTTTCAAAATGGATACCATTCGTAACTGTCAATTCTTATAAGAGAAAACAAAGGGATAAAACATAAACCGTCAAACTTGAGTGTGCATGCTCTGGTCTTGGCTTCGTCATCGGGCAACTATATTTTCATATTTACATCATTACTGTTCAACGGAATAACACCTCCATGAACATATTTTTCATTGAAAATATTTGTTCTGTCCACCATAGTATACAACTTTGTGTTCTTATAGATTTGAGTCCATATGTACATAATTAAGTAAAGAAGATTTAATATATCCCTTCTGTACGTGGATTGAACATCACTGTTCTTGTCCAAGCAGATTCCTATGACCTGCACTTTGACTTGTCATACATGTGTGTACAGACTGAATATGCAACTCAAGTATTTGACAACAATGACACAACAGCACGGCAACAAGAGAAACCACAATTATGACATCTCTTCCAAAAAAGGCTCTTGTGACGAAGGGGTTCAGGATGTTTAATCAGGGAGCCGTTATACATACGATCTTAGTGTTAAGGTGATCATAACTCCTATACCATAACATAGAGAAACTACATGCATAAGGTTGTCTTGTACAACTGCACCCAGGACTCACAGTGTTTTGTTTGTTGTTTAATGCCGCACCCTACAATATTCCCACTCCATGACGGCAGTATCTAATTAACAGTCTTGACTGGACAATCAAGTGACTGATATCCGGAGCATCAATCTATGCGATTGGGATATGATGCATCAACCAAGTCAGTGAGTTTGACCACCCAATCCCCTGTAGTCGTCTCTTACAAGCATGGTTGCTGAAGACCAATTCTAACTCGGATCTTTGCGGCGCAAATTAGTATGGTATAGCTCTCATCTGACTTGTCCCCCTCCTGTTACAACAGAACTGATAGGACTGAAAGAGGAAGAGCTTGAGAAGAACCCCGGGGCTGGTGCGCAGGACGCTGGGGAACATGTGGTCCAGGAGAGGAAGTTGAAGCAGCAGATCCTGGCAACCAAGACAACGATGGAGGAAACGGAACACGAATGTGCAGCCATGAAATCTAAGCTAGAACAGTCGCAGCTGCAGCATCAGCAGCTGAAGGCTGAGAGAGACCGCATCAAGGATGAAACCAACATCGCCCTACCTAAAGCAAGGTATGTATTCATGATGAAACCAACATCGCCCTACCTAAAGCAAGGTATGTACTCATGATGAAACCAACATCGCCCTACCTAAAGCAAGGTATGTATTCATGATGAAACCAACATCGCCCTACCTAAAGCAAGGTATGTACTCATGATGAAACCAACATCGCCCTACCTAAAGCAAGGTATGTATTCATGATGAAACCAACATCGCCCTACCTAAAGCAAGGTATGTATTCATGATGAAACCAACATCGCCCTACCTAAAGCAAGGTATGTATTCATGATGAAACCAACATCGCCCTACCTAAAGCAAGGTATGTATTCATGATGAAACCAACATCGCCCTACCTAAAGCAAGGTATGTATTCATGATGAAACCAACATCGCCCTACCTAAAGCAAGGTATGTATTCATGATGAAACCAACATCGCCCTACCTAAAGCAAGGTATGTACTCATGATGAAACCAACATCGCCCTACCTAAAGCAAGGTATGTACTCATGATGAAACCAACATCGCCCTACCTAAAGCAAGGTATGTACTCATGATGAAACCAACATCGCCCTACCTAAAACAAGGTATGTACTCATGATGAAACCAACATCGCCCTACCTAAAGCAAGGTATGTATTCATGATGAAACCAACATCGCCCTACCTAAAGCAAGGTATGTATTCATGATGAAACTAACATCGCCCTACCTAAAGCAAGGTATGTATTCATGATGAAACCAACATCGCCCTACCTAAAGCAAGGTATGTATTCATGATGAAACCAACATCGCCCTACCTAAAGCAAGGTATGTATTCATGATGAAACCAACATCGCCCTACCAAAAGCAAGGTATGTATTCATGATGAAGTCAACATCACCCTACCTAGAGCAAGGTATGTACTCATGATGAAACCAACATCGCCCTACCTAAAGCAAGGTATGTACTCATGATGAAACCAACATCGCCCTACCTAAAACAAGGTATGTACTCATGATGAAACCAACATCGCCCTACCTAAAGCAAGGTATGTATTCATGATGAAACCAACATCGCCCTACCTAAAGCAAGGTATGTATTCATGATGAAACTAACATCGCCCTACCTAAAGCAAGGTATGTATTCATGATGAAACCAACATCGCCCTACCTAAAGCAAGGTATGTATTCATGATGAAACCAACATCGCCCTACCAAAAGCAAGGTATGTATTCATGATGAAGTCAACATCACCCTACCTAGAGCAAGGTATGTAGTCATGATGAAGACAACATCACCCTACCTAGAGCAAGGTGTCTATTGAAGATGTCAGGAATTAATTTTATTTTTGTCCAGTTTTAAGTTTGAGTTGTTTCCAAAGTCTTTGCTTGTCCCAAGTATCAACCTACTGTTAAACACACAAAGGAAACACTTGGACCTGACTGTTGACCCCGATGAATATGCATGAGTGGCATAGTCCATTACATTCCAGGCGGCCTATTCTCAGAGCTGTCTAAGCTATGACAAATCTTCCTGACTTACGACAAATATTATGGCTGCCTTAAGAGCTATTCTTCAAGCTGTCTTAAATCAATCATGGCACCTACTACACAAATATATGCTTAGACAGTGAGCTCTTTTGTGACTGGGTTTCCCAATGAAGCATAAATGTTTTGGGGAATTCCCTTGATTGAAATTCATGTATGCATTGTTATTGCTTATATGTTTCGTGACATTTTTCATGTTTTAACTACCCCATGCTTAAATACACAGAACAACTTAATTTCAATTTCCAAATATTACGAAAATTTGAATATGCTTTTTCAAAGTGTTTTCAGTACATAACCCTGAAACATAGATGCAGGATATACCACAACTGAAACAAGGTTGATTGCCACGCTCCCTCAGAGCAAAATGGATGATTTGGGAAGGAATGTTATGGGACTCAACCTACCTAGATTGCAAACTAACCTTGTATACTGTAAATCTGAAAGGTTTTGAGCCATTAAATATTGCAAGTTGGGTAACAATATCCTTAGTGCGTGTGGAAAGTTTTGCAACACCATGGCGATGAGATTGCACATTTTCTTTTTTTATAGAAGTAGGAAGCAGCGTTCTGAAAAGTTGACTCAGTGTCAGTCAGTTTCATAAGGCTCTCTGGACTACTAAGTGTTATCATGTTATGTTAGGAAATTTACTCGGTGTGGCGGGTCAGTGAACTTTCCTGATTAGACTATTGACACTGAGTGACAATGGGTAATAAGTACACATGATGTGACGGATTATTTATTTAACTGAAGATAACTTAGTGCCATGACAGATTCTAGAATCGAATAAGCTAAGATTTTCATAACACCTTTATTCAACCTGAATAGTGCTAAAACAGCTTCATGAATAGGTCGCCATGGGTGTTGGGTACAGATTAGTACATGGAATATGTTAGCTTTACATCAGTCCCAGACACATTCTGCAGTAAAATTACCAAAAGTCTGCAGTAAAAACATAATCATTTCCCCCTCAAAACTTGATACAAACTCATTTTGTTTTCTTTACACATTTTAATCTCTTGCATTTAAAACTTTTCAAATTTAGTTCAACATGACAACTGTATGTAGTCATAATACCACAAGAACGTTTGAAAGTGAAAATTATTTATTTCAAATTTTGTTTCATCCGCAGTAGGAGATCTTAAAAAAATTCTGGGCCTGTTACATGAACTCTAGTTGAAATACTTTATTTCCTAGCAATTCTCATGCAGAAGTGATGACAAATTCAAATGATCATTTCATAACCAAATTGAAGTGACTTTAACTAAAGTACTGTCGGAATTGCTAGAAAACTGCTTTTTGCCTGTTAAAAAAGGATATAATTTTTCACAGACAGTTGTTTTTGAAATATCTAGTAACTACCGATCGACCTACCTGTGGTCTGAAGTATTTCAGTCACAAGGAGTCCTATCGACAAGTTTACATTTATTCTAAGTCCAATGATGGTAGTCTGAAACGGACTATAGAAATATGCATATGTGACTCCATTATAAAGATAATAATGTAGTCTTCATAAAACATCTAATCCATACACAAAAATCATTTGGAGAAAATTCTAGATGTGCATCTTCTAAAACAACAAAATGATGCTGCGTTTCTTTTGTTAACATTGCTCCCATGATGCATGTTACATTTCACTTGCATAGCCATAACCATGGTACACAATATGGAGTCTGTGCTGGGAAATGTATGTTCTTTACACGTCAGAGAGATAGAGGGAAAACGTTTATTAACGCCCAAGCTATATGGTTTTCAATTCATACCATCAAGTCTATGGTATGATAAATAAAACAAAACAAACTGGTATAGGGGTGGTGTCAAAAACCAAACTTGGATGTAAAAGGATATTAGACAGCTTTGATACAGGGTGATTCGGAGTATAGTGTACAAGCTTTATAAATAGAAGGTAACGCTGATGTGTAGTAGAATCTGGGAGGAATTAAAGATACAATTAATATTTCCCAGACTGCACTAACTATTATATAAATATAATGCACTACATATCCTTAATTGCTACCCCATCCACGCACATGTCAATTAAGTACAATAACAGCAATATTTTGAGACCACTCCCATCTCTATGACATTTGCACCTGCGAGACACCTGCGAGACACCTGCGAGACAGGTGTTAGGTAATTACCTCAGGTTATAGGCCATTCAAACATGTAAGACAACACACGAATATTTTCTAAGTTGATCATCATTTTACCTGTAAAAGTACATTTTATGGGTAATGACAGTATCAGTTAGGGCAGAATAGATTAGGGCAATTTTCATTATTTTGATATATGTTCTTTTTATAGTCCTATGACTCGTATATATTAAATGAAGCCAGAAAAGCAGTTTTCTATCATTGCCGACAGTACTTTAGGTAGAGCACCTCTTCTATTTTTTAAGGTAGATAGTTGATGTATTGTCTTCTATTCGTATGTGATGGAGAAATATATTTTTGCTTTCAGATATGATGTGAACCTGTACAGTCATATTACAAACATCCGTTGGCGATATGACTGTCAACCCAATGAAGTCATTGGATGTATCCTTCTTTTCAAACTTGCTTATATGTAAAGAATTGTATTAGCAGACAAATTTCTCCTTTCAAAGAGATTCAGAGCAATCTTGGAGTAAAAGTTATGACATATAGAGTTAAGAGCACTGTGTCCGTCTGGGGAACCTTGACTATCAGCACCTCGATGCAAAGACAGATCCAGGAATTTGGAAAAGGTGGGGAGCACATAACCACCAAGGGTGCAGTTAACGTGTAAGGTGTCTGAAAAAAGTTGGGTGCGAGCAGGGGCAGGCACTGACTTGTTGGTTCAGTCCTCAATGTATCATATGTCCATTCTACTAAAATATAAACCCTAGACCCATTCACCACCATAGCATTGGTTTCAGCCTGGTTTGATTGATACAATGCTAAAATTGGCTATACAATCAAATAACACTGTTCTTTCACAATGGAAAGTGGCAATATCACCAGGAGGGCTGGGACGAGTCTAAATTTACTACCCGGGTACCCAGTGTAGGTCTCAAGAGATAATTACAAAATGTCCGATTGTGAATTTTTTTTACCATAGCCCTTGCAAAAGTATTTAGATACATGTATTAAATGATCTGGTCATGCATACACTGAAGTTGACTTAAGTTATATCTATATTCAACCATTTGAAAAGTCAGAAGGAATGGGCGCATAGTCAGAAAGAAATGTGAACATTAGTGACTTGTAGTGTAACCCTAGAGTTCTAGATAATTTTTGTTATTAAATAATATATCACGTGACTAACCACGGGTCCTGGTAGTCCTGTGGGTACCTGGGTCCTGCTCAGTACCCACCCGACCCAGGTACCCGAGTTACCCATCCTAGCCCTAATCACCAGTCCTCCACTTGTAGTATTAGAACATCCGTTCCCTCTCCCAACTGGATTAAATGTATCGACAGCTCGCTCACACAAGACAGCGATTTTAAATGATGGTCAATGCCAAACTGACATTCAGAAGATGCATTTTGGTTTGGATTTCAAGCTCTTGAGAGGGAATTTCAACACTAGGTTGGCGAAAAAAGATAGCTTTGTTTCTAAAATAATGTCAAATGGGTATGGATAAGTATAAGTATGGATTTTAAAAAAAAAGAAGAAATTCTACATTATCCCAACCATCAGACACAATGCCTAATGCTTTGGGAGATGCCAATGAGTTTGAAGGGTGTTGTTCCACTATGAAAATACTTATTCAAGAAACATCTGTTTAATACTCATACATTTTTATGCTGACAACTGAAGTAATCAAAATGGACAATACCAATCCTAAGAAAGGCTATACTATGGATGATATAGAACACAGATGCTAGTAAATGTGACGTTAAATTTGATTAAAATCATGGTTATGACCATCCAGAAAAAGTAATAGTCTACTCGGCTTGCACCTGGATTCAGTGTAAAGGGGAAAATCGCAGTGTGACTCCAAGATTGTTGATTTTCTTGTGGAATGATGCCCATAAGCAGTCTTAAAACAACTATTAGTAGATTTCATCTCAACATTCCTCAATAATGTTAAAGTAATAACACATGTAAAGATGCCTTCTGCTTTTCTTTGAAGATTCAAGCAACTTAAATATTCCTTAATAGCTGACCAGATATGTGTGACAAAAACAGTGTACGACCGTTTTCATTTGACAGGAACCAGGTGTCCGATTTCTTCACAGTTAACTATTTGTGGGACCTCATGGAAGAAGAATGGTGAAGATCTTACACAGACTTAATCAATACTGTGCTTTGGACACTCACCTCTAAAGAGCACATGAACATTTTAGTTCATTTAACATGAAAATGGACCAATGTACATTCACACAATGTGTCACTGTACAGAAAGGCCTTTTGCTCCTCCTTGTCCACAGCTGAAGGATGTTGTTTCATGTTCAGTGACAACTGTAGTTCATCTTCAGAATGAATCATACAAACAATTTCATTGATTTCATATTTATTTATTTCCTTATTTAATTTGTACAAATTCATTTGAGTACTAGTATAGCATTACATTGGAAAGTAGTGCTAACTTAAGCATACAAAAGTGCACAAAATGAAATTATTTCTACACAATTAACTGAATGAAATGAAATATTTACATTTAGGAAGAACAATGCATACACAACTTGGGTGAATAAGTCTAATCCATATCCAGTAGCAGATTGTATTCCACTTAAGTGATGAGAATGTTATGAAATGCAAACCTGGCACAAAATCACATGGAATTATTAGAAGCAATGTTAACAGCACTTAGTGAAAATAAAACTTGCCTACAATTGATCACATTTCTACAAAACAAACTGGGACTAGTACAAGTGATAGATGACATTTCTTGATCATCAAAGGTGCATGTATGTACAAATAAGACAAACAACTATACAATAAGGGACACAAAACCATCTTCCAAATTCTTGAAAAAAACTGTTGGCTTAAACTATCACTGTAAATCCTTTAGATGCTCCAAAATTGCATTGGGAGCAGAATAAATTATTCTCTTCAACTTCTGACCAAATAAGGCCCATATTATTAGTGATTTTCTTTTTCTACTATGTAGACAGGCATTTACTCGGGTATTAGTACCTCTTAACAAAAAAAAAGACTGGATGATTTAGATCATATTGCAAACAAGATGAATTTGTTAAAGGATCTATTTGAAAACCATCAACAGGATGCAGTACATTTCGCTTCCACCGTGATTCCGTTAACTATGACAAAACTTGACCTTAAGATGAAGGGGGTGGTGGTGGTGGCGGTGGAACCAGCATAGGGTTCACGCCACCCAGTTGATTGACATCAAAACCACCAGGTGGGGGCGGAGGAGGAGGTACAGGGTTGTAACCCTGACTAACAGGCGGTGGTGGTGGAGCTACACCACTCGGCATGGGGGGTTGAACAGGAGGGGGTGGAGCCTGTTGTTGCCATGGTGGCAAATTCGATGGTGGAGGTGGCGCTGATGCTTGTGTCTGCCAGTGAGCTGTTGTGGATGGTGGTGGTGGAGGAACTGGACCTGCTGGGAGAATATTCCAAGATGATTACATGTTACTAGTTAACAGAACAGGTAGACAACAGGTTTAGTCAAGAATTAATTTCAGTCAAAAAGGAGGTTCAAAACTGAATTAAACTTGGATTAGGCAAAAATATGTCCTATTCATCACATGATAAATGTATTGTGATATTTACTCCTGTTTGGAAAACTGTCAACACATTGATAGGCCAAACCTTGTGAGTACTGCATCCAGGGTGTGGAGGTATGTTGGTTGTTTGGTGGAGGTGGTGGCGGCGGATTCAGCAGTGAAGGAGGGGGTGGGGGAACACCTGAAACAAAAACATTCACCGCTCAAGTGAGATGAACACACAGACACATCCCTGACCCGAATCCATTCAAAATATGTGCTGATTTTGCAGTGATGAGTTGAAAGAGTTCAATATTACACCTGCATTATTTCAGTTTTGTCATGTTCCTGTTTAAAGGAAAAAAGCAGGCTATAGAGGCGTACCACTTTCATGATACCCACGAACATGGGTATAATTTTGACAAAGGATCATAATCAAGGTAAATCTGGGATTTGAACCCACAATCAGCTGTTCCTAGAAACTAAGGGATGCATTACAAAGATTAACATCATACTGTGTCGAGAGAAATCATAGAAGTCTTATTTCATCTACTTATAAATATGACTGTTGTAGACTCATGTCCCATAAGTCACAGCTGAGAGTTGGCCTTCAATAGTGGTTAGCTTTCCAAATATTAACACATTCCAGCAGTTATTGTGATCATCCTTAGTAACGTTGGTTGTCTCTCACACAAGCATAATCATAACATTATAACTCACCCATAGATGTTGTTACTCCAGACTGTGCAGAACTGTTGGGCTGCTGCCATGGTGCTAGCGAGGGAGCAGTGGTGAACTGTTGCGGGGGTGGGACGCCAGGGGGCATACCTGTGCTTATCACACCATGCTGTTGAATTTGAGAGGCATTGCTCACCTGAGGCATGCCCCCACGATGTTGCTGTTGGGTTTGGAAACTAGGTGGCCCTAAGTTATGTTTAGCACCTGCGTTCTGAGGCCATGGAGGATTGATTGCCTGTGGAAAGAGTCAATACATGTACCATCTATAGTATCTGTATATTTGCTTAAATAATCACAGTATACTATCGCATAAAACTTGAGTGGCAGAGATTAGCCGGAGATGATCAGACATACCTCTTGGGTACTAAAAGTGTAATAACTGATTGGCATTGAAGATTTTCTACGTCTAAAGGGGCCGTCACACCATGACGTTCTGGTCAACGTTCTCTGAACATTTCAATCGTTCAATTTTTTAGCGTTCTAGAATGAGGATGACACATCTGGCGTGTGATTAACGTGTGCCTAACGCATGACTAGCGTGTGTCTAACGCACGAGAAGCGTGTAACAGCGACCAAGTAAGATACCCCTGAAAACCATTAGCGTGTGCTAACGTGCCACTGGCGCGCGACGAACGATTTGTCAACGTTAGACGAGCGTGTTGAGCGTGTGACTAACGTGTGAATGACGACAGAATAGCGTCTGCGTGCGCTGCATGCGCTAGGGGACCGTTCAGCAGTCATTGACAGGTCGCCAGTGAGTCGTTCAATGCAAAGCAAACGATTAGTAACAACCAAGTAACGCTAGAGTAACGACTGACTAACGATAGCCCAACGCGTGCAACGCTCGGCGAACGTTAGTAAAACGTTCCACGAACGTTCTTAAACGTTCTTCAGCGTTTAAAATTAAACGTTGAAGAACGCTGGTCTCAGTGAGAACTTCTGTGCATGTTCAAAACTTTTTTTCCGGACCAGCGTTCTCCGCCAATTCCCGGCGATCACCGACGTTCACTAGCGTTCACACAACACTCTTCTGGCGCTATCCCAGCAACCATGGGCGACTACCAACGTTTCCTCAAACGTCATAGAACGCTGACCAGAACGTCATGGTGTGACGGCCCCATAAGAATATTTGCCTCAATAAAGGTGAAATCATAAAACTGAGTTGATTACAGATGGCTTTGAGGCACTGAAATGAAGAAAGCTTGGTAAATATGACCTACCATAGGGTTTGGTGGTGGCTGATTGAAGTTTGAGTGTCTGGGTTGATTGAAAACATGAGATGGCCTTTCTACTTTAGGTGGAGGGCCTTCACCCAACTCTGCCATCAGAGACATATACTGAAACAAAACACAAACTTTACCAAGATATTTCTAACATAATACATTATCTTAACTCATATTTGTTCCATTTTTGTTTCCAGTACAACAGCTTAATCACTATTATTTTTTTCTTCATAACATCATTATTTAACATATATACATTATATAATGAAAGTAATATACATGTATAAACATAATCTATTTGCATACATTAAATGTTGTGCAAGCAAAATAAAGTGGGTCTTCAAAACAGTTCTCTTACCTCACTGTCCATTTTAGCTTTATCAGCTTGTGATTGAATAGGGGCCTGCTGCATTCTGAAACCATCACCAGGTCTGAAACCATCAGTGAACATGCATTAGTATCTGGTGGGGTAATAACAAATATTTCTGGAAAAAGAAGTTCTGAATTAGAACTTGATGTGAACATTAGCTGGTTGGAATATCTGTATTTTGAAATACTGGCCAGGTGTTTATATACTGGCCAGTCATATTAATTTGGAAACACATAAATTTCAAGATTTACAGTATATATTCGGACGCAGCCATGTAAACTAAGTAAGAAAGGGCCTATTCTCTTCATTAGCCCTGTTATCAATGAAATACAAGTCCTGTATGTTTAGTGACAATCATTATAATCTGACTTGGGAAGTTTTGAATTTCAATTTGGATATTTTGATTGACATGTTATAGGCACGGGCGGCCTGAATATCAGCCAATGAGAAACCCTGCAACATATTATTGATATATGTCATAAGGGTTTTCTCTGGGTCCAGTTCAACCACCCAGTAGAAGTGGGGTGAAATGGGGTGGTACACCACCCAGTAGAACACATACACAGTGTCAACATTATAGACTTACTTTTTCTCTTTACAATCTTGTGCAATGTGACCCGTGCCGCCACACACTGTACAGATGATTGTGTTTGTGATGATTGTCTGTGCCTGTTGTAGCTGTTTCAATTTCCTGTGATACAAGCGGAAGATTAGAAAATTAGATTTCATGATCTTGTGAAAAGTAAAAAGCATAAAATAGGATAAAAAGTAAGTCAACTTTCTGTTGAGGTGTACCCATACAGTGACATCACTCATAATTTAATAAAGTTGACACCGACATTCTCATTTATAAATTTCAATACAAAAGTGGACGTGCTGTTCAAATCGTCCCTTGAAATTAAAAGTATTTCCACATCATTAAATAACAGTGCAGTTATAAGAAAATTATTCAAAATGAATAAGAATTTGAGAACAGTCTGTCTTAACTAGCCAGTAATCCAAAGCTGAGGTCTTGTCAAATTTATTAGTACTTAGTAAGCTTGGCTAATAAAACTCCCTTTATCATCACTAAAATCTACTGGAAATGATGCCAAGTGACACATTCAGGCTAGTAGACTCAAATGTTGCCAGACTGAGAATGAAAGGACACAATTTCATCAAATTCAGATCTTTTACTCTGATACAATACCTCTCTGTGTAAAGATCTGACATAACCTCCAATAGAAGGCTGTGTGGGTTCTTGAGCCAATAAACAGTCAGCTTTCCAAAACTCTAGTTCTTTTATTACCAGCTTCATTAAAAAATTTTGACAATACAAATGAAAACCCCGACACAAATGTTCTCCCTTATGGGTGTAGATGCCACAGCACTCGGAAACAACAGAATGTATGAAATATTAATACAAATATAATGGTGCCGCTATACTTTCTTCTTTTGGAACAAGTTGTTTGAGTCCATTTCCGAGATTCATTAGAAGCCTTGATGATGATTGGCTAACTAGAATGTTCATCTGATGCGATCGCCCATTGAAGTGTCCTCAGTCCTTAGTTCTTCATGCATTGTTAGGAGTGAACGATATATTGATCTATCACAATTGTTTGCCCTTTAACAGTACAATATCGATAGGAATTTATTAATGTCACAACTATTGTCAATAGTATGCATAACTATCAACTGTTTCAATTTGTTATGAACTATACCTATATTATGCAAATTTAAAACCTGCCTCTGTTGTCGGTTTGCAAAAAAACTTCAGACTAGAGTTACTTGAATACACTAGAGTGACAGGGAGAAAATTTGCAGTCTTTGAGATTGTCAGCAATACTTTATTCATTTCCACTGCAATGATTAATGTAATATCAAGCCTTAAAGTTAGTTTACTACTATCGGAATACTATTACAATAGTGTGCGCTACTATTGCAATACAATCTCAATAGTGAAAATAGTCCCAATAGTCACCCCTAGGTATTGTATCAGAGTAAAAAGATCTGTTTTTAATGAGGGGTAGTCGGGTAGCCTAGTGGTTAAAGCGTTCGCTCGTCACGCCGAATACCCAGGTTCGATTCCCGATATGGGTACAATGTGTGAAGCCCATTTCTGGTGTCCCCCGCCATGATATTGCTGGGATATTGCTTAAAGCGGCGTAAAACCATACTCACTCACTCACTCACTTTTTAATGACATTTGAAAGGACAAAACCTTCTGTTTCGGGTATTTCTGTCATAATTTCATTCCAATGTTCTTCAATATTCATTTAGCCTAAACTACTTACGCTAATCCATCATTCTCCCTCAGTGTTCCATTGAGGAGGGCTAACTCCCTAAGCTGCTGCCTTCTGAGATCATTTTGTCCTTCAGGAACTTCAATACCTTGTCGTATAATCTCCTTGATCTGGAAATGGTCCATATTTACAAGTTGATCATATATCTTGGATATAGAGATGTCACCATCAAGGCTGATTCTCATCAATTTCAAATAAGATTATAATAAACATACATTTACCTATAGATTGAGATTCAATTCAGTACTTTAAGTATGAAAGGCCACAACCCCATGTGTATCGAAGAGAATTTATGGATATCAACGTTTTTATTATGAGGAACACAATGTTTCTGAGTATATACTTACTCCATCATCAGGTGAATAAATGCTACGAAGCAGAGAACATATATTATATGTACCTGTAAGAACAACATATATACTTCTTCTTGAAGATACATATATATGTTCTCCGCTTCATAGCACTTATTCACCTGATGGAGTAATTTTATTCTCGAAAACATTGTGTTCCTCATCATAAAGAAGTTGACATCCATAAATTCTCTTCCTTGTGTGTATCACTTCTATTTACCATTCAAAGACCCCATGCATATCAGTTATTTACGATCAAGGCTGTCTTAACAAACACTTCATTTTCATAGAGTTACAGATAAAGTTAACTTGTTTTGCAATACCTCACGTGGTTATAAACATGTGTTTGTTTTGTTTTTTTCATTTTATTGGGTGTTGAGTAATATAAACAAAACTTCGAGCATCACATATTCAATTACACATGCAAATCAGAGAGTTTGAGTGCAAGAGAAGTGCTAATATTCTGACAATCTTGGCATCAAATGAATCTGTCCATGTTTTTCAATTAATTAGACTGTGGCTCTCCCTCGTAGTTGACATACAACATAGGCTGACCCCATATACCTAAGATTGAAAGTATTTACCTACACCAGCTGCCCAATTCATGCAGTAAGACACAGTAACAGTGGCAACTACCTTCTCAACAGCAGTCTGAACATTCTCTGGGTTGTTCGCTGTGACGTATGCATGTAGAGGTTCATCTTCTCCTGGCAGTGGCTGCCCATCTTTACGGCCTATCTTACCCTCCTTTACTGAACCTTTGCCTCTTATGATGATCTTCGCACCAGTCTGCAGAAAAACGTAAAGTTCAATCATAATGAAAGATTCAGCAAATTCAAAACACAATATACAGGAAAGTGATGGCAAATTCATCACATGATATATATACAGATCATTAAGGCATATTTCCACTTTTTAATATTCTCTTACATCTTTTTCCAAGTTTTTCAGCGTATTTCCTCTGGGACCTATCAGCAAACCAACAAAGTTGATATCTGGGTGTTCCTCCTGTGGTATCATCACCTTGTCACTGACCCGCACCACTGGAGGTCTAGAACAATCAATCACATAAGTAAGGCAACAACGCAGCTGTCACCAAGCAAGACAATACTGCCTTGATTCAGGAGGCAAGAGAGTTAACTGACTTTAAAAGTACAGTTTCCACCCTTGCTGAACTAGGCTGGAATTACTGGGCTCGATCGTAGCGCCATCAGTGGCTATTACCAGTTATGAACCTTCTAAGCCTCTCCTATGGACCAATCGGATTCCAACTCTCGTATCACTTGCATTTGCTTCACACAAAATGGTGGCACCGGTCAGGACGATCTGATCGATAAGCAAGATCTATATTGTGATAAAATGGGTCTTACATCGCAAAATGCATCAAATCACGTGAGCACCTTGGTGCAATCGACCTAACTCTGCACGACAGTTTACCAACCGGATTTTGATTTCAGTGCGCGATTTTGATTGGACTATGCATAGATTCGTTAGTCCAGCAAAAATATAACTCCATAATACCAGCCTAGTTCGGCAAGGGTGGAAACTGGACTTTTATAGTCAGTTAACTCTCTTGCCTCGGGAAGATGGGAGAAAGTTGACATGTCATCATAATATTTACAAAAGCAAAAGTAAAACATGACTTCCAAATTGCAACCATGGAGGTTGAGAAGAATTATCACCAGACAATTATTACCGGCATTCATAATAGCAATGGTTATTACAATGATTGTCATGATTATCTTATTACATAATATTACGTAGGTTTTGTATTTATACATTTCATATAATAGATGACATTAATCAAAATAGCTTGGTTTTATTCTATTACTTGTAATCTGGTGGTGGTTTGTAGTCTGTATTCAATTGCAGTGCTTCCTGCACGAGTTTATGCCTATCCTCTTCAAGACGTTTCCTTGTCCGGTACTCCCTTGTATTCAGCCTCTTCCCCTCGTTGTTGTATATGGGTTCCGGAGAAGGAGACCTGCAGACAACAAGTATGTGATAAGAACACAGCAACTGAACCCAACCACAACTGGCATGACAGACTCCTAGCAGCAGGGTATGTTGAGTGAGTTATGGAGCTATGGGGGAATGGATGGATGGGACATGGGTACAGGGAGGGATAGATCCTCGGGACAAAGAATGCTCACATCACATGCTATGATGTACCCAGATAACAGGAAGAAAATAAGATTGACAGGCACAAAAGCTTCTTTGCATAGAAACCTGAAGCTAGGCATAACCTTTAAGCATTAGACATAATCAAAATTCACAGAAGGATCATGCTCTTGAAAACTTAGGGGAAAGAATGTTTTAACACATGTGTATTACACTTGACAAATCAGTAGAAGATTGGAAGTTGGTTGATTTTTCCATATATTTTAAACATTAACCATTTCATTCCACTCAAAATATTCAGAGTTATGAAGAATTGAAAAATAATGGATGAAATATAAAAAAAAAGCAAAAAACATTTATGATTTCAGGGCTACTTTTGACCTTTCATGGGGTGAATGACTGCACAAGTCACAGTTATACACAAAGAAATGTTCTACATATAACTAGTTAATCCTTGAGTGGATGAAGGCACAAGGAGTACCTCTAACCTCAATGAGAGCATCAAAGAAGTCGTCATTCATAAAGTTTAATTGTATGATGTCTGCCTGTCAGAGACTATTCTCTTTTTCTGTCAAATATAACAAAGGTTCAAATATAATCCTAATTAGCACAGTTGCAAATAGAAAGTGAAGGAAGGACAGGGGATTATTTACTGTTTCTCCAAGTACAAATGTTTTTACTTACCAAAAACTACATATAGATAGAATGTTTAATACAAATGTGCAGACAGCCAATTATACATGTGGTAGGTCAATGTTGGATTTAGAGTTTTGCTACACAGAGACAGGAAGTTCATAGCGTTTATACTCAGTGACAATATTTTCTATTGGTTTAATGTAGTTAAGTGCTTCATGCAAATTCATACTTGGAGAAAAAAAATACAAAATAAAGAAAGGTGAAATATGAAAGTGCACTGGGAAGAGAACATGCTCTCTACACCCGCAGAATGAGCTTGGTAATCACTTTGGTCTGTCATGCACCAGTGAGGATGGGACTAACACTAAATCAGGGCCGACCATAGTTTCAAACATGTGCAATTTGAAAAATAATTCTCTTAATTTGCTGTCAATGTGACTGTTGTCAAGAGAAAGGCAATTAAGACTTGAAAGCAGGCAACTATATTATGACTTCCTCTGTCGCTGGAAAAGATCTGGAGTCATTTATCAAGAGAGTAAAATCATTATTTCACAAATCTAATTTCATTTATCACTCATGCATGGTTGATTTAAAAGAAAAGTCAATTATCAATGGGAGAAAAATTCAGATTAGTTACAAATGCTATAGAATAGCAGTAATGGGTTATGTGTGAGATATTCACATCATTTGACTCAACTATAGGAGCACTAAAGGAATAAGCTGGGATAACAAATTTGATATCACTAGCTTTCTGGAATGGGTCAGTTCTGATTATATTTAGTATCAAGTCAACTTTCAAGCTGGTAAAGGAATCCTCAAAATTTCTATAAAATTATTCAAGATTTGAAATACTTGACTTGTCTGTGACAACAAATAATTTCAATGAGTCTGAATGATAGCATAAGTACTACTTTACTTCAAAGAATATTTTAGCCAACATATCAATACAAGAACATGCAAACAAATAAGACATATTGATATTGTGGAAGAATTTTCGCTACTATTAACTTCTAATGCAGGTCCTTGAAATTTACTCTACATGCAGTTTGTGTGAAGCATTGGTTGTAGTAATAATTCAAGTGAAATCTCCAAATAGCACATACATGTTTGTTGCAGAGTTCTGATAATATCTAACACTTTATCATATTGACATAAGTATCTATGGCAGAGGCTGCGTCTCAAATTAGGTTCTGTTTACTTGCAATGCAATTTGAGGTTAGACACACTTATAAATTCTTTATGGTGGAATGGGTAATACAAATTGCAGGTTTTGTTAAAGAATTAAATGCACAAGAGTAGTAGATACAGCCATTACCAGTCGTCATGATGGTCCCACCTGGTTGAAGTGTTTTATTGGCACAAACACGCATATAATTGATTCTTCATTTCTTGTCAATATCACATGCTTGTATCAACACTAATTCTGTGATGAAATTCACCGTTCTCAAAATATTTACAAACACTAAACTTGTTTCATGAGCCTTGGAAAATAATTTTGATAAAACAAAGTTGGAATTGAATATGAATAAAAGGCATCATTCCTTCAACCAAAATAAGGCTAAACAAAAGGTCCCTTTGAATGAAACCGAGTTTAAACATAACAATAACAATGTTTGCCCAAAACAACCAAAACATATTGAATAATTGTGAACTAACGTGCAGGTGTTTTGTGAAAAATCATCTCATGTAACTCATATATGTCATTACTTTGCCATTTTGGTTAGATCTACAGGATCTTAATTTCCCATTCTGAGAACTCTTGAGAACATTTCTTAATGTAGGGTGAAGCTACATCATTCATCAATATCCTTTTTTTGTGCTTACCAAGTAATGAATGCTAAAGACTTTGGTTTTAACCTTTCAAAAACATCATAAATACCTATTGCTGAAAATTTGGTTATTACTAGGTAAGCTGGAAAAATAGTCAAATACATTTCAGGTTTAACAAGTCACATTTTAACAAAATGAAGAAAGAAAGATTGAATTATGAATATCAGTAAAATAAAAGTAAATATTAGCCAATAAAAACGTAATGAGAGACAATCTAAGAATTATTCTAGCAATGTTTGTGCCAATCTCCCATGCTCAGGCAGCCGCTGTTGACAAAATCAGATGATATTTAGGATTAACCCTCCGGCGTCAAACCTTTGTTCTGGATTAGGTGGAATGCCAAGGTCCCCAGTGCGCAGCTTACGACTTATTTCTTCAATCTGTAGGTGCACTGTAATACAAGTGGTTAAAGTAGCAGCAATTGTTCATTAACACATACACAAGTAACTGGTCAAAACCATTCTGGACTGTCTTGGCAGGCTTTTGTTTGCATTTGGGAATAAATTTGAATTTCTTTATTGGCGACACTTACATAAAGTTACAAATAACATTTATCCAGGGGGACAATATGATGGCGTTTCATAGTCAGTTTCAGCAATATCTAACAATGTTTATTTCAACAAGGGAATGTATTGAAACTACTTTCAAAATCTGGTTTATATATATATATATACTACTCAAAAGAAGTTAAAGAACACCCGATTCTTTTATATGACTAGTTAATGCCATGACAGATTAACTATAGTAATATGAAAGAAACAGGTGTTCATTAACCTCTTTTGAGTAGCATATTTTGAATGTCTGTTTTAGCCATGTTTCAAACAATCTGCAGCATGTTGGAAGAAAGTTGTTTTTACACCAGAAACTACTGGCATCAACTATGAGTGTGTAATGACATACAGTTGAACCTCTTAGTGTTAAACTCGTCGGTACATTGAGAAAAGCTTAATTTGGATACTTGGGACTCCCCAATGAGTTTGAGACAACTGGGACTTTGAGACATCCAAGTATGAACTACACAGTGTATTGCAATTGTTTGTCCCCCGATAGTACTACATGTTTACATGCATATCGATAGAAATTTTTAAATGCCAATAGTCTTAGCAAGGATTGTCTTGATTTGAGTAGCAAGGGGGGGGAATGGTTGACACTGGGATTGTCATCAATACTTTATTTATTTCTATTAATTATTATAATTAATTAATATAATTATCAAGTCTTAAAGTTGGTTTACTGTTGCAATAGTTGACAACTATCACAATACTATCACAATACTATCGCAATACAATCCCAATAGTGAAAATAGCCCCAATAGTCACCCCTAATATAAACATTCCATGAAAAGATTTGATGACATATTGAGAAAGTTTTTAAGAACATGTAGATAGTAAGTTATTTATATCTAATAGAACTGCCATTAACAGTAAAATTTGACCTATTCACATTGTTTGGTAGCAAGCCTGTCTTAGTCTTTACATATTTTTCAATTTATCGTGTTGAGGTGTTTCTAACATTTGCTTGTTTAAAGAAATCTCTGGCACAAACAATGAATGTCACAAGATAAAATCACGATGGGTGGATCTTGTTAAGATATTTTGCATTGATAATGTTTTAAATAAAAGGATAAAACTAAACACTTGAATAAGACACACTCCTATTGAGACTAATGCCGCCAAATCATGACACGTGGGCAACAAGTCCAGAATGGTGAGACTGAAATTTACACCAAACTATTTAGAATCCTGCAATAGCAGAGCCTGAAAATTAAATAATTATTTTTGCCTTACCTTTTCTTCTGAAATATTTGGGCAGTGAATCGAAACACTTAAACACTATGAATAATGTATGTGAATGATTGTAAAACATAATAGTAAATACTATATTATCCTGTGGGCAAAAAAGGTATTTAGCCATGATAATGTCCAGCAAGACTGTCATGTACATGAAGAAGCATAACAATGGCGGGTAAATATAATTCCATAATCAAAGACAATAAATACATTTTTAAGTTTAGTTTAGTGCTTTGAAACCATATATCACATGTGGACATGAGCAACATGAACAATATTGTGTCATTTCTATTATCAAACTGACCTTATGTATTCTGACCATGATAAATAAAATTTACATTTTCACAAATATTAAATTAAACAAAGGAAAATAATTATTTGAATCATAACACAAATTTGACAGACTTTTCTTTGAAAATTATTGTGCCCTATTGAACCCTACTATCACAAATAAATCACAGCTTTACATTGTTTAAAAGATTTTCCAACCACTTTCAAAATGGCATTGTGTGTTCATATTCCTAACAAGCCCAGTAGCCAGAAATTGTCTCTTGGCATCACTATTAGTAGTTTGTAAAATTTAAATATACTGACTGATACTAGTTGTGTGTACTAGTCTAAGGTTTTGGACTAGTGACTGCAGTTACAGCATGATATTCTTAAATAGACATGACAGAGGACATGCAAATAGAAAACACAAAAATGCTTACATAACTATTATTGTTCACATTGCTCAAAAGACATACAGAGTACAAAATCTAAAACATACATTATAATGTAATATTTGTCCAAACTGTCATTTCACTATCATAAACAACATGACCAAGCAAAAGCAACCTCATTTTGATTGTCATTCATTCACACAGTACAAAAAAAATAGAAAACGAGTAATTTAGGCAATGTCTCTCATTGTCTTCATTGTTACAAAACCAGCTTTTGTATCTGAAATTTGAATGTTCTGTTTTATCATAAAGTACATCTCTTACAAATTGAACTTTGTATTAACTGAAAGCTGTTAATGAAAGTGTTTTGATCCAATTCTTACCCAAGTACTGTCGTTCTTGCTCTGCTGTGAGATCAGGTGGAATGTAAGTTGGCATTCCTGGAATAACAGTCTTGTCATCAAACTCTGTGTTCCATCGACTCCGCCTTTTCTTCTTCCTATCTTCTGCCTTGCTACCATTATTGCCCATATTTGGGTTGCTTCCAGCACCCCAACCTAAGGAAAAAAGGAAAAGCTCATGCAGTGAGTGAGGTTCAGGGATATACACGGCCTGAAGTCTGCTAGTCCAAGACTAGTCCAAGACTAGTCGAACTAGTTGTTTCATCTTTAAATCTAACTATGTTACATAACTCACTCATCCAAAATGAGTTGTAGATTAGTTGGATATGAACAATGGTATCTTCCATTGCAGGAGTCTGATAAAAAGAAGTTCTTAACCACCCACTGTTCGCAATCCTTCGCAATCCATCTCATTGCATCATATTGTGGCACTTATTTAGGCAAATGGCAAAACAAAACAAAAAACATAGCTCATATGGTCACATTCCAAAAGCTTACATAATAGTAGCAAATTAATGTTACTGACAGTGTTGCAAACTGAATTCAATGTCTTTTTCAAAATTGGTTTATGGTGAATACATATTGTTTGTGAAAACATTTTTATGGATAGATTCATAAGTACTGCTGTAAATTTTTAATAACATTAAGAAGGAAAATGAATACCAGTTTACAAAATTTGTTGCTGTAACCAGGTCCGGAGAGAACATCAGATTGCTGCACTCAGATTATTGAGAGTTTAGAGATTTATTTGACATGCGCGAAACAAACTTTAACGCTTCCTTAAAGAGAGGTAATTCTTTATTGGCACCTTTGCTTTGAGATTTCAGTGAATCCTTCAAATTACAAACTATGTTACGATCATACTCAAATCACTGTACACCTTGTATTCAGAAGGCAAGGGAGGTAACCCATGGTGTATTTTCAAAATGACAGCTATATTACTTGCGCTAGAAAGCTTTCCGAGGACAGTCTCTGTTAAATGCAATAAACTATAAAAGTGCAAAAATGGAAAGTGTTTTACATACATCTGTTATTTCTTGCGCTAAAACTAGTCCCATTTAAAAAAATTGATCACACTTTGCAGTTTGAATTCACTAGCAGGGTAATGATTTGACTGCTTAATCTCGATCCTCTGATGTCATATCGCAATGAACTGTAAACTTAATCTTGCTGAAAACAAAACTTGGCGGTATTTTGTAGATATACAAGGTGTTACATGCTGATTATGTTCCAACTCGAATCAAGCCTATGGCAAATCATAATGATACAAGAGAGCTGTGGTCGAAATGACAAACGCCCTGTAACTTGAGTGCGGCACAGGAATTTATGTACACCCTGAAATCTGGCGTATCTTCCGGACCTGGCAACTGGTTAATCGAGTAATCATGGTGGGTCTATACAAGTTATAATATCATTAGAATTAACCAAATTGTATTATTACATTTGTAGCAGAAAATATTTACAAGATTATAAACTTAAATATTTATTTCTCTCAACATGAACTGTTTGATTCGCATTCTAGACGTTGGCAAATAAGTAAGAAAAACGTACAACTTTACGGCTAACAACTTCTGGTTTAATGCATATAGCGACGTTTCGATGTAGATTCTTTCACCGTTATGAGAGATGTATATGCATGGTATGTTGTGATAAGCAGCAGATTAACACTGACAACAACGGTAGCAAACAGATAAATGGATGTAGCAAATGTACAGTGAGAATCAACAAATAGCCCACAAGTTATGAAGCTCATGGGTAGAGAAGCCAGATATACAATAAGAATAAGGATTAAAGCGATTATACAGCTGTGACAAGCTGATTGGATCCTAATTAAAAAGTCCATTGCAGATGAGATATAATACTCGACTTGTGTTGATCAAAGGTTTGTGACGGTGTATTTCAATAGCTTCTGAAAGTTTTCTTTTGATAAAGTCCTTATGTTTTGTTGTGAGGATTTTGACTGTCAAACTGAATTTGATGGCTTGGGAATTTTTGCTGGTGGTCTGAGGGGCTGATTTGCTGTCTGCTTTGGCAGTTGAAGTTGTGTGTTCTTTGATGCGGGTATCTACTGTGCGGGAGGTTTCACCAATTTACGAGTCACCAGTCACAATTAATCTTATAGATTACCCTTTTGGGGGGTTGTTTGTTGGAGGGGGTTCTGAGACATTGGGAGGGATTGGGAGCCAGCCAATTATCTGGGCTGTAGCCAGACATGATTACTGTTGTTGTCAATGTTATTCTGCTGCTTATCAAAACATGTCATGCATATATACCTCTCATCACTTGGTTGTTGTCGAACCAGTTTAATAACGTTGTAAGTATCTACATAGAAATGTCACTATACGCCATAAACCAGAAGTTGTTATCCATAGAGTTGTACTTTCTTACTCTCAATATGAATTCAAAAGAGTAAATTATTTAGTTTTATGAACTAGGGTTGGGATGAAATAATAGTGTCTGGAGCATTTTCATTTCATTTGTGCAATAAGCAGGGTAGGAATTTTAAAGGTCCATACATAATAATTTATCATTGTGTTGCCAAAGCCAAGGCTTTCCACGTCCTCGGATTCTTGTCAACATGGTAAGTTTTACAGTTCACCATCATGCCAGACAAAACGTAACATGCAACAATGCAACAAATAACATGCATTATTTATTAGGATATCACACGAAGCCGCACACAGTAATATCTCTGATTAAGTAACAGGGTCCACGATAAGGTTTTAGACACGTGCCATTTTGGCCTACTGGTACAGTTTCTAAACTACAACCATCAAGACCTAGATTCTTGTACTTTCTTTTTTAATGTCAACATTCTTAAATCAAAGTAGGTTTACTAAATTGTTTACCAGAGACATTGTCGCCTCCTTCGAAAGGTCTTTTCATAGGATTCTGTGTGAACATTGTCAACGCGATTCGCTCTGCTGTAAATATACCGCACAGCAGCAAAACGTTCACCACGAGTCAAACAATGGCCGCCGGAAGTCGCTTGCTCGATTTGCCTCGTTTTGGGTGCTATGAGCTGTTTCCGAAAAGTCAACAAAACTATTTTCACCGATGAGTGAGTGAATATGGTTTTACGCCGCCTTTAGCACTCTTGCAGCAATATCACGGCGAGGGACATCAGAAATGGGCTTCACACATTGTATGTGGGGAATCAAACCCGGACCTTAAAACGTAAAACATCAAAGCTGTTCGTACCAGGAAAACGTAAAACATCAAAGCCAGTCGTACTAGGAAAACATAAAACATCAAAGCCAGTCATACTAGGAAAACGTAAAACATCAAAGCTATTCGTACTAGGAAAACGTCCGAGAAGTAACATTTTCTCAGATTTAGTCACGTGTAAATTCACATAAGGACGGAAGGAAAAACAATTTAAATCCTTACATATTATATCCGTAAATCAGAGAGTCTAATATTAGTGTCCATAATAAGTATAATAGACTCCAAGCGAAAATGAAACTCCACAACGAAGTTTGAGTGGCCATTTCCTCCAAAGAAAAAAACTCGTAACAATATATATGGGAACTCCAGAAAAGAACGAGACCAAGCATAAGCTGTGTTTGTTTGTTTGTTTGTTTAACACCACACTCAGCAATATTCCAGCTATATGATGGCGGTCTGTAAATAATCGAGTCTGGACCAGACATTCCAGTGACTGATATCATGAGCATCGATCCATGCAATTGGGATACGATGATATGCATCAACCAAGTCAGCAAGCCTGACCACCCGATCCCGTTAGTCGTCTCTTACGACAAGCCTAGTCGCCTTTTACGGCAAGCATGTGTTGCTGAAGATCTATTCTACCCAGGATCTTCACGGGTAATCAAACGTAAGCAAATAATATGCTGCAACATACGGAACATCTAACAAAATGACATAAATAACGAAGGTACTCCGTGGGGATTCCGGGTTAGAAAAGGTAAACATGTGCTTGTCGTAAAATGCGGCTTAAATGGATCGGGTGGTCAGGCTTCGTGACTTGGCTGATTGTGTATCAACGTTAGAGGTTGATCATGATATCAACCACTGGTTTGACTGTTTCAGACTCTATTCTTTACTTATAGCTGCAATATGTCTGAGTGAAGCGTTAAAAACAAAAACAAAAGCACAATTCACGTTGTTGTTGTTTTTGTAAGCATGCCTTTATGTTATATGTGTAGCAGGCACAGGTCCAATACATAAACTGTTGTTTATTGTTTACAGGCTATACAAATTTTGTTTGTTTGTTTGTTTGTTGTTTAACGCCGCACTCGGCAATATTCCAGCTATATGACGGCGGTCTGTAATTAATCGAGTCTGGACCAGACCCAGGATATGCATCAAGCAAGTCAGCGAGCCTGACCACCGGATCACATTTGTCACCTCTTACGACAAACATGGGTTGCTGAAGACCTATTCCAGGCCGGATTTTCACGGGTCAGGAGAATAAATAATAATCGACGTCTTACAACTTTTCAACAGCAACAAATTATATGAAAGCACATTTTTTAATGATTGACGATAAAAATACATTAAATCCAGACATCAGGGAACGTGTAACGTTCTGTTCACCTTTGTGTTATTTTCGTGCAACACATTGTACTTTATAAGACTTCGATGTCTTTCCGACCCTCAGTTATGTTTATGACGTTCCTTGCAACGTCTTCCCCCGGGGCGTTGTGGTATGGGGAATCTGGGGGTCGAGGACGGTGCACGTCAAACCTAAAACGTTACTGAACTATTACCCAAATTGTGCCACGAATTTCACCAAGAAGACATATATAATAAATAGTGCACGTGTTCTTTAACCAATAATACAAGGCTGCAAAACATATTCTGATAAACCTTCGTTTGTTGGGCACAGAATAGAAAGAAAATCTTTGCGGACGTAACTTAGTTGTTTAGAATTGGACGAATATTTCTATGTATGTGCAAGTACACAGAGAAAAACAAAAGCAAAACTGATATTGCACCTTAGATACAGCAAAATGTGATGATATAAATTTTAGGTCCAAAGGAGTTCAGTATCCATTCTATTTGTTGAATTTGAACAAACAAACATGAAACATCAAGTATACGTATTTCACTTCATTTCTTGAACGTTCTCACATAGTAACATCGCAACTTTTGCTTTCAAGTTTTGGTTTTTTTTTGCTTTGACATCCCCTGTTGTGGGAATACGACGTTGTTTATGTATACTTCTGAGTTTCAGACAAAGACTATTTGAGATGTTTGCTCTGTCTTTGCGTGATTCAAAAGCTTCAACTCCTTTTCTTAAAAAAATATACAGATATAAAGTCCATACTACAACCTGAACTCTACATCTTATAACTAATAAATATATCACAGATCACAGCTCTTTGTTAATTCAGAATTTCCCTTCTTAAGTAGTTTAATTAACTTAATTGTTAAAATGGTTATTATTAGACGCCGAATCACCGCTATTCACGGTGCTAATTTAGCAAGAAGATCATTTGATGTACCATTATGTGACAGAATTTGTTTTAATTGTCATAGTACTGCTATCGAATATGAATATCATGTACTCTTTGTTTGTGATAAATACTCATAAATTCTTAGTAAATATCTATGCATTTTATGTACGCTTCAATGTAATTGCATTTTCTCAACACTGGAAGCTTCAGATATGTTGTCAGCTGTGTTGTACGTTTGGTCATTTGGCCTTCATACTGAACATACTCACTTTGAGAAATTGAAATAGACTATGTCGAAGATCGGTGTATATCAGAGTTATCGCCCGCTGTTGTCGAGGGTCTGCCCGGCAAAGAGATTGTAGTTAAAAACAGACCATACGCAAACTGGTCACGGTAAAAATATGGTTAAACGTCCACAGACATCGTCAAAGCACATCCGAAAGACTGAGATTATATTTTTAAAATTATATCATTCTTTTTCATATTCTTCAAACAAGAATCCTGTTTTTGTGTGAAAAGTATGTGTCCGTTTGCGCGTGTATTCCCTGTAGATTGAGTTCAACCAGAGACCATATGGTTCAACTGTCATTTTGCATTTTTGTTGTATCCGTTTTCCTGTCGCCATTGTGTCCTTTAGGGTCGACATGGGAGTCATCATAATACAAGCTTCTACTTGATATAGTGCATTTGTCTTGAGTAGCAGCCGCGCTTGAATATTGCCAAATGTGGCGTTTAACATGAAACAAACACACTGACAAACAAAGCATGCATGTGGATATACAGCGATGACAATAAATAATGTTCAACATTTTGTTTGTTTCTTTTTTATTGTTCTTTAAGTTAAGACTCATAAAACGGATGCATTTACTTATAAAGCTTAATTAGAGACCATATCGGTACATGCATGCTGGTTTTCAGTCCTGTAAGGTTTTGTAAGGATGACATATATGGATGAACAACTACTTTATAATATTACAATTAGGAGCGACGTTTAGATGTAGGTTCTTACACCGAAACCTCGGTCCGAATTGTAATAAGATTTTTCTGTGTCCCCATAAGATTATCCCCATGTGTTAATAATATGTGAAACAACTGATCAGAATCGATTATTGCCCAAATGAATGGTAGAATTCACTATTACTCTATCTAAAAGTATAACACACTTAAATTCTTTAAAAATATCTTACTTTAAAATATAAAACTAGAAATGAAAGCATAATTTGACGATTGTCCAATTTAATTAAAATCAGATCTTAGTTCTCGCTACCGCTTAACAGAGATCTTTGTTTATCGTAGCGAGAACGAAGATCTGATTTTAATGAGATTGACGATTGCCGAGTATGATTGTACTTTCTTCTTTGATTTTGTTTTAAACGTGTCTCTTGTCCGTTTTGAGTTAAATTCTCTTGCCATTTCGCTGCAATGCTGTTTTGGCCGGTTCCTTCGTTATCTGACTGGTGCCTGTCTAGTTGCGATATTTTAGCGCAAATCTTCAATCGGAAAGCATACACGGATATAGGTCAAATGGAAAATGACGAAAACATGTGCAAAGTCTTAGAAACAGGAGTACTTGTCGAAATATTGTGATGCTACCAAAACAAGTGGGCTGACAAAACTAAACAACAATGGTGAAGGAACAATTCAGAGAGGCCGATGTGGCCAAGAAAATGTAAGACATACTTCAAGACATCTAGGCGTAGATCTACCAAGTGACACGAGAAACTATTCATCTCGGGAACATTTGCAATTCCAAAAGCGTTCTTGAGAAAGTGAATTCGCAAATTAAATATATGAAAGGATGTATTATGTTAAGAATAAAGGACTCTTTTTTCACCGTAATTTTATACAATGATCCCGTATTTATAACCAAGTCAAGATTCAGTCACATTTTGAAAATCTATCTTGATAATCTTCAAACAATCCCAAGGTTTCTAATACCGTTCTCTGTCAGTTGGTCATCACTTGTTGTGAAGCTTCAACACTTCCGGATGCAATGACATATAACAAGTATTGACGTTAATTAAATAGTATTTCTGGATTTGTTTTTGGCATTGCAATCTCTACGAACATATGGTCGTTAGTATGCCTACTCCGATATATTATAAGGGTAACGCTGTTTTTCAGGGCATTATCATTTGCAGAAGCCCGAGTTCTTTCATTAACTGCCCGACGAAGGAGTGCAGTTGAAAAGACCGAGGGCTTCTGCAAATGATAATGCCCTGAAAAATAGCATTACCGTTATTATAGCCAAAATGGATGGAATTTGTTATCAAATAAAAAGAAACAACAATATCGGTTTTGAAACATTTACTGCAATCAACACGAATGTCACTGACCCACTTTTACAAATATGGAAACGTCATAGAACAAACCATATGACGTCACTACTGAACGTGACGTCACCTATCCCTATCCTATGACGTCACCTAACAATGGGCGTGATAATGGCCCGTAGTCAAGCAATATGAGGGCATTATCAAGTTACAGTTGCCCGCTCATTTCTGATAAAATGCGGGCGGTTTAATGATAATTCTATCCATTTTAGCTATAATTTATCTAAACAAATTTGTGGATGTCACTTTGTCACACAAAAGTGTTGTTAAAATCTGAATGGATACCATTTGCTCTGGAGCTGGGATATAGATGCAAGCCATTTCAACCCTATTAGCAAAGTTTTATGTATTTTAAATTCCATAACTCACTTAAAATAGAACCTTGGAATGGCAATGACATAATTAACATGTGCATAGTCCCTGACAGTAGATGATCATGCTTGGACAGTCATTACCTGATTGTTATTAGACGGACATAGGACAAATGCATAGGCAGCTCAAGGGCCAGTAATTTCAAAATTGAAGTGAATAGAATAGTTCACAATTTGAAATGTCAGTTTACCTTTTATTAAAATGTAATTTAACTAAATTGTATCCATATGAACTGAACGGTGAAGCATGCAATCTGAATGTATCAGTTTAAAGCACTTTAATTCCTGAAAATAATGTTGGGCAGTTGGCCAATAGAATAGTTCACAATTTGAAATGTCAGTTTACCTTTTATTAAAATGTAATTTAACTAAATTGTATCCATATGAACTGAACGGTGAAGCATGCAATCTGAATGTATCAGTTTAAAGCACTTTAATTCCTGAAAATAATGTTGGGCAGTTGGCCAATAGAATAGTTCACAATTTGAAATGTCAGTTTACCTTTTATTAAAATGTAATTTAACTAAATTGTATCCATATGAACTGAACGGTGAAGCATGCAATCGGAATGTATCAGTTTAAAGCACTTTAATTCCTGAAAATAATGTTGGGCAGTTGGCCAATAGAATAGTTCACAATTTGAAATGTCAGTTTACCCTTTATTAAAATGTAATTTAACTAAATTGTATCCATATGAACTGAACGGTGAAGCATGCAATCGGAATGTATCAGTTTAAAGCACTTTAATTCCTGAAAATAATGTTGGGCAGTTGGCCAGTAAGTTATCTGTAGGACCACTAGTGTGTATATGTTATAACATGTATTAGTGAAACACACCCATACATGTATACCAATGTGAATGATTTACTTATGTGAGGGATAAAACACGACTTGTAGGTTTTGGTGGAAACAGTAAGACCTGAAGGCAGCAGTGACGGAGCTAGTAAAATTGAGGGTGTTAACACTTTACTAGCCAGGGCCCACTTGCGCAAAGCGATCTTAGCACTACAACTATAGTAAGACTATGTTAAAGTATTGGAGTTACGATCATCTTAGCGCTAAGATCGCTTTGTGCAAGTGGGCCCAGGTCTCTGACTCATGTTTTACTATGTCAACCAAAACCGACGAGTTGTGTTTTATCGGACTTATGATCTGTAAGAACAATATAAATTAATATTTGTTTAATATTATGTATGAAAGTGTGTCATGACAGTCAAATGAAATGCTCATAAATATATATGGCCAGGAAATATACACTCAACATGGCACCTTCTGTTTAACCACCTGTCTTCTACCAGCTCTGTAGTCTAAAGGTTGGAGTGCCTGACTGCTGACCAGGAGGTTGTGGGTTCGATCCTGTCATCCATAATGAAGTTTCAACACTGAGGCCAAACTTTATCTGCTACTCAGCTCATCAAGTCTTACTTGGAAAAAGTAAAACCTCAAAGCCAGTCCTACTAGGAAAAAGGAAAACCTCAAAGCCAGTCCTACTAGGAAAAAGTAAAACCTCAAAGCCAGTCATACTATGAAAAAGTAAAACCTCAAAGCCAGTCATACTAGGAAAAAGTAAAACCTCAAAGCCGTCATACTAGGAAAAGGTAAAACATCAAAGCTATTCGTACTAGGGAAACGTAAAACATCAAAGCCAGTCATACTTGGAAAAAGTAAAACCTCAAAGCTATTCGTACTATGAAAACGTAAAACATCAAAGCCAGTCATACTAGGAAAATGTAAAACATCAAAGCCAGTCATACTAGGAAAACGTAAAACATCAAAGCCAGTCATACTAAGAAAGTGTAAAACATCAAAGCCAGTCATACAAGGAAAACGTAAAACATCAAAGCCAGTCATACTAGGAAAAAGTAAAACATCAAAGCCAGTCATACTAGGCAAAAGTAAAACCTCAAAACTATTCATACCAAGAAAACGTAAAACCTCAGAGCTCTTAGTAGGAAAAAGTAAAACCTCCTAAAACTAAGAGGTTATTATGAAGAAACAAGTAGTGTCCAAACCAACAGTGAACATCTATGAAAGGTTTATAAGCAGAGAAGTCACAGGTGCAAGCCAACTACACGTTTGTTATTTATGATACCCAATTTTCCACATGTTAGACATGAGCTCATATGTGCATCATTTTAACCATTGTTTATTATGGTTTCCTCTTCATTTGTCTTCTCATGACACTGCAGTAGAGTGGTAGGGTAGGTTAGGGGTTAAAGTATTAACTTGTCACACCACATGTCCGATGCTGAAGCCCCCTCTTGGTGTCCCTGCCTTGATTTGGCTGGAATATTGTTGAAAGTAGGTGTTACAATAGGTATCTTGTATCAGCTGTATATTGCAGCATGCATATCGTGATGCTTTCTTGTGTTTGCCTCCCCTTTCATTGGGATGAGGGTGGAGAACAGGTGCCCATGTCCCATGCTGTTTGTAAGAGCTGCTGAAGAAGATCGGGTGACCAAGTGTCATCATGCCAGAATGGTGTGACCCACTGCTAAAGCTTTCAGTCAATTGTTTGCCTGGTCCAGACTTGATTGTTTACAGGTCCATGTAATATATCTGGAATAATGCCAAGGATTTATATAGGATTCCAAACTAAGTGACCTTGGCAGGTAAATTGGAAAAAGAAATAATTATTTTGATCCAAATTGGGATGTTAAAACAAATTTGCTTTTAACATTTCATTCAATGTAATTATTAAGCGTAAAGTCTCTTCCTTTTTATTGGTCCTGTTATCAGTGAAAAGTCAACTTAATAAATTCATAACATGTATTGGGAATATCTTTATTCCAATTTGGTTTATTCCAATTTGGTTTATTCCAATTTGCTGCCGACTTGGGTCTGAATATTGGCCATGGAGCAGAATTACATAAATCCCTGATTGCTGACTGTGGTGTTGAACAACATGAGTTACTGTCACTGTGTCACTGTTCCAGCTCCCACGTCACGTTTGGGATGATGACTCCCCAGGAGATGCAGCAAGTCGCCCACATACAGGTGACCTGCAAGAACCTCTACAATCAGGACGGAAGCAGGAAACCTGTCTCTTTCGGGGTCCTCGATCACAAAATGGTGGGCGTCATACAAGTTGTCATGTTTTTACTGAACTACCATTTGGACATGCTTCAAAAGCTTAAATACCTTTTGCAAGATTTGTCACTATGGACAGGCTAGAGAATTGCACAGTGCTAGAATTGCCTAAATCATCCTAATATAGATCTTGTATGATTACTTTACATAAGATGCTACGTGATAAATCGCAAAGAACAATGAAGAATGAAGCGTTGTTTATTCAACGATATAAAATTGTTCTACCATACATCATTTCTGGAGATTTGAACATAAGCTTGAACTTGCTGGTGTCGTAGATTTGACGATGGTTTTTTTTAGAGGGAGATATAATTTATTCTCCTTGCAGTGTCTTATCGATGATAAACAACAACCACGAGTTGTTTATTTCTTTAAAGCATCTCTATTAGCTAATGTTCTATACAGACATAACATCATGTGTTACCACGACCTAATGGACCAGACCTGTGAATTGGTTCATTGCATGTTGTCATGACCTGATGGCTGGGTTATTGCTCATTATAGCAATCTCTGGATTGTCTGGCCCAGACTTCATTATTTACTGGCCAACTTATATCGGGAGTATTGCCGAGTGTGGTGTTACACTACAACAAAACAAAAACAAACATAATACAGGCAATATCATAAGTGATATTTGTAATCAGATCATTTTTTTATGTCTCCAGTGCATTTGTTTTATTTGTATTTCGCTTCAGTAAATCTTTGTTCTTACAGGGGACCAGTGAGAAGGACAACACATGTGACACGTGTGGCAAAGGCCTGGCAGACTGTACTGGTCACTATGGCTTTGTAGAACTGGAACTCCCTGTTTTCCATATTGGATTTTTCCGGACAACTATAACAGTATTACAAATGATTTGTAAGGTAGGGAGACAAATAGCATCTTACCTCGTCTGGCCACATTCGGTTTGGTGTGGTTTATCCCATCATGCACCTCTGTCACATCTAATCCGTGGGGATTCCGGGAAATAATATAGTTCCCCAGAAAGATATGCTTGCTGTAAGGTGACTAAATGGATTGGGTGGGAAGGCTGGTTGATGCAGGTCATTGTATCCCCATTGTGTTCCATGCCCGAATCAGCAGAAGTTTGAAATTTTTTTGTAAGTAGACATAGCAGACAAGTGAAAACTTTGCCATCAACTAAAATGAAATGTATATACACAATGGTATTTGAGTTGCATCACTTAGCTTTCCCAGATAGTTGATAAATGGCATGCTGATTCTGCAAATGTGGCACTGTCGGTGACCTGTGTCATTTAGGGATTTCTTTCGACATTAAAGTGAGTGAGTATAGTTTTACGCCGCTTTTAGCAATATTCCAGCAATATCACGGCGCGGGACACCAGAAATGGGCTTTCGGCATTAAAATGGCACTGATATGTTTAGTCTGAAACCACTCACTTCATAGTCATTTCTTCATGATAATAATCCATTGATTTCTCTCAGAATTGCAGCCACCTACTGCTGCATGCTGCTGATAAGAAGTCCTTCCTGGAGTCTCTGAAGAGGCCAGGGATGACCTACCTTCAGAAGAAAGCTATGAGGAAGAAGATCTACGATGCTGCCAGGAAGGTGCCAATATGTCGTTCCTGTGGAACATATAATGGTGAGATGTTATGGCTTTCTGGAACAAGTAACTTTCGAGTCCAACATTTCCATATCCCCCTCAAGTTTGCCTGCGGCTGGATTATTTACAGATAGTTGAATACAGCTGGATTAATGCTGACTGCAGCATAAAACAGCGTTCAATCATTTATTCCTTTATTTTTTGTGTTTTTGTGTCAGAGGAACAGGTGTTTATTGATCAAGGCACCCCAATTTGCTGTGCAGTGTTGCATCCCTTAGCTGTGTCAGGATTTGCTGTACCTGAGTTTGATTTCAAATTTTGCCTTAATCATGATCCTTGGTTTGTCAGTGACATGCTCGTGGTATTCTACATGAGTCAAGGCACTTAAGACATTATTCAGACTGTCTCCGTGGTTTAGGGGATAGAGCTTCTGCCCAGAGGGTGAAAGGTTGGTGGTTCCAACCCCGGCCGTATCATGTCAAAAGACGTTAAAAGATGTTACTTGTTGTTACCCTGCTCAGAACTTGGCAATAAGGTCGCTCGGAGTCAGTATACCGTGTCTGACTGAAGTATCCATGTTAAACTGTGGCATGGTATATCTGTGTGCTAGCCGGTATTAATCTCGACTAGTACAAGCTGGACCACACTCACGTGCATGCATGTCACTATATAAGTATGATAATCTTATACACCACGTTAAACCCCTTGACACAAGGACATACGGTGAGGTCCTGGGCCCACTTCCACAAAGCAATCTTAGCGCTGCGATGATCATAAGCCTATTTTAGTGCGTGGGTGTCACGATCACCTTAGTGGTAAGATTGTTTTGTGGAACGTGTGCTGTAACCTCGGGGCTGGCATTTCCACCTGAGAATGCCCTCTGAGATAAACCAGGGTAAAGGCTGTGTTTTCAATCTCAACTACATATCAGCCTCCAAGTCTGTATCCTAGGAACAGCCACTGAATCACACAGCCACTGAATCACAGAGCCACTGAATCACAGAGCCACTGGATCACACAGCCACTGGATCACAGAGCCACTGGATCACACAGCCACTGGATCACAGAGCCACTGGATCACACAGCCACTGGATCACACAGCCACTGGATCACAGAGCCACTGGATCACACAGCCACTGGATCACACAGCCACTGGATCACAGAGCCACTGGATCACACAGCCACTGAATCACAGAGCCACTGGATCACACGGCCACTGGATCACACAGCCACTGGATCACACAGCCACTGGATCACAGAGCCACTGGATCACACAGCCACTGGATCACACGGCCACTGGATCACACAGCCACTGGATCACACAGCCACAACGTCACACGGCCACAAGGTCACCCAGACAATGGAGTTCCTGTGGTTTGCTGCTGTAGTGTTTGAATCTAAGGATGCCAACTTTTGTAACATTTAACAATGGTTCTGACAAGGACCCTTGGCTTAATTTGAACACTGCTTTATCTGGTTACTCTTACAGGAATGGTGAAGAAATGCGGCCTCTTAAAGATTATACATGACCGTTACAAACAAAACAGAAAAGGAGGAGAGCCTGTTTTTACGGAGTTCGTTGGTTCGTTTCAAAGTGCCAATGAAAGCAATAAGGAACTTGAAGGACTCTTGCCTAAAACACAGGTGAACTATTTACTTAGTTGGGTTATGATTCTTGTCATTTCTTAAACATGGTAAATACTGTATTCGACGTAATAAGCGCCCGGGGCGTCTCAAAATTAGGAATAGGGGGCTCTTATTAGAATATAAGTTTGGTAAGAAATAAACAGAGTTGAAAGGTTGTAAATTTTGTAGTTTATGCTGACAGTCTGAAAGGATACAAAAGAAAAGTCTGTGTTTATTATACACGACATATATTTTCCAGAATTTAATTGCCCATAATTAAGGGTGCATATAACACACGAGTGCGTATTATACACGAACAAATAAGCCTTGTGTACATTGATCAATCGAAAGGGGTGCTAACTGGGATTGTTCACTAGCCAATATATTAGGAAATATCGCCGTGGGCGCTTATTACGTTGAATTCTGTACTTTAATGTGATCAGATAGGAAACTATTTTACGGAATCATCATATTTTCTTTTCGTAGATTTTGAAGTTGAAATATTTCCATATTTTGGGAGTTTTAACATGGAGTTTTTCCTCACCGTGTCCTTTTCGTGTTAATCACACAAGGTTTAACCCTTCTTGTGTTTTTATCTCAGGTCAGCCTTTCTTTTGTTTTAATCTCAGGTCAGCCTTTCTTGTCCTCCTGTAACATTAAAGAAGTATAATATTGTATTGGCTTGCAGGAGGTGCTCAATCCATTGTCAGTGCTTCATCTGTTTGAGCGTATACGAGATGAGGTAAGCTTGCGTTCACTGAATGGGGAGAGCATCTTTATACCAGAAGGAGGGGTAGCCGAGTGGTTAAAGTGCTTGCTTGTCATGCTGAGGGTCCTGGTTTGATTCCACACATGGTGTCCACAGATGTAATATTTCTGGGATATTGTTAAAAGCTGCTTAAAGCTATACTCACTTAGACAGAAGGATGTATGTATCACAGGGAGACTGAGAACTTCAACTGTATACTGACACAGCTGACATTGTAAGAATCTGCGAACAATATACTTCACTTCCGATTCACCTGGGGGGTGGGGTAGCCTAGTGGTTAAAGCGTTCGCTAGTCACGCTGAAGGCTAGGGTTTGATTTACCACTTGGATACGACGTGTGAAGCCCCATTTCTGGTGTCCCCTACCGTGATATTGCAGAAATATTGCTTAAAGCGGTGTAAAATCCAAATCAATCAATCAATCAATCAATCAATCAATCAATCTGTAGTTTTGTGACTGTTGGTGTGTTTGTTACAGGATATTCCCCTGTTGTTGATGAACCCAACAGTGGGAAGGCCAGAAAACCTCATCCTCACTCGCATCCTTGTCCCACCCATCTGCATACGGCCTTCCGTTGTCTCGGACCTCAAGTCGGGCACGTGAGTAACAATGTTGTCCCTCACACATACTGATGCCACCCAAACTATTGTGACCCCTCTCTTGTTGATTATCCGACATACTGGCAGTCAGCTTTACCAAACTGTCCAACTGTAATCATGGTAATACGTAGGAGATATTTCTTGTGTTCAAGTGGCAATAAATGCTGTGATGCATTAGTACTGTGTTGGGGAAAGAATTCTGTTTCTGTATATATGTCTGTTAGTTTAGCCACGATGACGTCATACACTCGTGTGGCCGCTTTCTAATGGATGGCCTGTTTCTTGCTTCGAACAAGGCCGTAGCATGTCTTGTTTGTTGTTTAATGCTGCACTCAGTATATTCAAGCAATATGACAATTTCTGTAATATGAGTCTGGACCCTACAATCTAGTGATTGACGTCGCGAAAATCATCTTAATTAAGATACGATGAGATGCATCAACCAAGTCAGCCAGTCTGACCACGTGTTAGTCGCTTCTTATGACAAGCATGGGTTGCTGAAGACCAATTCTAAGCCAGATATTCAGTCATGATATTACCAGTGCATGTGAAAACCTTTTGAGTATTATCCCAGACTTGTATTTTGACATTAGTTTGACTGTTTTATACTTTAAGTTCATGGACTTATGAAGTTATTTTACTAGACTCTGGACTGGTGTTTTTATTACAAAAGTATGTTTGGCGATTGTCTTGAACCTGTAAGCTGGACTGTCACGGGGAGGGACAATATGTCATCCACTTTCAACATTGTATGTTGCAGGAATGAAGATGATATTACAATGAAGCTGACCGAAATCATTTTCCTGAATGATGTGATTCAGAAACATCGTGCTACTGGGGCCAAGATGCAGATGATTATGGTAAGAATGTCCTGGTCTTGTAGTGCCCTGCACAGGCACTGCTTTGTTCAATTCACCTGCGTCATGGTAAGAATGTCCTGGTCTTGTAGTGCCCTGCACAGGCACTGCTTTGTTCAGTTCACCCGCGTCATGGTGAGAATGTCCTGGTCTTGTAGTGCCCTGCACAGGCACTGCTTTGTTCAGTTCACCCGCATCATGGTGAGAATGTCCTGGTCTTGTAGTGACCTGCACAGGCACTGCTTTGTTCAGTTCACCTGCATCATGGTGAGAATGTCCTGGTCTTGTAGTGCCTGCACAGGCACTGCTTTGTTCAGTTCACCTGCATCATGGTGAGAATGTCCTGGTCTTGTAGCGCCCTGCACAGGCACTGCTTTGTTCAGTTCACCTGCATCATGGTAAGAATGTCCTGGTCTTGTAGTGCCCTGCACAGGCACTGCTTTGTTCAGTTCACCCGCGTCATGGTGAGAATGTCCTGGTTGTAGTGACCTGCACAGGCACTGCTTTGTTCAGTTCACCCGCGTCATGGTGAGAATGTCCTGGTCTTGTAGTGACCTGCACAGGCACTGCTTTGTTCAGTTCACCCGCGTCATGGTGAGAATGTCCTGGTCTTGAAGTGAACCAGGCACTGCTTTGTTCAGTTCACCTGCGTCATGGTGAGAATGTCCTGGTCTTGTAGTGACCTGCACAGGCACTGCTTTGTTCAGTTCACCCGCGTCATGGTGAGAATGTCCTGGTCTTGTAGTGACCTGCACAGGCACTGCTTTGTTCAGTTCACCTGTGTCATGGTGAGAATGTCCTGGTCTTGTAGTGCCTGCACAGGCACTGCTTTGTTCAGTTCACCTGCGTCTTGAACTGCTTAAGATATATATACTATGACAACAACTTGCACGTCGAGTCAACACATGGGATATATGATGTCTTTATTCATTCTTCGTCAACAATATCAGCGTCAGTTGCAGTTAATGTCAGTCAGTTGGTGTTGCTATAAATGAGTTGGTGGGATTGCTTCAAATAGAGTTTGGCGTAAAATGATACAGATTTAAATGAATACAGTACTTACATTACTGAAATTAAATAAATATATCTCTGCTGCAACATAACGACTTATGATGGGACATCATCACCGCTCACTGAGTTCCTGACGTGATGCCTTCGTTTGCAGGAAGACTGGGATTTCCTGCAGCTGCAGGTGGCGCTGCTATACAACAGTGAGACGTCCGGCATCCCCCTCCACATGCAGGTGAGTAATTAGGGGCAGGTACAGTGAATAGGACCAGTCCAAACTAGGCCTGCCTTGTTGTGTGAGACAACTAGGCCTACCTTGTTGTGTGAGACAACTAGGCCTACCTTGTTGTGTGAGACAACTAGGCCTACCTTGCTGTGTGAGACAACTAGGCCTACCTTGCTGTGTGAGACAACTAGGCCTACCTTGCTGTGTGAGACAACTAGGCCTACCTTGCTGTGTGAGACAACTAGGCCTACCTTGCTGTGTGAGACAACTAGGTCTACCTTGCTGTGTAAGACAACTAGGTCTACCTTGCTGTGTCAGACAACTAGGTCTAGCTTGCTGTGTGAGACAACTAGGTCTAGCTTGCTGTGTGAGACACTTAGGCCTAGTTGCTGTGTGAGACAATTAGGTCTAGCTTGCTGTGTGAGACAACTAGGTCTAGCTTGCTGTGTGAGACAACTAGGCCTACCTTGCTGTGTGAGACAACTAGGTCTAGCTTGCTGTGTGAGACAACTAGGTCTAGCTTGCTGTGTGAGACAATTAGGCCTACCTTGCTGTGTGAGACGACTAGGTCTACCTTGCTGTGTGAGACGACTAGGTCTACCTTGCTGTGTGAGACAACTAGGCCTACCTTGCTGTGTGAGACAACTAGGTCTAGCTTGCTGTGTGAGACAACTAGGCCTACCTTGCTGTGTGAGACAACTAGGTCTACCTTGATGTGTGAGACACCTAGGCCCAGCTTGCTGTGTGAGACAACTAGGCCTAGCTTGCTGTGTGAGACAACTAGGCCTACCTTGCTGTGTGAGACAACTAGGCCTACCTTGCTGTGTGAGACAACTAGGCCTACCTTGCTGTGTGAGACAACTTGGCCTACCTTGCTGTGTGAGACAACTAGGTCCAGCTTGCTGTGTGAGATAACTAGGCCCAGCTTGCTGTGTGAGACAACTAGGTCTACCTTGCTGTGTGAGACAACTAGGCCAACCTTGCTGTGTGAGACAACTAGGCCTACCTTGCTGTGTGAGACAACTTGGCCTACCTTGCTGTGTGAGACAACTAGGTCCAGCTTGCTGTGTGAGACACCTAGGCCCAGTTTGCTGTGTGAGACAACTAGGTCTACCTTGCTGTGTGAGACAACTAGGCCTAGCTTGCTGTGTGAGACACCTAGGCCCAGCTTGCTGTGTGAGACACCTAGGCCTTGCTTGTTGTGTAAGACAACTAGGCCTAGCTTGCTGTGTGAGACACCTAGGCCCAGCTTGCTGTGTGAGACACCTAGGCCTAGCTTGTTGTGTTAGACAACTAGGCCTTGCTTGCTGTGTGAGACACCTAGGCCTAGCTTGTTGTGTGAGACAACTAGGCCTACCTTGCTGTGTGAGACACCTAGGCCCAGCTTGCTGTGTGAGACACCTAGGCCTAGCTTGCTGTGTGAGACACCTAGGCCCAGCTTGCTGTGTGAGACAACTAGGCCTACCTTGCTGTGTGAGACAACTAGGTCCAGCTTCCTGTGTGAGACACCTAGGCCCAGCTTGCTGTGTGAGACAACAAGGCCTACCTTGCTGTGTGAGACAACTAGGCCTACCTTGCTGTGTGAGACACCTAGGCCTACCTTGCTGTGTGAGACACCTAGGCCTACCTTGCTGTGTGAGGCATCTAGGCCTACCTTGCTGTGTGAGACACCTAGGCCTACCTTGCTGTGTGAGACACCTAGGCCTACCTTGCTGTGTGAGACACCTAGGCCTACCTTGCTGTGTGAGACACCTAGGCCTACCTTGCTGTGTGAGACAACTAGGTCCAGCTTGCTGTGTGAGACACCTAGGCCCAGCTTGCTGTGTGAGACACCTAGGCCCAGCTTGCTGTGTGAGACAACTAGGCCCAGCTTGCTGTGTGAGACAACTAGGCCCAGCTTGCTGTGTGAGACAACTAGGTCTACCTTGCTGTGTGAGACACCTAGGCCCAGCTTGCTGTGTGAGACACCTAAGCCCAGCTTGCTGTGTGAGACAACTAGGCCTAGCTTGCTGTGTGAGACAACTAGGCCCAGCTTGCTGTGTGAGACACCTAGGCCCAGCTTGCTGTGTGAGACAACTAGGCCCAGCTTGCTGTGTGAGACACCTAGGCCTACCTTGCTGTGTGAGACACCTAGGCCCAGCTTGCTGTGTGAGACAACTAGGCCCAGCTTGCTGTGTGAGACAACTAGGCCTAGCTTGCTGTGTGAGACAACTAGGCCTACCTTGCTGTGTGAGACACCTAGGCCCAGCTTATTGTGTGAGACAACTAGGCCTAGCTTGCTGTGTGAGACAACTAGGTCTACCTTGCTGTGTGAGACAACAAGGCCTACCTTGCTATTTGAGACACTTAGGCCTAGCTTGTTGTGTGGGACAACTAGGTCTACCTTGCTGTGTGAGACAACTTGGCCTACCTTGCTATTTGAGACAACTAGGCCTAGCTTGCTATTTGAGACACTTAGGTCTAGCTAGCTGTGTGAGACAACTAGGTCTAGCTTGCTGTGTGAGACAACTAGGCCTACCTTGCTGTGTGAGACAACTTGGCCTACCTTGCTATTTGAGACAACTTGGCCTACCTTGCTATTTGAGACACTTAGGTCTAGCTAGCTGTGTGAGACAACTAGGTCTTGCTTGCTGTGTGAGACAACTAGGCCTACCTTGCTGTGTGAGACAACTAGCTCTACCTTGCTGTGTGAGACAACTAGGTCTAGCTTGCTGTGTGAGACAACTAGGTCTAGCTTCCTGTGTGAGACAATTAGGCCTACCTTGCTTTGTAAGACGACTAGGTCTACCTTGCTGTGTGAGACAACTAGGCCTACCTTGCTGTGTGAGACAACTAGGTCTAGCTTGCTGTGTGAGACAACAAGGCCTACCTTGCTGTGTGAGACAACTAGGTCTACCTTGCTGTGTGAGACACCAAGGCCTACCTTGCTGTGTGAGACAACTAGGCCTACCTTGCTGTGTGAGACAACTAGGCCAATCTTGCTGTGTGAGACAACTAGGCCTACCTTGCTGTTGAGACAACTAGGCCTACCTTGCTGTGTGAGACAACTTGGCCTACCTTGCTGTGTGAGACAACTAGGTCCAGCTTGCTGTGTGAGATAACTAGGCCCAGCTTGCTGTGTGAGACAACTAGGTCTACCTTGCTGTGTGAGACAACTAGGTCCAGCTTGCTGTGTGAGACACCTAGGCCAAGCTTGCTGTGTGAGACAACAAGGCCTACCTTGCTGTGTGAGACAACTAGGCCTACCTTGCAGTGTGAGACAACTAGGCCTACCTTGCTGTGTGAGACAACTAGGTCTAGCTTGCTGTGTGAGACAACTAGGCCTACCTTGCTGTGTGAGACAACTAGGTCTACCTTGCTGTGTGAGACACCAAGGCCTACCTTGCTGTGTGAGACAACTAGGCCTACCTTGCTGTGTGAGACAACTAGGCCAATCTTGCTGTGTGAGACAACTAGGCCTACCTTGCTGTTGAGACAACTAGGCCTACCTTGCTGTGTGAGACAACTTGGCCTACCTTGCTGTGTGAGACAACTAGGTCCAGCTTGCTGTGTGAGATAACTAGGCCCAGCTTGCTGTGTGAGACAACTAGGTCTACCTTGCTGTGTGAGACAACTAGGTCCAGCTTGCTGTGTGAGACACCTAGGCCAAGCTTGCTGTGTGAGACAACAAGGCCTACCTTGCTGTGTGAGACAACTAGGCCTACCTTGCTGTGTGAGACAACTAGGTCTACCTTGCTGTGTGAGACAACTAGGCCTACCTTGCTGTGTGAGACAACTAGCTCTACCTTGCTGTGTGAGACAACTAGGTCTAGCTTGCTGTGTGAGACAACTAGGTCTAGCTTGCTGTGTGAGACAATTAGGCCTACCTTGCTTTGTAAGACGACTAGGTCTACCTTGCTGTGTGAGACAACTAGGCCTACCTTGCTGTGTGAGACAACTAGGTCTAGCTTGCTGTGTGAGACAACTAGGCCTACCTTGCTGTGTGAGACAACTAGGTCTACCTTGCTGTGTGAGACACCAATGCCTACCTTGCTGTGTGAGACAACTAGGCCTACCTTGCTGTGTGAGACAACTAGGCCAATCTTGCTGTGTGAGACAACTAGGCCTACCTTGCTGTTGAGACAACTAGGCCTACCTTGCTGTGTGAGACAACTTGGCCTACCTTGCTGTGTGAGACAACTAGGTCCAGCTTGCTGTGTGAGATAACTAGGCCCAGCTTGCTGTGTGAGACAACTAGGTCTACCTTGCTGTGTGAGACAACTAGGTCCAGCTTGCTGTGTGAGACACCTAGGCCAAGCTTGCTGTGTGAGACAACAAGGCCTACCTTGCTGTGTGAGACAACTAGGCCTACCTTGCTGTGTGAGACAACTAGGTCTACCTTGCTGTGTGAGACAACTAGGCCTACCTTGCTATTTGAGACACTTAGGCCTAGCTTGTTGTGTGAGACAACTAGGCCTAGCTTGCTGTGTGAGACAACTAGGTCTACCTTGCTGTGTGAGACAACTAGGCCTACCTTGCTATTCGAGACACTTAGGCCTAGCTTGTTGTGTGAGACAACTAGGTCTAGCTTGCTGTGTGAGACACTTAGGCCTAGTTGCTGTGTGAGACACTTAGGCCTAGCTTGTTGTGTGGGACAACTAGGCCTACCTTGCTGTGTGAGACAACTAGGTCTAGCTTGCTGTGTGAGACAACTAGGTCTAGCTTGCTGTGTGAGACAACTAGGCCTAGCTTGCTGTGTGAGACAACTAGGCCTAGCTTGCTGTGTGAGACAACTAGGTCTAGCTTGCTGTGTGGATATCAGGAAACAGAAATGATGTTTTCAGGCTAATCTGTTAAACTACAATATTCAGTCATACATGTACATGGTGATGTAAACAATAACATCTTTATTAGATTGTTTCTGATAAGAATTGAGTTCAACTTGATGAAAAAAATTAATCAAGATATTAGAAAATAAGCTGTGATATTTTAATTCATTAACTTGCAGCAGTAATTTTTCTGTCAATTTAGCCAAAGAAGTCGATGCGAGGGTTTGTACAGAGGTTAAAGGGCAAACAGGGTCGTTTCCGTGGAAACCTGTCAGGAAAACGTGTTGATTATTCTGGAAGAACTGTGATCTCTCCTGACCCCAACATGAGAATAGATCAGGTAGGTGACCGAGAAAACGTGTCATACAGTCTCTCAAGGGAGTCGCGTAGGGGACATCTGAATGTTGTAGATGTTGTTACACAGTTAAAGTGTGGTGAGAGCCATGTCACTTCCTGTTTGTTTGTTGTTTGTTTGTTTGTTTGTTTGTTTGTTTGTTGCTTAATGCCACACTCAGCAATGTTCCAGCAAATGATGGAGGTCTGTAAATAATCAAGTCGGACCATCCGTTAGTCACCTCTTACAACATTGGTTGCTAAAGACAAGTTCTAACCTACATCTTTACATGATTCAGATTAGATAACTACCCACCCCTTGTTTTACCTCGGGGGTTGCAGGGCATCATCTGCATGTCATGGGTTCCCAGTCGCAGATTTACCCAAATTACGATCCTCGGGTTCTATGCACCATCATGTATTCATGGGTTTAAAAAAAGTGGCACCTGGGTAAACGTCACATTAAGCTGACATGATGTGACTAAGTACAGTTTTAGCAGAGTTAACCAGAACTCCTCCCGCCACAGATACTCGGATCCCATGGGGAATCTGAGTTAGAACTGGTCCCCAGCAACCGGTGCTGCGGCCAAGTGGTCAAACTTGGTGACTTGATTAATACCGTGTCCTCGTAACCCTGATGTTGTTCACAATATCAATAACTGGAGTGTCTGGTCCAGATTACTCACAGGCTGCCGTCATATAGTAGGAATAGTGCGGAGTGTGGCATGAAACAACAACAAACAAACATTAACGAAGAGACCCCTGACTTCTGTTTGGGGCTCAGGTGACTCCGTGGTCTCAATCTTCCCAACTAAAACTCATTTCAATCCGTGTTAAACCCAACTGAAACATGTTTTAAACAGTGTAAAACCCAACTGAAACATATCTTAAACACTGTTAAACCCAACTGAAACATGTTTTAAACACTGTTAAACCCAACTGAAACATGTCTTAAACACTGTTAAACCCAACTGAAACATGTTTTAAACACTGTTAAACCAAACTGAAACATGTCTTAAACAGTGTTAAACCCAACTGAAACATGTTTTAAACAGTGTTAAACCCAACGGACTGACTGTTTTGTAGGTAGCAGTGCCAGAGCATGTGGCCAAGATCCTGACTTACCCAGAAAAGGTGAACAGAGCTAACATCAAGCTGATGAAGCAGCTAGTGCTCAACGGCTGTGAGGTCCATCCAGGAGCCAACTTCATCCAACAGAGGGACAACAACATCAAGAGGTATGAGACAAGACATTGTGATAGGTTTTCAGGACCAGAGAAGTGCACTTTAAATAGCCAAGTAGTTGTAACAATAGTCATAATATTTTTTAACTTCAGATGCCACTCGGAGCAAAATGAGTGTCTCGTATCTTTTCATTTCCTTCCAAGCAAGAATAGTATTTTGCAATATCTATAGAAATATATGACCCTTTCAGGTTTTTGAAGTACGGAAACCGCCAGAAAATAGCCAGCAGTTTGAAGTTTGGTGACACTGTGGAGAGGCATCTAATGGATGGCGATGTGGTTCTGTTCAACAGGCAGCCGTCCCTGCATAAACTCAGCATACAGGCTTTTTATGTGAGTTGACAGGCTTAGCCAATTAATGAGGCTCCTTAGTTGTTGTTTTAGTGTTACATGGATAACTTGACTTAACATGTGACCAGTTTTTTGTGACCCACAATTGAATGACGTGTCTCTGTTGAGGCAGTCTCATTAAAATCAAATCTTACTTCTCGCTACCGCTAAACAAAGATCTGAGGACATCTCATTACAGGTCATGTAATCGTCACCTACAAGACCAGGAAAGTGACAGTCGGATTGTGTTTTCAAATCATGCAACCTCAAAACATTTAACACAGGGTATATGCTACAGGCTTTATGACTAAATCCATACAATCTAGGACGTCTATTAGCTATTCCAGGATGTCCTTTTGTTCGGTTTTCAAATTTTTAATTGAGAACTTGTCAAAATATGTTTTGAAGCGTAGTCGCCAGTTTGAAACTAGTGCCTTAAAGCTTGAGAAAGCTGCCTTCTGATTGGCAAATGTCGACTTCTTGCAAGTCATTCCATTGGTCAGGTCACGAAAGGTCAGTCTGACATTACCCATAATGGGATGTCCTCAGATCTTTGTCCGGCGGTAGCAATAACTAAGATCTGATTTTAATGAGATTGCTGTTGAGGATAATTCCATATCTTCATGATCTTTACTTCACAGTTTATTTTCATTTCAATTGAAGCGTGAAGTGAAAAAAACGGTTTTACTGTCATTTACACACCTATCAATGTGTTCGCCAAACGAGGTGTGAATGGCTGTCCCCTTTCCTGCAGGCCAAGGTCATGCCAAATCGGACATTCCGTTTCAATGAATGCTGCTGTGGCCCCTTCAACGCCGACTTTGACGGAGACGAGATGAACCTCCATCTTCCCCAGACAGAGGAGGCAAAGGCAGAGGCAATCACACTGATGGGGGTAAGGTGTCCTAGGGAGACGGTCTGATTTCAGTTATGATTTTAGTATTTAAAATTGTGGACATTTTATTGTGAACCCTGGAAGTTGAACGTTGTTGGCTAGTGCTGTGTGTGTCCAAGTTTATGTGTTGGATGTCATGCAGAAGAAACTGGTTCGATCAGAACATGAACCATTGATTGTCTCCTTGTCCTGATAAGTGTCCCATTAGTAAACTCACCATGTGTAGAAATAGGTTGTTAGTCATATAGGGGGCATGAGGGTCCCCGTTGTCTGAGGTGCCTCAATCTAGAAAGTTGCCCCCCTTAGGCATGCTAGGAACATTGTGTGTGTGGTCTTGAATCCCATATCCAGGCTTGTATCTCGGTTGTTACCATCACTTGTGCTTGTGGTTCCACCAAAGTGGTAAGCCTCTAAGACCTGCATCATTTCGGGCTTTCCTTGCATATCAAACTGACATTCTTTGTTATGGCTGAAAAACATGCCCTGTACTGTTGTTGGAAACACAAATCAGTCAAGGTTGGAATATAACGATATATAGATTGTCATGTTGCATGTAGTATCTACGTGAAGGTCCAGGCCATTGTTCCCTGAAATAATATTACCAAGTGTTTTAGGTCTTTAACTATGACCCGTGAAGATCCGGGGTAGAGTAGGTCTTCATCAACCCATGCTTGCCATAACAGGCGACTATGCTTGTCGATCGGGTGGTCAGGCTCACTGACTTGGTTGATGCATGTCATCGTATCCCAATTGCGTGGATTGATGCTGGAATGTCTGGTCCAAACTCGACTGTTTACAGACCGCCGCGTATAGCTGGAATATTGCTGAGTGCGGCGTAAAACAACTAACCAACTAACCAACCAACTTTAACATGTCTAATACTTAAACATCGAAGTAGCACTAAGAAAGGTTTGTGGAAAGTGTCCCCAGTCTTATACTTTCTACTCACGTCTCCACTTCAGTCTAAATCCAACATCATCACACCCAGGAATGGAGAGCCACTGATTGCAGCTATACAGGATTTCATCACAGGTGAGTTATATTTTACAATTTGTAGCAAAGCTTAATGTTCTCATCTTCACTTCAAGACCTGATCTGTGGGATTTAGAAAACAATAGGGATTTGGGGAAACCCTGTGAGAACTGTCTGTGATGGACTAGCTGTCTTTGTTTGTGAGTGGATGTTCTGACAGCCTGTGTTTCTGCAGGTGCTTGCCTCGTGACCCTGTGATGTGATGGACTAGCTGTCTGTGTCTGTGAGTGGATGTTCTGACAGCCCATGTTTCTGCAGGTGCTCACCTCATGACCCTGTTTGTGATGGACTAGCTGTCTGTGTCTGTGAGTGGATGTTCTGACAGCCTGTGTTTCTGCAGGTGCTTACCTCGTGGCCCTGTGAGCACTGACTGTGATGGACTAGCTGTCTGTGCCTGTGAGTGGATGTACTGACAGCCTGTGTTTCTGCAGGTGCTCACCTCATGACCCTGTGAGAACTGTTTGTGATGGACTAGCTGTCTATGTTTGTGAGTGGATGTACTGACAGCCTGTGTTTCTGCAGGTGCTCACCTCATGACCCTGTGATGTGATGGAGTAGCTGTCTGTGTCTGTGAGTGGATGTTCTGACAGCCTATGTTTCTGCAGGTGCTCACCTCATGACCCTGTTTGTGATGGACTAGCTGTCTGTGTCTGTGAGTGGATGTACTGACAGCCTGTGTTTCTGCAGCTGCTTACCTCATGACCCTGTTTGTGATGGACTAGCTGTCTGTGTCTGTGAGTGGATGTACTGACAGCCTGTGTTTCTGCAGGTGCTCACCTCATGACCCTGTTTGTGATGGACTAGCTGTCTGTGTCTGTAAGTGGATGTACTGACAGCCTGTGTTTCTGCAGGTGCTTACCTCGTGACCCAGAAGGACGTCTTCTTTGACCGAAGCCGTGCCTGTCAACTTGTGTCCTCCATGTTGGCTGCCAAAGACATGAAAATCAAAATTGACCTGCCTCCCCCGGCGATCTGGAAGGTAAGTCGTCATCCTTCAGTGTCTCCAAGCAGTTTTGTTCCACTATGTTGAACATGTTTACTAGCACACATGGGGTTGTTGGGTAGCCTAGTGGTTAAAGCGTTCACTCGTCACCCAGAAGAGCCAGGTTCGATTCCTAACATGGGTACAATGTGTGGAGCCCATTTCTGGTGTCCCCGGCGTGATATTGCTTGAATATTGCTTAAAGCGGCATAAAACCATACTCAATCACAGCTAGCACACATATACTCAGAGTTTGGTTGACATGTAAGTTACTGATTCGTTGACCCAATTTCAACTTTTGTCCCTGCAGCCATGCAAGCTGTGGACAGGGAAGCAGATCTTCAGTCTGCTGATGCGGCCCAATAGGTCGTGTCCTGTGAAGGCCAACCTGAGGACCAAGGGCAAGAACTACACCCAGGACGAGGACCTGTGCACAAACGATTCATGTGAGTCTGTTTGGGAAGACATCCTTCAGTCTGATCTAGTACCAGATCCCCTTGATGCTGAAAATTTTCATACTACTTTCCAACAACTTTCACTTAGACCGTATTTTTTTTAATATAATAAAAAATAAAATAATAGTAGTGTCAGCTGTCATATAGCAGGAACATTGCTGAGTGCAACAAACAAAAAGAACAAATATCAAAGATATAAACAAACTTGCTGATGTTTTTTTGTGAGCATTACCTAAATGTTGACTACTATACAACACAACTTAGTTCACTATGTGTGTTTCATCTTGATTATGGTAAGTAAGTTTCAATATGGTGTTTCTGAATGCTTGGTTTTTAGGGGTGGTGATCCGAAACAGCGAGCTTCTGTGTGGATCCATGGACAAGGCCACCTTGGGATCCGGCTCCAAGAACAACATCTTCTACATCATTCTGCGAGACTACGGCCAGGAATATGCAGCTGACGCCATGTCCAGACTCGCTCGACTTTGTCCGGCCTACCTCTGTCAGTATTAATCTCAGTACATATAGTCCAAACATATAGTTACGTCCTATCTTAATGAGGGGCAGCTTCAGTACCCATTGGTTGATATTTTAATTTCCCAGTGGGAGAAACTGATTGTGTATTTCCCCTGATTGTCACCAACGGGATATTTCTTCTAGCGCCCTAAGGCAGCCCGGGTTGTATACTCCCAAGGGAGTTGAGAATGATAACTGGAATGCGAATGGGTCCACCTGCCAGGAAACAAATATAACTGCTTTTGAGCAGATACTAGTTGTTGGATACCTGCGGAATAATAATAATAAAAATTGACAATTATAACAAACCATTTAACATGTTTAGGAGTATATACTCTCTACCATGTTTAGTCCTAACTTTGATGCATTCTGTTAGGGTCAGTTTTTATTATCCGTCTTGCAGCCAACCGAGGGTTTTCTATCGGCATTGGTGATGTCACACCCGGTCTAGGTTTGATCAAGGCCAAGAACGCGCTCCTGGATGATGGGTAAGGCTCACATTGTTATTGGGATGTAACCTACATGTAGAGAATCTCTCGCTTGTGTCTCTTGGTAGCAAGTATATCCACACAAGTCGAGAAAAGTTTAAACCTCTGAGGCTTGTCGTAGATTTTTAAACTTTTATCAACTCGTGTGGCTAAATTTGGTCACAAAAGACACTCGGGTAAGATTCTATTTATCATCCTAAATCATTCTTCCCGCCTTTTGAGTTTGTTAACAGTAATAACCAGTGTCTTGAGTGTAAAAGTAGATCTCACCAGCCTCAGTGGCAGAGAGATTACTGATGTCATTTGATTATGTCACCATGGTAACCGATGATGTCACAATGGCAAAAAGCATTGCAATTACATCTTGTAGGAGATATGGCTTGATCACACTGAAGACATATCTCCTGTGGAAGTCAGTTGTGGATGATAAATCGTGATCTTTGACTGTCTTCTCTAAATATTGATAAGTTATACTTACATTGTTTTGCTGTCTGGTGATTCTTGACCCACTCGTGCCTCTGGTCCGGACCATCTTTGTCAGGTGCTGCGATAGAGCTGTGTTATTGCTGACTGTGATGTAACATTTACACATGTATGTAACGTTGTGCAGCCGATACATGAAATGAAATATGTTCCAATTGTTTTCATAGATTTTACATTCCAATCAGCTGAAAACATTGTATAATAATACCGACAGTGTCAGTGATTGCCAGACTCTGTGTGTGAATGTCTCCGTCTGACTGCAGGTACAGTAACTGTGACAGCTACATCCGAGACCTGGAGGACGGCAAGCTCCAGACACAGCCAGGATGCTCGGAGGAGGAAACACTCGAGGTTCGTGTTTCTGTCATGATCTGGAGGATAATTCCCTACAATGAAATGATCCTCTGTCAGTGATTTCATAAACATATTAATAGGCTTTATGACCTCACAGGAAGTACTTTCGTATTATTTTGTTATATGTTTCCCTCATTGAATCATGCTCCTATGGCAACTCCATGCATGCCCACCTTCCATGCTACAGGCCATGATCCTGAAGGAGTTGTCTGTGATCCGAGACCATGCGGGGAAGGCCTGTCTCCGGGAGCTGCACAAGAGCAACAGCCCCCTCACCATGGCCATCTGCGGCTCCAAGGGTAAGAATACACAGCCATCTGCGGCTCCAAGGGTAAGAATACATAGCCAACTGTGACTCCAAGGGTAAGAATACACAGCCAACTGTGGCTCCAAGGGTAAGAATACACAGCCAACTGTGGCTCCAAGGGTAAGAATACACAGAGCCATCTGCGGCTCCAAGGGTAAGAATACACAGCCAACTGCAGCTCCAAGGGTCAGAATACACAGACAACTGTGGCTCCAAGGGTCAGAATACACAGTCAACTGAGCCTCCAAGGGTAAGAATACACAGCCAACTGCGGCTCCAAGGGTCAGAATACACAGACAACTGTGGCTCCAAGGGTCAGAATACACAGACAACTGTGGCTCCAAGGGTCAGAATACACAGACAACTGTGGCTCCAAGGGTAAGAATACACAGACAACTGTGGCTCCAAGGGTCAGAATACACAGTCAACTGCGGTTCCAAGGGTAAGAATATACAGCCAACTGTGGCTCCAAGGGTAAGAATACACAGCCAACTGTGGCTCCAAGGGTCAGAATACACAGCCAACTGTGGCTCCAAGGATAAGAATACACAGCCAACTGTGGCTCCAAGGATAAGAATACATTGTAACTGTGGCTCCAAGGGTAAGAATACATGGTAACTGTGGCTCCAAGGGTAAGAATACATTGTAACTGTGGCTCCAAGGATAAGAATACACAGAGCCAACTGTGGCTCCAAGGATAAGAATACACAGCCAACTGTGGCTCCAAGGATAAGAATACACAGCCAACTGTGGCTCCAAGGATAAGAATACACAGCCAACTGTGGCTCCAAGGGTCAGAATACACAGCCAACTGTGGCTCCAAGGGTAAGAATACACAGCCAACTGTGGCTCCAAGGGTAAGAATACATTGTAACTGTGGCTCCAAGGATAAGAATACACAGCCAACTGTGGCTCCAAGGGTCAGAATACACAGAGCCAACTGTGGCTCCGAGGGTAAGAAGAGGCAAAGCCAACTCTGGCTCCAAGGGTTAGAATACATTGTAACTGTGGCTCCAAGGATAAGAATACACAGAGCCAACTGTGGCTCCAAGGATAAGAATACACAGCCAACTGTGGCTCCAAGGATAAGAATACACAGCCAACTTTGGCTCCAAGGGTCAGAATACACAGCCAACTGTGGCTCCAAGGGTAAGAATACACAGCCAACTGTGGCTCCAAGGGTAAGAATACATTGTAACTGTGGCTCCAAGGATAAGAATACACAGCCAACTGTGGCTCCAAGGGTCAGAATACACAGAGCCAACTGTGGCTCCAAGGGTAAGAAGAGGCAAAGCCAACTCTGGCTCCAAGGGTTAGAATACATTGTAACTGTGGCTCCAAGGATAAGAATACACAGAGCCATCTGCTGCTCCAAGAGTCAGAATACATGGTAGATGCAGCTCCAAGGGTTAGAATACATGGTAACTGTGGCTCCAAGGGTCAGAATTCATTGTAACTGTGGCTCCAAGGGTCAGAATACACAGCCAACTGTGGCTCCAAGGATCAGAATACACAGCCAACTGTGGCTCCAAGGGTCAGAATACACAGAGCTAACTGTGGCTCCAAGGGTTAGAATACACAGCCAACTGCGGCTCCAAGGGTAAGAATACACAGCCAACTGTGGCTCCAAGGGTCAGAATACATTGTAACTGTGGCTCCAAGGGTAAGAATACATTGTAACTGTGGCTCCAAGGGTCAGAATACATGGTAACTGTGGCTCCAAGGGTCAGAATACATTGTAACTGTGGCTCCAAGGGTCAGAATACACAGAACATCTGTGGCTCCAAGGATAAGAAAAGACAGCAATCTGTGGTTGCAGCTCCAAGGTTAAGAATGGACATGTCTATATATGGCTCCAAAGTGTGGTAAGGTTACATTTCAGTGAATGTATGGCTGTGGCTTAGAGCACTGTCTGGATCATGTGACAGTCTGGCACTAACCACCATGCTTCGTGTGTATGTTCCAGGATCCTTCATCAACATTTCCCAGATGATTGCCTGTGTCGGCCAGCAAGCCATCAGTGGCAAACGGGTGCCCAATGGATTCGAGGACAGGGCTCTGCCGCACTTCGAGAGACATGGTGAGTAACCCTTGGCAGATCTGTGTTCTGTTGAACTACCATAGACATTCAGTGAGTGAGTGCGTGTGTATGGTTTTACACCGCTTTTAGCAATATTTCAGCAATATCATGGCGGGGGACGCCAGAAATGGGCTTAACACATTGTACCCATGTAGGGGGTTGAACCCTGGTCTTCGCCGTGAAGGGCAAACGCTTTAACCACTAGGCTATACTTAATACATGGTGCCATGGCCAATTGTGTTTTTGCCAACAACCCTTCTATTTCTTAAATACAAGTACAGTCAAATCCTGTTAATCCAACATGGTTGGCTGCATATGATTATGTCTGATTAACAAGTATGTTGGAAAAACGAAATTAAGTTGTATCAACTTTAAAGCATTTATTATTTATTGTTAAGCCGTTTAATTGTTAAACTGTTATGCAGCTACAAGCTGACTCGTATCACATGAAAACACGGGTTGTGTACTGGTGGGCAGATGACAGCGGAAAACGCTGATCACTGTGTCGGTTTAACAAGACTGATTAATGAGTAATTTCGGTAATTCGTTGAAAATTAGTGGTGTCAGAGTCTGCGTGCGAGACTGTCGGATTAACTGGTCGAAATAGCACTGATCTAATCGGTTACCATCAGTAGTGTCGGATAAAGCCGATTGTCGGATTAATGAGTGTTGGATTAACGAGACTTGACTGTATGTTGTGTGAAGAACAGATGCTCATGTGTAGGAAAGTATAAACAAATCTCTACTTCCACTTCAGCCAAGGAGCCTGCAGCGCGAGGGTTTGTATCCAACAGTTTCTACACCGGGCTGACTCCAACCGAGTTCTTCTTCCACACCATGGCCGGCCGGGAGGGCCTTGTGGACACTGCGGTCAAGACAGCCGAGACTGGCTACATGCAGAGGCGACTGGTCAAGGTAGGACCATGTGTGCCCTTCTGTTCTGTGTGACCTGTTCCATGTGTGACCTTCTTTTCCAGGTATGACCTTCTGTTACGTGTGACCTTCTGTTCTGTGTGACCTTCTGTTCCATGTGTGACCTTCTTTTCCATGTATGACCTTCTGTTACGTGTGACCTTCTGTTCTGTGTGTGACCTTCTGTTCTGTGTGTGACCTTTCTATTCCTAGTGTGACCTTTCACTTCCTATTGTAGCCTTCTGTCCCTAGTGTGACCTTTCACTTCCTATTGTAGCCTTCTGTCCCTAGTGTGACCTTTCACTTCCTATTGTAGCCTTCTGTCCCTAGTGTGACCTTTCACTTCCTATTGTAGCCTTCTGTCCCTAGTGTGACCTTTCACTCCCTATTGTAGCCTTCTGTTCCATTTTGTACAATGTGTGAAGCCCATTTCTGGTGTCCCCACCATGATATTGCTGGAATATTGCTGAAAGCTGTGTCAAAACCATACTCACTCACTCCAAGTGTAACCTTTCTATTCCTTGTGTGACTTTTCTATTCCTCGTGTTATATTTCTCTTCAGAAGCATTGAGTAGCATTGAGAGCTTTTAATACTCACTCTTGTGACAGAAGAAGTGTTTCCATTAGATTCGGTACTGATGGTGCAGTGTGTTGCTACTGTGACATAGTGCTGCTACTGTTTCAGTCGCTGGAGGACCTGTGCCTGCAGTATGACCTGACAGTCAGGTCATCCACCGGGGAGGTGGTGCAGTTTGTGTATGGAGGAGACAGCCTTGACCCCGCCTCCATGGAGGGCAACGAGAAGCCCATGGTCTTCAAGAGAGTCATGGATCATGTCAGGGTACGGGGAATCACTTGGGGAATCAGAGTCTGTTACTGACAGCTGGACAGTGGTGGAAGTTGAGCTGGCAGTCAAATGGTGTTGGTTGTAACACTGGCTCTTGATGTTTTCATTTATGGGGTACCTAGATTAAAATACTACAGCAGCACACCTGAAAGACGTTGGACCCTAATTTTCTATCATTTTCCTGATCTGGTTAGTGGCGCTCTGATTAGTGAAAGGTCTTTCTGACCCATAATGGGATGTCCTCTGATGTTTATTGAGAGGTAGCCAGAACTAGGATTGATTTTAATTAGATTGTGGGATTGCCACAGTGAGATGTTTGTTGTGTTTCCGAGAGTGTGAGACAGTGACATGTTTGTTGTGTTTCCCAGAGCGTGAGTATGTGGGACTGCCACAGTGAGCCGTCACTGACGGGGAAGCAGTTGCGTGACCTCACCGACTTGATCCTTGAGGAGGAAGCGTGGCACGAGGTCAGCAAGGAGTTCCGGGAGGAGGTCAAGTAAGTGGCGTCAGCAGGGATTTCTCATCTTTTGTTTCCAGTTGTAACTGAACCTTAACATAGTGACCCCATAGACATGCTGGGTTTGTGTAGGTCCCAGCAAACCATGCAGATCTCTAAGAGGGCACTCGATGGATCAGGTGGTCAGACTCGGGGACGTGGTAGATTGCATGTAATAGTAACCTGATGGTGCTTGATAGTTGGTCATACCTTATTGCGAATGTCGCAATCTTGGTATGTATACTCCTAAGGGAGCTGAGAATAAGATATACCTTCTGATAAGTCAACTGGTCTATGAATGCATCATGCCCTCTTTGTGGTGGTAAGATAGGAATGATGTGATAGTGTGAGACAATGACATCCTATAGTAGGGAAGTCATCACATATCGGGATGTCGATGTCTCGATAAATTGTTAACATTGATACTGTATTGATATAAATTTATGAATATCTTGAATGAAGTTATTGACGGCCACAGACACGTTTACATTTATTTACATTACCTTGGGAAAGATGGACAATAAGAACGCATTAAATTCAAATTTGAACATTTAATGGATAATCCTAGTTCATATTTACCATTAAGTTTTTAAGTTGAAGGCCTACATATGTAGATTATATCTAAACACATACAAAATAATACAGTTTTTTTATTATATTATGTTTTCGTCTCAGGAAATATATGGAGAATTATGCTGAGAAGATCGACAAAACCCGGAGCAAACTGGTGACAAAGCAGAAGTCTAAGAAAGGAAATGGTTAGATTCCTACTATGAGTGTTATGATTGTAAACTATTGGTAATATTATATATGTTACAGTCAGTGTCTATAATCAGGCCATATTCATATTGCCTGAAAAATGAGATTGGATTTTAGACACATTGACTGAAATGAATTAGACTCCTTAAATTAATTTCCTCATTTTAATTTTGATCTCTTTTGAATTAAATATGTTTCCACAATGAATTGATTGGTTCGTCAAACATGAAAGAATACGAGAGTCTTTTTTTATGTTACTTATCTTTATTGACATAACATGCAGTTCAGCTACCGAAGATACAGGGTTTATTGTGAACATATCGCTTTAAGGTTGTGTTTTGTATTGCCTCAGGAGACGGAGTGTTCAGGTGTGGTGTGTTCCTATGTTGTAGTTGTGTACCAGGTGGAGCGGATCACCAAGGTGCAGGTCAAGAAGATGCTGGAGACCTGTCTGGACAAATACATGAGGGCCCTCATAGAGCCAGGTAGACCATCCAGCAGCCTCCGCAACACACGACACTGTCGCGCTTGTCTCCGCAACACAAGTCACTGTCACACCAGTCTCAGCAACACACGACACTGTCACTCCAGTCTCCGCAACACACGACACTGTCACACCAGTCTCTGCAACACACGACACTGTCCGCCAGTCTCCGCAACACACGACACTGTCGCGCCAGTCTCCGCAACACACGACACTGTCGCGCCAGTCTTCCCAACACACGACACTGTCGTGCCAGTCCCCGCAGCACACGACACTGTCGCGCCAGTTTCCGTAGCACACGACACTGTCGCGCCAGTCTCCGCAACACACGACACTGTCGTGCCAGTCTACGCAACACACGACACTGTCGCGCCAGTCTTGCCAACACACGACACTGTCGCGCCAGTCCCCGCAGCACACGACACTGTCGCGCCAGTCTCCGTAGCACACGACACTGTCGCGCCAGTCTCCACAACACATGACACTGTCGCGCCAGTCTCCACAACACACGACACTGTCAAGCCAGTCTCCCCAACACCGGACACTGTCAAGCCAGTCTCAGCAACACACGACACTGTCCGCCAGTCTCAGCAACACACGACACTGTCGCATCAGTCTCCGCAACCCACGACACTGTCGCGTCAGTCTCCGCAACACACGACACACGACACTGTCACGCCAGTCTTCGCAACACACGACACTGTCACGCCAGTCTCCGCAACACACGACACTGTCACGCCAGTCTCCGCAAAACACGACACTGTCACGCCAGTCTCCGCAACACACGACACTGTCACGCCAGTCTCCGCAACACAAGACACAGTCACGCCAGTCTCCGCAACTCACGACACTGTCCGCCAGTCTCCGCAACACACGACACTGTCACGCCAGTCTCAGCAACAGACGACACTGTCACTCTAGTCTCAGTAGCCACAACACTGTCACGTCAGTCTCAGCAACACACGACACTGTCACGCCAGTCTCAGTAACACAGGACACTGTCACGAGTCTCAGTAACACACAACACCTTCACACATAGACAAAGTGACACAATACAGTGTATCATGGTATAAAAGGAATCCGCTCCAAGAGTGTGAGAAAGAACGCGTGCAGCATGGACTAGCTGGAGTCATGCCATGATAAACTTAACAACGCATCACTTGCCCTGGTAGCTCAGTGGGAAAACAGTGGGTTACAAAACTTAACACGATATGTGAAGTTGCAGGTTCGATTCACGTCATGGAATTTTCATTTTAAAAAACAAATTGTGACTTTTAACCAGTCATCCACTATGACCTCATGCAATGTGAAGGATGTGATGTTTGTTTGTTGTGTAGACTCAGCAATATTCCAGCTATATGACGGCTGTCTGTAAATAATCGAGTCTGGACCAGACAATCCAGTGATTGATATCATAGGCATCGATCCACACAATTGGGATACGATAACATGGATCAACCAAGTCAGCGAGTCTGACCACCCGATGCCATTAGTCGCCTCTTACGACAAGCATATTTGCCTCTTGCCGCAAGCATGGGTTGCTGAAGACCTTTTCTAACCCGTGACCTTCACACGTCGAAGGATGTGATGAGGTCTGCAGTATGGTTTGTGTGTTGTGTGCCTGTACTGTGGAACTTGTCTCCCCTCACAGGGACTGCAGTAGGAGCTGTCTGTGCCCAGTCCATCGGGGAGCCCGGCACACAGATGACCCTCAAAACCTTTCACTTCGCAGGGGTGGCGTCCATGAGTATCCTCATTTTCTGTTCAAGATTTGAAACAGTGTCGGCTTAAAAAATATAAAAGAATAGGTTCTCAAGCAATGACTTTTGAAAATATAGTGCTCACGGGCGGTGTTTTTTTGTTTTTTTATGTTGTTCAAACTAGTAGGTAGGCAAGTAAACAGTTGTGTACAATCAACCTGGGAAAGGGTCTCCCAATAAAAAGAATTACTTGATGAATAAAATACTGGAATACAGTATTTGACTACCGTTGGGACTACCAGTGTGTGCATAATACACACATACAATGAGCTTTGATTTTATTTCACTACGCGAAGACGTAACCCTGAGCACACAAGTAACAGTAACTGAACAGTATTCATGTAATAGTGCATCAGCTTGTTGTGGGAAGAGAGCCCAAATTGGAGCAGGTCAGTCATTTACGCTTTGTTGTAACCCAAGAACATAAATGCTGTGAGGCCACAATTGGAGGGATTCCGCAGTTCAAACCTACAATCAGGTTAAGGTACACAACTCTGCACAGTGACCTGTTGTTCCTTGTATAGCACACTGGGCCAACTAGCCCTTTCTGTTTGGACACGTGAAATAGTGTTAGACCCAGTAAACAACTTGATGTGAATCAACATTTAATTACATTAAGTAATACGTTACCACTGTTATACCAAGGCTGTTGTCTCCCACAACTGCTGCTATAGCGAAATCTACCACAGAGATCTCAATTACCTCATGCAGCAATTGCGTAGCCACCTAGCTGCCATGTGACACCCTTCACTCTTGTCTCCTTCGTCTGCTTAGCAAGACGTGTTTTCTCCTGCTGAAGCGTTCCTTGAAGATTTGGTGATATTTATTATAGTTTATTCTCTAATAAACTGTGCTTTTATGGGTCGTTGCGGTAGCTACGCTTGGTTATAATTTTCCCGCCAAACGGAAATTTTTTCCCGCCCTTTTTTCTATATACTTGCGGGGTTCGCGTATGCACGTTGTGTTTTACGTTTCCCCTGTTCTTGTATGTTTTGGGGGTTAACATAACTTATTTCTTTAATAAAAGTTATATGTGTATGTTATATGTTCACATTGCTCGTTTATTTTCTTGTGAAAATGTTCGTTTGTGAATCATTGTGGTGCGTGCGTTGTAACCATGTTTTGTTCTTTGTTTATAGCAAACAATCAATGTCTGACATGGATATGTCCCCAGTATCCACCCCCTCTACCCCAGCTCCTCGGAGTTGTGGGGTGTGCAGAAAGTTTTTGTCGTCCCGGGATCCCCACGATCGTTGCCCGCGGTGCAGGGTTCCTTGCGGGGACACCCGGTGCATCCTGTGCGAAGGATCTCTTGGCGGCCCGTGTGCTGTCCGGGGATTCCGTCGCTGCATTACTTGCATAACTTGTGGACTCCAAGCTGGCGGCCTTATCTCAGGATAGGCCGCTGGCTGTTCCGTCCCCGGCCACTTCGGTGGCCGCGGGGTCCACCGGTACGGCGGCGGCTCCCGTGGTCACCGGTCTTTCCCCCGAACCGTTGCTCCCGCTATCAGTTTAGGACCGCGTGGCCATGGTTTATGACCTCTTTGAGGACATGCCCCGGCCGGTACCGCGGGGAATCCACGACTGTGGGTTCCTCCGAGGTATACGATGAGTCTTCCGACACGGCTTTCCCCGCATCGACCTTGCTGCGCGGTTTCAAGCCTTCCTTGGAGAACGCCTTCGCAGCGGCCTCCGGTCGGGGTCTCCCATTGCCTCCGACGTCGTGGAGAAAGGGTTTATTCCCGGTACATGACCTTGCCTTTCCCGAGGCTGGTCCTAGCGCGGAGGCCCATGTTGAGCGGTTGGGTGTCCGTGCCCCAAAGGCTGCTACGGTAACGCAAGCTACCTTGCACCAGCTGGACGCCCTCGCTCGGCACTCCATGTCTCACGGAGACACTTACTTGGCTGCAGCGGCCCGTCTGGTCGAAGGTTCTCCCACGGACCGTGACCAGCGCATTTACAACTGCCTGCTCAGTTTCAATGCTTCCCTGGAGTACGTTGCCGAGGACTCTCGGCACACACTTGCTCTTGTTGGGTCCCTGCATAGGCGCCTGGGTGCCGCTCCTAACCGGAGCGCGCCCCAGGCTGCTGCGGCCTGTAGGTCTAAGGGGTCGGGTTCTTCTTCCTCTGGGAAGTAGCCCCGCCCTGAGGGCTCCGGTATGGGCAATCAGCTGCCCTTTCTCGGGAAGACGGGGAACTGGGGGAAGCCCAAGTCGTCGCCGGACAGCAAGGGCCCCTCCAGGTGACTCTCATTGGAGGGGTTCGTATGCCGACAGCGCCAACTTCGGTTGGCCCTTAGGCGAACCCGAGTCACTTGGCCCTGGACAGTTGCGCCTGCCGCAACCTGTCAGGGCCCCCTCTCCTTCCCCAGTGGGAGCCAGACTCCAGACTTACTGGGAGAATTGGGAACAAGTGTTCGACGACCCGTGGGTGGTCAACACGATTCGGTACGGCTATCGGCTTGATCTCAAAGCGAATCCGCCGCTCACCGTTGCCCCATTGGCAGGTTTTGATTCGGAAACCGATCTTCCCTTCCTTGCCGATGCCATCGGCAGGTTGGTGGAGAAGGGGCAGTACGGGAGTTAGCTCTACCAGAAATAACACCGGGGTTTTACTCCAGGATATTTCTCGTTCCCAAGTAGGACAGTGCCGAACTCAGAATGATTCACACGTCCGCTCCCTGGCTGTTCACCCGGTTAACCACCCCCATAGTGGGGTTCCTCCACAGGAGGGGTGTCCGGTACTTCGCGTACCTGGACGACTCGCTAGTAGCAAATCGAATGACGGACACCCTGTCACGCCATCTCGATTTCGCACGTCGGCTCTTGGAGCAATTTGGGTGGATTATCAATCTCCCCAAGAGCGAGTTAACCCCTTCTCAGAACTTGCTGTTCATCAGAGGTCGGTTCAACACGGTGTCCCATCGCCTCTTTGTCCCCCCAGACCGGTGGCACAAAATTCAGGCGATGATTGCCAAAGTCTTAGCGGTGCATCAGACTGTTCACTTTTGGGAACAGCTGTTAGGGCTACTTGTATCAGCCCAGGACTGCACCGCACGGGGTCGTCTCCAACTCCGCCCGCTGCAACGGTTTTTAATCCAGTTGTTAGCAAAGGAGGTGAACAGTGCGACCGTCGCCCTCCCGGATCGGCTCCGACCGCATCTGGAGTGGTGGACGGTCCCTTACATTGTCTTATCAGGAGTCTCTATGCGGCCCTACCGGGCCACGTTGACCCTGTATACAGACGCCTCTCTAGTGGGCTGGGGCGCCCATCTAAAGGGGGAGGTGAGCTCGGGGCTGTGGTGCGTAGACAAACTAGGTCTTCACATCACTTGTCTCGAGTTCAAGGCAGTGATCAACGCAGTCAATCACTGGAAGCATCGTCTCGTCAACGCCCGGCTCATGCTGGCGACCGACAACACGACGGTAGTGTCCTATGTGAACAAACTGGGGGGAACCCACAGTCACTCGCTACTCGATCTCACGTTCGAGTTTTACGCTCTGGTGGACAGTGTCCCGTGCCAGATACGCGCCCGTCACATCCCAGGTGTGCGGAACGTACTGGCCGATGCTCTATCGAGGCCTCAGGATCCGAGCCCCACAGAGTGGATGCTGAACCCAGTAGTGTTTCAGTGGCTGTGCGAACGTTTGGGTCGTCCGATGGTTGACCTGTTCGCAACGCGGTTCAACAATCAACTCCCGTTGTTTGTATCACCAGTCCCGGACCCGAGGGCCATCGATCACAATGCTCTCGCGTTAGACTGGACGGGCTTGGTCGCTTATGCTTACCCGCCGACAGCGTTGATACCACACATTCTAAGCCGGCTCCGAGGAGTTCGCTGTCGAATGTTACTGATCGCGCCCATGTGGCCGAACAGATCGTGGTACCCCGACTTGCTGACCCAGGTCACGCAGTCGCCACTTCCACTGCCTGTGAGACCGGATCTCTTGATCCACCCTCACACCCGTCAGCTTCATCCAAACGCAGGGCAGTTCAATCTGCACACGTGGATGTTGTCACCGAGCGTCTGAGGAGTAAAGGTTTTTCTCGCCGGGCGTCTCGGGCATACGTTAGTATGCATCGTGATTCTACCCAGAAGGTGTATAATGCACGTTGGGTTATTTTCATGAAGTGGTGTTGTAAACATCACATTCATTCGCCAGATAAGGTATCTGTGCAGGATATTGCTCGTTTCATGTCTCACTTGCGAGAGACCGGGAAACTCTCCGGGGGTTCCATTGCCAACTATGTCTCATCCGTTGCTACGGTACGGGACGTTGCTATGGGTACCAGTCTCTCCAAAGAGCCGGTGATACGGGGTATTATCAAGGGTTTCAAACAGCACGATCTTAAGAAGGGCCGCCTTCGGGCACCGGCCTGGGATCTTTCCCTAGTGTTGCAATCACTTACGGAAGCTCCGTATGAACCCTTGCATAGTGCTTCGTTCCGGCATGTGACTTGGAAAACAGCATTTCTCCTCTCCTTTGCCACGGCGGCACGTGTATCCGAAATTCATGCACTCGATGTCGCCAAGGTACGATTCGATAGGGGTGACGAAGGAGCGGTCCGCCTGGGCCTGCTCATGGGCTTCGTCGCCAAGAATCAGAGAGTCGGGCAAACGGAGAGAGAATTCACTGTAAGATCACTCAAAGAAATCTTACATCCTGCTGATACTGAGGACAGAGCGCTGTGTCCGGTTAGGGCCCTTAAGTATTATCTTAAGGCTTCGAATGAACGTAGACAAGGGCGTGACCGTCTGTTCATATCGTGTAACCATAATCGCACGGTTGACATAACTCGCAACTCGATTGCATTGTGGCTTCGTTCTGTCATCAATCTGGCGTACCGGTCTCGGGGGTTACCGGTAGCGGGGTCAAACCGCACGAGATCAGGGCGCTAGCGGCAACATTTGCCCTACACTCGAATATCTCTGTTCGCAGAATATTACGAGGTTGTTACTGGCGTTCTGACTCGGTTTTTGCCAATCATTACCTCAAACAGGTCGCTGATGCCGTCGTGGAGAGTGTGCACCGTCTTGGCCCGCGGATCGCGGCGCAAGCGGGCACCTAAGGGGTGTGCCCAGCGCAATTCCGAACTCCTCAGGCGTCTGACCTTGCACGGTGGTCAATCTGGGTCGACTCCAATGTTCCCACTGCCGTGGGTACAGGAGTTGGGGTCCCGCAAACCAGCGCACTCACACCACAGGTGAGGGCGGCTTTTTGTGTGCTTTGTCCTTATTTGTATTTTGACAATTATGTCTTTAATTGTCTGTCGTGTATCCCAACCTTGTGATGCATGCTTACAAATACTGGAATTAGGTCACGCGCCTAATGCATACTTTAAGTAGGCTTGCTCTGGGATATACGGTCTGAAGGAAATTAATTTCCCTCTTTTCGACTGTTTAACCTGATCTAAGATTAAGCTCACGCGGATACAGTGTTCTCATCCGCTGCGGCGATGAAATACCTATCCAGTGGGGCCGTTTGGAGTCACCAATCGTTTTGGCAATGACGATTGAGCCTTACGGTATGCGCTTGACAGTGCTTTGGTATTCCTATAGGGTAACGCCTAGCTAGGTGCATGCGCATCGAGTGCTTCCGCCTTGGTGTTTACTTCCGCTGGTCGGAAGGAACGCTAGCAGTCAGGATTCGGGTTGTAGGTGCTCCCCACCGCCTACTGTGGTAGTCAGCCTCGGTATAACAGTGGTAACGTATTACTTAATGTAATTTGTAGAATTTTCCTATTCGGAATATTCTATAAGTAATACGTTACCACTGGGCTGCTGCCCGCCCGTCCGTCCCCCGAGCACTTGCTCTCGCAGGAGACAAGAGTGAAGGGTGTCACATGGCAGCTAGGTGGCTATGCACGTGCTGCATGAGGTAATTGAGATCTCTGGTAGATTTCGCTATAGCAGCAGTTGTGGGAGACAACAGCCTCGGTATAACAGTGGTAACGTATTACTTATAGAATATTCCGAATAGGAAAATTCTACAAATTTGTTTGATTGATACTGCACTCGATCATATCCCAGCTCTATGACAGTGCCCTGTAAATAATAAATTCTCTGAATAAGTGATTGATATGTTGAGCAACAATCCACACCATTAAGGTAAAATGACATGCAATCAACCAAGGTACAAAGCCTGGCCTCTCTATCCAGGCATAGGTGCTGGGGAACAGTTCTAACCAGGAATGCCCAGGGTTAAAGATAGGCCATAGCGATTGTTTATCCTGGTGGCATGTGTTTTGGAGGAAACCGTCTTTATTTTTACATCCTTCTAAATGTTACTGAAAGACCTTGAAATGAGTCCTTGACGGTACAAGACATCACACTCGGTGTGCCAAGGATCAAGGAGATCATAAACGCCTCCAAGACCATCAGCACCCCCATCATCAGCGCCATGCTGGAGGTCAGCGACAACGCAGAGTTCGCCAGGGTTGTCAAGGGCCGCATCGAGAAGACTGTGCTGGGAGAGGTGGGTAGACATGACAGGATGAGTGGTGGGAGAGGTGGGTAGACATGACAGGATGAGTGGTGGGAGAGGTGGGTAGACGTATGACAAGAGAAGTGCTGGGAGAGGTGGGAAAACGTATAACAGGATAAGTGCTGGGAGAGGTGGGTAGACGTATGACAGGATGAGTGGTGGGAGAGGTGGGAAAACATATAACAGGATAAGTGCTGGGAGAGGTTGGTAGACGTACGACAGAATAAGTGCTGGGAGAGGTGGGTAGACGTATAACAGGATAAGTGCTGGGAGAGGTGGGTAGACGTATGACAGGATAAGTGCTGGGAGAGGTGGGAAAACATATAATAGGATAAGTGCTGGGAGAGGTTGGTAGACGTACTACAGAATAAGTGCTGGGAGAGGTGGGTAGATGTGTGACAGAATAAGTGCTTGGAGAGGTGGGTAGACGTATGACAGAATAAGTGCTGGGAGAGGTGTGTATATGTGTGACAGGATAAGAGCTGGGAGAGGTGGGTAGACGTATGACATGATAAGAGCTGGGAGAGGTGGAAAGACGTATGACAAGTTGAGTGCTGGGAGAGGTGGGTAGACGTATGACAGGATGAGTGGTGGGTAGACGTATGACAGGATAAGTGCTGGGAGAGGTGGAAAGACGTATGACAAGATAAGTGCTGGGAGAGGTGGGTAGACGTATGACAGGATAAGTGCTGGGAGAGGTGGGTAGACGTATGACAGGATGAGTGGTGGGAGAGGTGGGTAGACGTATGACAGGATAAGAGCTGGGAGAGGTGGGAAGACATATGACAAGATAAGTGCTGGGAGAGGTGGGTAGACATATGACAGGATAAGTGCTGGGAGAGGTGGGAAGACATATGACAAGATAAGAGCTGGGAGAGGTGGGTAGACATATGACAGGATAAGTGCTGGGAGAGGTGGGTAGACGTATGACAGGATGAGTGCTGGGAGAGGTGGGAAGACATATGACAGGATGAGTGGTGGGAGAGATGGGTAGACATGACAGGATAAGAGCTGGAAGAGGTGGGTAGACATATGACAAGATAAGTGCTGGGAGAGGTGGGTAGACATATGACAGGATGAGTGGTGGGAGAGATGGGTAGACATGACAGGATAAGAGCTGGAAGAGGTGGGTAGACGTATGACAGGATGAGTGGTGGGAGAGGTGGGTAGACATGACAGGATGAGTGGTGGGAGAGATGGGTAGACATGACAGGATAAGAGCTGGAAGAGGTGGGTAGACGTATGACAGGATGAGTGGTGGGAGAGGTGGGTAGACATATGACAGGATGAGTGGTGGGAGAGATGGGTAGACATGACAGGATAAGAGCTGGAAGAGGTGGGTAGACGTATGACAGGATAAGTGCTGGGAGAGGTGGGTAGACATGACAGGATAAGTGCTGGGAGAGGTGGGAAGACATATGACAGGATGAGTGCTGGGAGAGGTGGGTAGACGTATGACAGGATAAGAGGTGGGTAGACGTATGACAGGATGAGTGGTGGGAGAGGTGGGTAGACATATGACAGGATGAGTGGTGGGAGAGATGGGTAGACATGACAGGATAAGAGCTGGAAGAGGTGGGTAGACGTATGACAGGATGAGTGGTGGGAGAGGTGGGTAGACGTATGACAGGATAAGTGCTGGGAGAGGTGGGAAGACATATGACAGGATGAGTGCTGGGAGAGGTGGGTAGACATATGACAGGATAAGTGCTGGGAGAGGTGGGTAGACATGACAGGATAAGAGGTGTGTAGACGTATGACAGGATAAGAGGTGGGTAGACGTATGACAGGATAAGTGCTGGGAGAGGTGGGTAGACATGACAGGATAAGTGGTGGGAGAGGTGGGTAGACGTATGACAGGATAAGTGCTGGGAGAGGTGGGTAGACATGACAGGATAAGTGCTGGGAGAGGTGGGTAGACATGACAGGATTATTTCTGTCCTTGTTGGAATCTGCTACATTTATTAAGCTTGGTAATAACAATATCTTGTAACACTGTTATGTTAGGAACATAGAACTTACTGACATTTCTAAAAGTAAAGTAAAGTGGTGAATGAGGCTGATGCTGCCTCACTGATTGTTGGTGTGTTTTGAGAGGGTCTCCTGTTTCAGGTATCGGAGTACATTGAGGAAGTATTTCTACCAGATGACTGTTTCATACTCATCAAACTTGACATGGACAGAATCAAACTGCTCAAGGTAAGTCATCTCTTGTGTCCACTTGTTTTGTTTTCATCTTTAACAAGAATATATTTTCAATTTGACATTGATTAATTTCATTCCATGTGGCATGGAGGATAAAGAGAAGTAAGATGTTGATGTGAAGGTGTTATTGCTTCAGTTGGAGGTGACCGCAGACAGTATCCGAGATTCGTTGACGAAATCCAAACTGGGCATCAAGTTCCCTGTAAGTATTTGCAGTGACTGTCAATTCAACAAATGTTTCTGGTTTTATTTTTATATATTTAATATAGAACTGTATCAGTACCATGTAGATTGTTGCATAAGGTTGAAATTCATATATTTTTGCCTTTTTTCTCTTTCACCTGATCTGTAATAATGTCATTTAGAAGTGTTCACTGAATACTGATTTCACTTCAGTCATAGCTACCATGAACAATAAATGTGTCATTTTGACTCCAAGTGTCAATAAACAATACCCCTGTGGGGTGAGAGGACAGGGGTGGCTCAGTCATCTTGCTCTGCAAATTGGTCTGCTTCAGACACGCAAGAAGCCTATTATCATTGGAATGAATGCCAAATTCAGATTGATATAGCTAGGTTTGTCGACAACATACCTGTGCTTGTGGGTTTCATGAAAGCAGTAAACATTGAAGACATCAATCACCCTGGGGGTTCTTCCCATTAAGCTGTAGTGATAAAACTGAAATACTGTTCAAAGTGGTGTAAACTCCCTCCCTCCCTCACTCACTTACTCCACTGGGAAAGTTCATGATATGGTTCTGCCAGCCAATGTTACTTTGATTTGTTCCAGGATGTCCACATCTACAACAGTGACCTGCTGTCGGTGTCTGCACACGAGACGTCCAAGTCGTCCATGTACTATGTGCTGCAGAACCTCAAGAAACACCTGCCTCGTGTCATGATCAAGGTGAGACACTGTGCAGGGTTCTGTCATCCCAGGCACTGCCTGGCGTCATGATCAAGGTGAGACACTGTGCTGGGTTCTGTCTTCCCTGGTACTGCCTGGCATCATGATCAAGGTGAGACACTGTGCTGGGTTCTGTCATCCCTGGCACTGCCTGGAGTCATGATCAAGGTGAGACACTGTGCTGGGTTCTGTCATCCCTGGCACTGCCTGGCGTCATGATCAAGGTGAGACACTGTGCAGGGTTCTGTCATCCCTGGCACTGCCTGGAGTCATGATCAAGGTGAGACACTGTGCCGGGTTCTGTCATCCCTGGCACTGCCTGGCGTCATGATCAAGGTGAGACACTGTGCAGGGTTCTGTCATCCCTGGCACTGCCTGGAGTCATGATCAAGGTGAGACACTGTGCCGGGTTCTGTCATCCCTGGCACTGCCTGGCGTCATGATCAAGGTGAGACACTGTGCAGGGTTCTGTCATCCCTGGCACTGCCTGGCGTCATGATCAAGGTGAGACACTGTGCTGGGTTCTGTCATCCCTGGCACTGCCTGGAGTCATGATCAAGGTGAGACACTGTGCTGGGTTCTGTCATCCCTGGCACTGCCTGGAGTCATGATCAAGGTGAGACACTGTGCCGGGTTCTGTCATCCCTGGCACTGCCTGGAGTCATGATCAAGGTGAGACACTGTGCTGGGTTCTGTCATCCCTGGCACTGCCTGGCGTCATGATCAAGGTGAGACACTGTGCTGGGTTCTGTCATCCCTGGCACTGCATGGAGTCATGATCAAGGTGAGACACTGTGCAGGGTTCTGTCATCCCTGGCGCTGCATGGAGTCATGATCAAGGTGAGACACTGTGCAGGGTTCTGTCATCCCTGGCGCTGCATGGAGTCATGATCAAGGTGAGACACTGTGCTGGGTTCTGTCATCCCTGGCACTGCCTGGAGTCATGATCAAGGTGAGACACTGTGCTGGGTTCTGTCATCCCTGGCACTGCCTGGAGTCATGATCAAGGTGAGACACTGTGCAGGGTTCTGTCATCCCTGGCGCTGCCTGGCGTCATGATCAAGGTGAGACACTGTGCTGGGTTCTGTCATCCCTGGCACTGCCTGGAGTCATGATCAAGGTGAGACACTGTGCTAGGTTCTGTCATCCCTGGCACTGCCTGGAGTCATGATCAAGGTGACACTGTGCTGGGTTCTGTCATCCCTGGCACTGCCTGGAGTCATGATCAAGGTGAGACACTGTGCAGGGTTCTGTCATCCCTGGCACTGCCTGGAGTCATGATCAAGGTGAGACACTGTGCTGGGTTCTGTCATCCCTGGCACTGCCTGGCGTCATGATCAAGGTGAGACACTGTGCCGGGTTCTGTCATCCCTGGCACTGCCTGGAGTCATGATCAAGGTGAGACACTGTGCTGGGTTCTGTCATCCCTGGCACTGCATGGAGTCATGATCAAGGTGAGACACTGTGCTGGGTTCTGTCATCCCTGGCACTGCCTGGAGTCATGATCAAGGTGAGACACTGTGCTGGGTTCTGTCATCCCTGGCACTGCCTGGAGTCATGATCAAGGTGAGACACTGTGCAGGGTTCTGTCATCCCTGGCGCTGCCTGGCGTCATGATCAAGGTGAGACACTGTGCTGGGTTCTGTCATCCCTGGCACTGCCTGGAGTCATGATCAAGGTGAGACACTGTGCTAGGTTCTGTCATCCCTGGCACTGCCTGGCGTCATGATCAAGGTGAGACACTGTGCTGGGTTCTGTCGTCCCTGGCACTGCCTGGTGTCATGATCACGGTGAGACACTGTGTAGGGTTCTGTCATCCGTGGCACTGCCTGGAGTCATGATCAAGGTGAGACACTGTGCTGGGTTCTGTCATCCCTGGCACTGCCTGGAGTCATGATCAAGGTGAGACTGTGCTGGGTTCTGTCATCCCTGGCACTGCCTGGAGTCATGATCAAGGTGAGACACTGTGCTGGGTTCTGTCATCCCTGGCACTGCCTGGAGTCATGATCAAGGTGAGACACTGTGCAGGGTTCTGTCATCCCTGGCGCTGCCTGGAGTCATGATCAAGGTGACACTGTGCTGGGTTCTGTCATCCCTGGCACTGCCTGGAGTCATGATCAAGGTGAGACACTGTGCAGGGTTCTGTCATCCCTGGCACTGCCTGGAGTCATGATCAAGGTGAGACACTGTGCTGGGTTCTGTCATCCCTGGCACTGCCTGGCGTCATGATCAAGGTGAGACACTGTGCCGGGTTCTGTCATCCCTGGCACTGCCTGGCGTCATGATCAAGGTGAGACTGTGCTGGGTTCTGTCATCCCTGGCACTGCTTGGAGTCATGATCAAGGTGAGACTGTGCCGGGTTCTGTCATCCCTGGCACTGCCTGGAGTCATGATCAAGGTGAGAGACTGTGCTGGGTTCTGTCATCCCTGGCACTGCTTGGAGTCATGATCAAGGTGAGACTGTGCTGGGTTCTGTCATCCCTGGGACTGCCTGGTGTCATGATCAAGGTGAGACACTGTGCAGGGTTCTGTCATCCCTGGCACTGCCTGGCGTCATGATCAAGGTGAGACACTGTGCTGGGTTCTGTCATCCCTGGCACTGCCTGGCGTCATGATCAAGGTGAGACACTGTGCTGGGTTCTGTCATCCCTGGCACTGCCTGGAGTCATGATCAAGGTGAGACACTGTGCTGGGTTCTGTCATCCCTGGCGCTGCCTGGAGTCATGATCAAGGTGAGACTGTGCTGGGTTCTGTCATCCCTGGCACTGCCTGGTGTCATGATCAAGGTGAGACTGTGCTGGGTTCTGTCATCCCTGGCACTGCCTGGCGTCATGATCAAGGTGAGACACTGTGCAGGGTTCTGTCATCCCTGGCGCTGCCTGGAGTCATGATCAAGGTGAGACACTGTGCTGGGTTCTGTCATCCCTGGCACTGCCTGGCATCATGATCAAGGTGAGACACTGTGCTGGGTTCTGTCATCCCTGGCGCTGCCTGGAGTCATGATCAAGGTGAGACTGTGCTGGGTTCTGTCATCCCTGGCACTGCCTGGAGTCATGATCAGGGTGAGACACTGTGCTGGGTTCTGTCATCCCTGGCACTGCCTGGCGTCATGATCAAGGTGAGACTGTGCTGGGTTCTGTCATCCCTGGCACTGCTTGGAGTCATGATCAAGGTGAGACTGTGCCGGGTTCTGTCATCCCTGGCACTGCCTGGAGTCATGATCAAGGTGAGAGACTGTGCTGGGTTCTGTCATCCCTGGCACTGCTTGGAGTCATGATCAAGGTGAGACTGTGCTGGGTTCTGTCATCCCTGGGACTGCCTGGTGTCATGATCAAGGTGAGACACTGTGCAGGGTTCTGTCATCCCTGGCACTGCCTGGCGTCATGATCAAGGTGAGACACTGTGCTGGGTTCTGTCATCCCTGGCACTGCCTGGCGTCATGATCAAGGTGAGACACTGTGCTGGGTTCTGTCATCCCTGGCACTGCCTGGAGTCATGATCAAGGTGAGACACTGTGCTGGGTTCTGTCATCCCTGGCGCTGCCTGGAGTCATGATCAAGGTGAGACTGTGCTGGGTTCTGTCATCCCTGGCACTGCCTGGTGTCATGATCAAGGTGAGACTGTGCTGGGTTCTGTCATCCCTGGCACTGCCTGGCGTCATGATCAAGGTGAGACACTGTGCAGGGTTCTGTCATCCCTGGCGCTGCCTGGAGTCATGATCAAGGTGAGACACTGTGCTGGGTTCTGTCATCCCTGGCACTGCCTGGCATCATGATCAAGGTGAGACACTGTGCTGGGTTCTGTCATCCCTGGCGCTGCCTGGAGTCATGATCAAGGTGAGACTGTGCTGGGTTCTGTCATCCCTGGCACTGCCTGGAGTCATGATCAAGGTGAGACACTGTGCCGGGTTCTGTCATCCCTGGCACTGCCTGGAGTCATGATCAAGGTGAGACACTGTGCTGGGTTCTGTCATCCCTGCCACTGCCTGGCATCATGATCAAGGTGAGACACTGTGCTGGGTTCTGTCATCCCTGGCACTGCCTGGCATCATGATCAAGGTGAGACACTGTGCTGGGTTCTGTCATCCCTGGCGCTGCCTGGAGTCATGATCAAGGTGAGACACTGTGCTGGGTTCTGTCATCCCTGGCACTGCCTGGAGTCATGATCAAGGTGAGACACTGTGCTGGGTTCTGTCATCCCTGGCGCTGCCTGGAGTCATGATCAAGGTGAGACACTGTGCTGGGTTCTGTCATCCCTGGCACTGCCTGGAGTCATGATCAAGGTGAGACTGTGCTGGGTTCTGTCATCCCTGGCACTGCATGGTGTCATGATCAAGGTGAGACACTGTGCTAGGTTCTGTCATCCCTGGCACTGCCTGGAGTCATGATCAAGGTGAGACACTGTGCAGGGTTCTGTCATCCCTGGCACTGCATGGTGTCATGATCAAGGTGAGACACTGTGCAGGGTTCTGTCATCCCTGGCACTGCCTGGAGTCATGATCAAGGTGAGACACTGTGCTGGGTTCTGTCATCCCTGGCACTGCCTGGCGTCATGATCAAGGTGAGACTGTGCTGGGTTCTGTCATCCCTGGCACTGCCTGGAGTCATGATCAAGGTGAGACTGTGCTGGGTTCTGTCATCCCTGGCACTGCCTGGCGTCATGATCAAGGTGAGACACTGTGCTGGGTTCTGTCATCCCTGGCACTGCCTGGAGTCATGATCAAGGTGAGACTGTGCTGGGTTCTGTCATCCCTGGCACTGCATGGCGTCATGATCAAGGTGAGACTGTGCTGGGTTCTGTCATCCCTGGCACTGCCTGGAGTCATGATCAAGGTGAGACTGTGCTGGGTTCTGTCATCCGTGGCACTGCCTGGAGTCATGATCAAGGTGACACTGTGCTGGGTTCTGTCATCCCTGGCACTGCCTGGAGTCATGATCAAGGTGAGACACTGTGCAGGGTTCTGTCATCCCTGGCACTGCCTGGAGTCATGATCAAGGTGAGACACTGTGCTGGGTTCTGTCATCCCTGGCACTGCCTGGAGTCATGATCAAGGTGAGACTGTGCTGGGTTCTGTCATCCCTGGCACTGCATGGAGTCATGATCAAGGTGAGACACTGTGCTGGGTTCTGTCATCCCTGGCACTGCCTGGAGTCATGATCAAGGTGAGACACTGTGCAGGTGTTGGTTACCATACAGATGTATCACATACTTGCGGGGGCAAGGGTGGCCCAGTTGTCTAAGTCGCCACAATTCGCTGTGCAGAGTTGCGTCCCTTCGGCACATCAGAAACCTATGATTGTTCGAATCCCGGTTCGCCCCGAATATGTTTTTAGGTTTGTCAGCACCATACCTGTGCTCGTGGGTTTCACCGAAGTGGTAAACATTTGAGATCTGCATCACTTCGGGTTATCCTCCCACATTAAGCTGACACGCCGTGATATAACTGGAATACTGTTAAACCCAACTCACTCACTCACTCACAGATTTGAGACTTTGTGTATTGGTTTATATGATGGCCTGTGTTTCAGGGCATCCCCACGGTGACGCGTGCTGTGATACATATCGACGAGAAGTCTGACGCCCTCACGCTGCTGGTGGAGGGAGACAATTTGTTGGAGGTTATTGCCACTCAAGGTGGGTACAGCAATGGGTCATCTCAGATCTGTGTAGAAGTGGTAGGAGGTGGTGTCAGATCTGTGTAGAAGTGGTAGGAGGTGGTGTCAGATCTGTGTGGGAGTGGTAGGAGGTGGTGTCAGATCTGTGTGGGAGTGGTAGGAGGTGGTGTCAGATCTGTGTAGAAGTGGTAGGAGGTGGTGTCAGATCTGTGTGGGAGTGATAGGAGGTGGTGTCAGATCTGTGTAGAAGTGGTAGGAGGTGGTATCAGATCTGTGTGGGAGTGGTAGGAGGTGGTGTCAGATCTGTGTAGAAGTGGTAGGAGGTGGTGTCAGATCTGTGTGGGAGTGATAGGAGGTGGTGTCAGATCTGTGTAGAAGTGGTAGGATGTGGTGTCAGATCTGTGTTGGAGTGGTAGGAGGTGGTGTCAGATCTGTGTAGGAGGTGGTGTCAGATCTGTGTAGAAGTGGTAGGAGGTGGTGTCAGATCTGTGTAGAAGTGGTAGGAGGTGGTGTCAGATCTGTGTGGGAGTGATAGGAGGTGGTATCAGATCTGTGTAGAAGTGGTAGGAGGTGGTGTCAGATCTGTGTGGGAGTGATAGGAGGTGGTGTCAGATCTGTGTAGAAGTGGTAGGAGGTGGTATCAGATCTGTGTGGGAGTGGTAGGAGGTGGTGTCAGATCTGTGTGGGAGTGGTAGGAGGTGGTGTCAGATCTGTGGTCTGATTTGAACAACATTTACTCACTCGACACTGATTGTCAGTGGTTTATGGCACTGAACGTGTACATGTGCAGAGTTGCCTCCCTTAGCTTCTGTGGCGTGCCTGCTGGTGTTTAGAGTCCCAGATTCACTGTGATAATGTAATGTGAGCAATGTCTTCTTACCTGTATCACTTTCCTCCAACACTGAGTTTACTTCACTGGTTTCATCCATCACTTTCATTCTTACAATTTGATTCCCACTACACTGCAGTCATGATATGGCTGAAATACTGCTGATGTGACTTTAAGTTTTAACTCACTCACTGCACTGCAGTCATGATATGGCTGAAATACTGCTGATGTGACTTTAAGTTTTAACTCACTCACTGCGCTGCAGTCATGATATGGCTGAAATACTGCTGATGTGACTTTAAGTTTTAACTCACTCACTGCGCTGCAGTCATGATATGGCTGAAATACTGCTGATGTGACTTTGAATTTTAACTCACTCACTACACTGCTAGAGTTCCTGACTGAAAAATATGATGAATTGCTTTGTTTCAGGTGTGAAAGGCACTGATACAACATCTAACAATACATTTGAGGTGATGAAGACACTTGGGGTGGAGGCTGCTCGTACAACCATCATGAACGAGATCGTGTACACCATGGTCAACCATGGCATGAGCATCGACATCAGACATGTCATGTTACTGGCTGACCTTATGACCTTCAAGGTGAATTCAAGTTCATGTTTCCTAAGATCTTATCCAAAAACTGTTGAGCAGTGGTTGACATGGCTTGTGTCACAGTTGTTCAAGCGCAGTAGATATTTTAAGGTGTTATTATGATGTCGTGCAGTTTAAGGAATAGTTTAATATTCAGGAGTAAGATTCTTGAACAAATAGAAAGCAGGGAATTATGATTATAGTTCTTCGTTACAAAGACAAGTTCGGGAATGCATTTTGGGGGAATGAAATAATGTTTTTTATGTTAAAAAATTCTGAAATTCTCAAAATATGAAAGTTTAAAATGTTTAATGTTTTCTGGACATGATTATTTTCAAGGGAGAAGTTCTTGGAATCACCAGATTTGGGCTGGCCAAGATGAAAGACAGTGTGTTGATGCTGGCGTCTGTAAGTATGGCAGTTGTGTGATATCTCATCATCAAGCAGTGTGTAGAGTCAGCACTTTCACCGGCTCACTGCATGGTGTAGACTAGCATATAGCCTTGAATAATATATTTCTCTTTTTAAATTTTGTTTTTCTAATGCTGATTGCTGGACTAGGCTGTTTTTATCATCCTGACTGGGTTTCATAGTCTGATGGATGCCCAGGATTACATCGTATTTAGTTTTGATGACGTGAAATGTTTTCCAGTCTGACAATATGACACTTGTGGAGGCTAACAGATTAATGAACACTATGACTGCTTCGCGATCTGGTGGATAGAGCGTCTGCCGGGAGAGTGGAATGTTGATGGTTTGATCCCCGGCCTCGTCACACCAAAAGACATTACAATATGGTACTTGTTGTTTCTCTGTCTGGTGCTTGGCACTAAGGAGATAAAACAAGGATCGCTACAAGCAGCCACAAACACACACATTGCTGTATGTGCGATAATCTTGACCGTGAAACGCTGTTTCACCTTACCTATGAACAATCACTGTGTTTGTTATGACCGCCCTGACAGAACACGTTCTTTGTTTCAGTTTGAGAAGACTGCGGACCATCTGTTTGACGCGGCGTACTATGGACAGACAGACTCCATCAATGGTGCGTCTGGGATACACATGACCCATTTGTTTTTTTGCATAAAATACTTCAACATCAACAGAATAAAGTATTTCAATTGCATTTTCACGCTGGAATATGGCTGGAATATTGCTGAGAGTGATGGATAAAACCATGCCTGCTCACCTACTCACTCACTCACTCCAGGGGGTTTTAGTACTTGATGATCCCCTTTGAAAATTTAATACATTGCCTTCAAGATTTATACATTGCATATATTAGTTAACACATGAGCTGATATATAGACATTTATCATCCAAACCAGTCATCCTAGGAGATATCACTTGTGTGATGATGAAATTGCATAACCCTGCTCTGCAGACTTGTAGTGACATCACTGGTCTCTCTGCCTCTGAAGCTGGTTAGCTGTATCTTTTACACCCAAGACACTGGTCATTACTGATCGCAAACTGAAAAAGTTGAAAAAAACATTTTGGATGATGATTAGAATCTCACCACATGTCATTTGAAATCAAATATATCTACACTCGATTATGAAATTTATGACGTTTAAGCCACAGAGTTTACGACGTTTTCGATTCATGTTGATATATTTGCTATGGAAAGACATACGGGTGAGATTCTTAATGTCTCACTTTGCATCCCTTTGGAGTTTTGTCTGAAGAACTCGGCTTCTTCCCTTTTTTTGTGTGTGAAATATTTGTGTTTGTATTTCAGGTGTGAGTGAGTGCATTATCATGGGAATCCCGATGACAATAGGCACTGGCCTCTTCAAGCTGCTCTACAGATATCCTTTTTGAAACTCACATAATAAAGTTTTGTACAGGACATGCTCCTCATAACACATCCACTGAAATGGCCTCACGTAGGTTCTGCACTCTCTCTTAAAGCAGCATCTCCTGGTGATAGGGTAACTATTGTTGTTCCTGTATATTGATTTCCTGCTGATACGGTAACACGTGAATATTGTAAGTTGATACTGTGCATCTTCTTGGGTACCATACACACTTGAGTATAATAAACCAATCAGTAATGAGCTTCTAAATTGTCGGAATAAAACAAGCAAAGCATTCAGGCAGCATACTGGTACCTGACCTCTGTATTTCTAAAAGGGACTGATAGGGCAGTTCTGAATGTAAATAATATAGGCAGTACTGTTATGTTGTGGATATTGTATGCACCCTGTCGTTTCTGGGCACCATGGTATGTACACACAAAAGAGAGTATAGCTGAAGGAATATTTGTGTTCTGTTGGGATTTACTGTTGTTAAGTCCCTGAATCAAGCTGGATAAGAAATGAAGCCAAATCATTGGGAAAGCTGACATCTGATTTAGATGCATCGTTAATTTAGACTGGATGGTCAAAAGTTCACCTGACGCGACCTTGGATGGAGAGGTTGTCAGATCTTCACGCAGAGAGGTAAAAACTCTGATATGGTTGAGATCGGCACAAGACAAACCAGGGCTTGATATGATATGTGTGAAGGATTTTGATGACTGAATGAAAAATGAATATTATGACGTATATTTTTGATAATGCATATTGATAGCCAAGTTTTATGACATACATTGTCCTTAACGTGTGCACAGCCGAGAGGAAGCCAGAATTAACGAAACGTCCACTCATCTTTGACAACGATGACTTCCACATCCCCGAAGCATCTGCAGCAACGTGACATTGATCTCTCCTACTACCTGTGTGTCAGTGTGAGAGATGTGATGTACGTAGTTGTTCTTCATGATTCACCATATTCCAGTTTCCTGACAGACTTATTTCAGTTCCAAGATGGGTAGGAACACATTCACTCAGCATGTGCTCATGATAAGTACTAACAAGCATATTTGGAGAAAATGTAAATCAAAAGGAATATGCTTCTCTGATTCTTAAAGAACAAATCATATTGACATTGAAACTGGAAACAGTTACACTTTGGCAAGGCACCAATGGATCTACAATTGGAACCCTTTAATACAGTATAATAATTACAGTCACGGTGTCGGTGTGTGATGCATGTCATGACTCCCATCAGTTGAATGTACAGTACCTGGTGATAGCATTGTGAATCGGAGAAACGGTAAAATGTGTACAGAGTATATATCAACATGGAGGAATGAAACAAGTTATATGAATGGAAATGTCTTGTTTGTCTTTGATATTGTCGGGAGATTGAACGTTTCTATGTTGCACAGTTACACGGAGGAGATACAAACAGGAAGAATTTCATTGACGATGACGAATCTGTGTGAACCAACCCACATTTGAGTCTATCATCAAAAACCATTTTCATTAATAGCTGCATGGCACTATGTGTTCGATAAAACAGATCTGAGGTTTTTATAAGATTTTAAACCCAAATCCGAGGTTTTAAATCTCATAAAAATACGGGGGAACGTGTCTTGTCAAACATATTAACCAAGATAATAATCTGTAACAATCAACATTCTTTTTGTTTCCAACATACATTACATGAGCCTAAATAAACGGACGTAAAATATCTCGTGCAGGCGTACGTTGTCTGAAAAAAGACATCCTGAAAAGCATTGTGGTTTGTCAGCACCCTGTGTCCTAGTGGTTCACTCACTAGTCTACAGATATGAAGGCTGCAAGTTCGATGCACTGAAATATGAAGAAAATATTTGTCATTTGAATTTACACGATTCTGCACATTTCCTTGATTGCGTTCAAATGCAAAATGCCTCTAGCGAGGAACACACGTTATATTATCGCTTGAACTTGTACATATATAATCCACGGGACATTATATAAAAAGCGTCCTGGGGATATTAAAAGATCTCCGTCTTTAGGCATGCTCTGGGATCCAGGGTTCTTGCCTTGGCAGAAATGCAATGAGTCAGTTGTTATATTTTATCCAACACATGTTCAATGGTGTTAAGGTACGAATGTTTAGATGCTCAACATCGTGACGTTCCTAACAAACTCCAATGACAAAGGAGCTGTGTGGGGGTGGGCATTATCCTGCTGAAATTCAAATTGACGGTGACTCCTACGCGCAAAGGGAACCATGGATGGCCTCAAAACCCCAGAAGAAAACGAACCCCTGTGGCTTGACAATCAATCTCTGAAAAGACAAATGAATAAGTTGTCATCGTCTCCCAATTGCGAAGATTGATGTTCATGATGTCAATCACTGGATTGTCTGGTCCATACTAATTTTTGTACAGTTTTACAGATGCCGTCATATAGCTGTAATATAGCTGAGAGTGGCGTTAACCAGCAAACAAAATAACATAGATCCTCGCCGAGGCCTTAAATAGGAGTGAGTATGGTTTTACGCCGCTTTTAGCAATATTTCAGCAATATCACGGCGGGGGACACCAGAAATGGGCTTCACTCATTGTACCCATGTCGGGAATCGAACCCGGGTCTTCGGCGTGACGAGCGAACGCTTTAACCACTAGGCTACCCGATCGCCCCCTTTTCTATTGATATGACTCACGTATGCATGCATTGAGCGACTTATACCCTCGATTCAATTTTATGTCAGCATGAATATTATTTGTCTAAGCTACTTACCTCTTAACAACAACAAAACATTCTTCCTCAAACACAAATCTAATAACGTTCGGCAAAAGAACTTTAAAAGCAACACCGCCATCATTAAAGCATCATGAACATTCAACACATTTCAAATCTCACCTTAAAATTCATCTCTTCAATAGATCCATAGCTTGACTAAATATCTTTGAAATCTATATGTTTATAATTTTGATGTAGCTCTTTGTGCACGTTTCAAAGGATGGATTTAGTCCCTTCTATACACATTATTATTCAACTGAATGTAAAGGTTTCGATAGAAGAGAGTGTCTCGCTTGAAATGTTTAAACTTTGAACTTCACATAAAATCACTTTGAATAGGGGACCGCCTCCGTGGTATAGTGGAGGGGAAGGTCAGGGGTTCGATCCCCGGCCCCGTCATACCAAAAGACGTTAAAAGATGGTACTTGTTGTCACCCTGTCTGGCGCTCGGCATGAAGGGGCTAAAACAATGACTGGTCGGCTCGGAATCAGTTAACTGTGTGTGAGTGGGGTATTCATGTTAAACTGCGGCATGGTATCTCAGTGAGCTAGCACTATAAATCGGCATCAGTCCGGACTAGTACAAGCAGCCACACACACACACACCTGCATGCACGTCGCTATATAAGTGCAATAATCTTGGCCGCGACGTTAAACCCCATTTCACCTCACCTCAACACATTGAATAGGAAGTTTACCTCACTCTGAAACAGGAACATACACCATACCTGTTTGCAGATACAGAGTTAATATTAAGGAACGGGCTACGAGGAATTATATGTATATATATAATTATATGGCCTTGGGACCCGAGTTTCGAGTGACTTATTTATATTTTTACTTAACTTCATCCTCTGTGGTCATATCTTACAAATCGTATCAGTGTTCGTCAACTGTAAGGGAGAAGACCCTTCAGATATCACAAGGGTCAGCGTGTAAAACGTCATTTCTATTGCACAGCGAGGCCGATTGATTATTAGTCCTCCAAATATTTCAATCGCAAATAAACAAAACACAGAACTGTTATTTTTTTACCATTCAATAGACAAACACACGCTCATCTACACATGATGTATGTTTGCATTTTCACACATTTTTAAGTCTAAAAATTCCCTAACTGGATATGTAAATATTTAAAACTAATAACTTGATGATGGGGAACTAATAGGCAAAATTTGGCAAAACATATTGGATATGCGCATTTGGCGAAAAGGTCAATGGCATGTAAACTAATGTCCAAAAGAAACGATACCAACTATTTTTTAAAGTATTTTTGTTATAAGTGATTCATTTTATATGAAAACATACTTAAACATATCCCACGTACCAAGCCAAATGTAATCGGCGGGAAAATTTGACAATTTGTGTAGAAAACGAGCACTTTGCAAAAACGTTGTCAAGTGCCGTAGGCACCTAAATGTACGTGCAGATAGATCTACTGTATAAAATTGCTGACCCAACACGATAGGAACACAACACCACCAAGCACAAAGAGAGGGAGAGAGCCGTTGGAATGGCCCAACAGGGAGCGACGCATGCCGTCATTGCCAGAACGTTTGGATGCGCCCGTATAACCGTTACAAGGTTGATGCAATGGTTAAGTCAGACGGGCCGGATAACAGACATGCTTTCGTAACAAAAATGTTATGTACAGTTTGCTTATATTTTTTTTTCTTATAAGTCAGTATTTATTTTGACATTTTGGAATTTAAAATTTATTGTATCTGTTTTGTAATGAAATAATGACTCTAATATGTAAGATAAAGAAAACTTCAGTTCATGTCACACCTTACTTTAAATAGTGGATTCATAATGACAGGTATGTTGATCCATTTCCAGTTTCTAACTTTTTGTGACTCAAATTTACATTGAGATAGCATTAAACCCGTCAAAAACAGGTGCAATACATGTTCTTTCTGTCATTTATGTGACAAGGTGTGCATGAACAACGACATTCTTTCATATGAGTAAATATTCAGTAAGATCCAGATCTACTAGGGCAGTGACCAAACTTCACCAAAGAGATTCACTAAAGTTATAATATTTTGTCAGTGTGGTCTACTCATCTTGAATATGATGATGTTGGCTGATAAAAGTACATGACATCAGTTTTTGTGACCACCCTTGACGTCTGGCTTGAAAAGGACAAGCCGTCATTTGATTTGACAACACAACACAACAGCCATGGTCAAATTCACCAAAGGGACATTACTGTCATCAGAAATGTTTTCTGACAACTTATTTCATTTATAACTTCGGAATAAGGGCTTCTGATACCAAACTTTTGGAAGGCATAAAAACATCATTTAAGAATTATACATCCTATTATTCCTTTAAACAGTATGGCTGTAGTAGCTGATCACACAAGCAAACCTTTTCTAGCTGATGGGGTGAGGTTTTTTTCACATATCCAGGTTGCTGGACTTGTTAGTAAAGTCGGATATATTATATAAGATTGCTTTTAGATGTTTGTTATATGGCAGTGTAATATTTGTTAAACAATAATTGGAACTGTATCAAATTGTTTCTGTTGAGACTCGGTTGAAGCTCGTTGCATTGTATTTAGGCAATGATTAGGTGTCAGGAATGGAGTACTATTTAATGTAAGCGGTGCTGAGGAATTTACTATATTTAGATGCTAGTGTGATTTGCAAACTTCCGGATTACCATGGTCTGAGATAGAGTGTTATGGAAACATATGGAGTATTTTTGACGTGATGGCACTGTGTGGGAATTTCCAGAAGCTAGTTAGACTGTATATAAGGGCACAAGAACGTGCCTCTCGTATCTCTCACACATCATCTCACATTTCATCGCACCAAGACCAGCTTTCGTGTGAAGATCACTTATCACCCTGGATTCCCTGTCTAGGCCTATCTCGGAAGCTTGACCACTGTCGCCGCTGGGTGAATATATCATTATCACTGACTTTTGCTGTCACCACTATTTTTATATTTGATACTGACTACTGCCGTCATATACATATACTAGAATATATACTGTCTATACCATTGAATATTGCGCTACCACTCTTTTGTATACTGTCATTGTAATGTCTGTGCAGTAATTTGTATTGATTTGTAAACAGGGTTGATTTTGTAATACAGTTGTTGATTGTATACGACTTGTTTGTTGTTCACACAAAATGATTTAAGGTACAGATGTCTGGGTTAACATATTGTTTGAATTCAGGAATCGACACATAACACTTTGTCCTATCAGCCATTCAGACTTTAATCTGTTAGGAATATAGTTCATGCAACAGCATTATGTGGATATATGCCTACCCATGAGATGCATGGTAAATTGTGCTCTCCTTTGGAAGGTTTATATGGTTTCATTATGGGTTGTACAACATTAGATGACTTCCTTTTAGGAGGTCGGATGAATACATATGAATATGAAAAGGAGGGGGGGGGGGGGGGGTTGGAGAGAGCTTGGGACCCATGTAACACACGAAAACAGCTATACCATGAACAAAGATTACGTCGTGGAGGGGAGTCTGGGGGCATGATGCATCTTTACGGGTCGTTATTGCAATTAATTGGCTTCCCTGGAGTTATGGCCCTACCTGTTAACTACTCTCAGTATCGTCAGTCAGTCTGACACTCTTGCTGGCACTATTTTAGTTTATACATAGATGCAATGCTTGTGTAGCAGGTTTTTGCTGATGTGCTTAAGGAGGCCTGTTGATGCGAATTCTGGTATGTTGTAGGTGTGTGGTCCTCTGCTTTGTTTAGGTTACCCAGTAACTTTGGGTGGACACACACTACAGCTGTTGTTCTTGTTTTTTGTTCTAATGGTTGGCATAATAACCTTGAATGACACCACACTGTTTCCATCACGTTAACCCTTCAAAACCTTTTCACCCCTTGAGTTACTTATGATCTGTGGGTAACAAAGCGATGGTAACATTCTATTGTGTACTGAATTTACGGAACTCCTGTCAGTAATATTTTTAATTTCATAATATTAGTACGACACTCACGTGTGTTATCGTTATATGTTCACAGCATCTTTGCTCATTGTTGGGCGACTTAATCAACTTTTCCTTTATGTCAAGCAATATTCAAGATGCTCCATCCTTTGGTGTCTACATTCCACATCTTTGGAGGTACAATCGAGCATACTCTTTCTAACAGATTTCAAAGAGCGGCATACGTTTTTTGCTGAAAAGTTGTTTGATCAGACCACCTTCAAGTAAAGCTTTTAATATATTTATGGAAGAGGTGGATGACATTTCCAAATATGACGCATCAGTGACAGAATGATGCATTTTCTTTCTTGGCTTTGTTATATGGCAGTGCATTTTATTGGTAAACAATGATTGTAACTGTATTATATTGATTCAGTAGAAGCTCATTGCATTATATTTGGATAATGATTAGTTGTCAGGAATGTAGTCCTATTAAATGTAAGCAGTCGTGAGGAAGTTACTATATTTAGATGTGTGTGATGTGTAAATTTCAGGAATAGCATGGATGGATGTCAAGCGTTAAAGAAATATGTGGAATATTCTGTGATGTTCTTGTGACACTAAACTGGTCTGGCACTGTGTGGAAAGTTCTGGAAGCTTGTTGGACTATATAAGTGGAGCGGATGCATGCCTGTCTCTCATCTCACACATATCCTCTCACATCTAATTACACCAAGACCAGCTTTCTTGTGAAGATCACTTATCACTCTGGATTCCAAGCCTAGGCAAATCTCGGAAGCCGGACCACTGAATATATTATTATCACTGACTTTTGCAATCACCACCGTTTCCATGTTTGACACTGACCACTGTCATCATATTATATATTGCCACTGAATACTGTACTACCATGCTCTTGCGTACTGCCATTGTAATTGCTGTGCAATAATTTGTATTGATTTGTAAACTTAGTTAATTTTGTGATATAAATATTGTTGAGTGTATACCATTTGTTGGTTGTCTGTTGGTTTCGCACTAAGTTCTTTTACGTATAGATTTCTGGGTTAACATATTTTTCAAACCAAAAGACGTTAAAAGATGGTACTTGTTGATGTCACCATGTCTGGCGCTCGGCATAAAGGGGCTAATACAAGGACTGGTCGGCTAGGTGTCAGTATACTGTGTCTGAGTGGGGTATTCATGTTAAACTGGTCGGCTCGGAGTCAGCATACTGTGTCTGAGTGGGGTATTCGTGTTAAACTGGTCGGCTCGGTGTCAGTATACTGTGTCCGAGTGGGGTATTCATGTTAAACTGCGGCATGGTATCTCAGTGGGCTACCACTATAAATCGGCACCAGTCCGGACTAGTACACGCAGCCACACACATACACACACGCACCTGCATGCACGTCGCTATATAAGTGCAATAATCTTGGACGCGACGTTGAACCAAATTTCACCTCACACAAATGATGTCCGATGCAATTCCTTATTCTGATTTGTAAAAGGTGTTCCCGTGTTTTTTCAGGTGAACAATTGGCTTGCCCTTGAATGTGTTTGTGACGAGTGCCACCGGTGGGGCAGGATACGCTCATCTTTTCGCGAACACCTTGTATCATCACTATTTGATGGTGATTCATGTGCTCATGATGTAGTCGGAATGGTACAATCGACTCTGGTTTTGGCAGAGATTTCTCATGAATATGGAAAGGGTTTTGTGGCTTGTATTTATTTGTTATGATGGCGGGGACCACGATTAGCCAAAGTTGGTGATGTGTCAAACAATCTTTTAGAAACCATACTCTGTGACAATGGCATGTTGTTAAACACTGCAATATTCCAGCTATATGACTGCGGACTGTAAACAATCGAGCCATGACCTGACAATCAAGTGATTGACAAGGCAACTCAGTGACGGGATAGCACGTTTACTGATTTTGTTGAAACATGTTAATTTTGAATTACGTCTGCTGTGTACAGGTGCAGAGACTCTGCTGCTCACAAGTAAAGAAAAACGTTTAACAAATAGGTTGACCCTCCTTGCTGAGATGCATGAGACGATGGACATCTGGCAGGTTTCATAAAGAATCTGTGATCTACAACTTCGTAACAGCTGCAATAAGCCCGTCAAATACAAAGACCCGTGGTAGTCTGGCAGCTAGATTTGCTGTCACCTGGCCTGTAACGGTGCGGAGTTTGGCGGCCATCTGAGTCACACTGTTGGGGGAGGTGAAATCGTCTGCGATGATGTTGAACGTCGTGGATGAAGGTCTTGGCCCATCCAAGCGTGACGTGATGGCATCCATGGATACTTTTCCTACCACTGGACATTGCACACCATCTGAAAAACAACGAAGTACTCAATAGATTAGAGGTGTAACTGATCATTCTTCTTTCAGATTAAGTCATGCCGTTAATTACTTTATGTTGGCGAGACACAACAAGAATTATCTACAACAGAAATATTTCCAATCGTATATACCAACTTTTGACAATAATTAAAAAGAATTCCAACGTTTGCTTGGAAGTTATGATATAAGAGAGAATGAACCATCAATGTAATAACCATGTGTACAGTCGATCGTAGGGGATGTCAATAGAAAGTTATTGGATTAAACTGGTGTGTACAGCAATGCGGATGTGAAGAAATAAAACAAACGACTCAAGCAACATTTGCTGAGGAATGGGATGGACTCCACTAAATATAAAAGAATGCATGTTCCTGCTATTTGCAAACAAGGGAATTAATGTATTATCCTCAGATAAAAACAGTTTCCCTTGGTGTCCAGCAATATTTCAAATTTCAGGATTTGTTCAGTTAAAGGAATGTGTTGCAGAACGTGGACTTGGCTGGGATTTTCTATTGAGACACATTGCATCAATCTCATTTTGGTGGTAGACAACTCCTTTTAAAAATAAATAAATATGAATAATCTTTCTTTTTCGTAGCGTAGTGGTTGAAGCGTTCGTTCGTCACGCCAAAGACCCGGGTTCGATTCCCCACTTGGGTACAATGTGTGAAGCCCATTCCTGGTGCCCTCCTACGTGATATTGCTGGAATATGGCTAAAAGCGATTACACACTCACTCATAATGACTTCAACTTTGAAATAGTCAACTTTCCCATCAATATTCCAGCAACTCCAGTTTTTGGTGCCTTCATTTCACAACTTTTGAGGTATAATCGACTATGCTCTTTCTACGAATATTTCAAAGATGGCTCTTGTTCAAAAGTTGATAAGGGTTACAACATTCAAGGCTTGGGTAAAGCTTTCGAAATGTTTTTTGGCAGACCTGGTGAGGAAATTTACCAAATTTGCATCAGTGCCAAAATTGATGAATGACATTATGAGTTGTACCAACTGATCCCGTGTATTTTCTGGTGAACAGTGTTATGTATGTAACTTGATATTGTAACATGTGATGTCGCTAGAGATTTGCTTTGCATTTGAACACAATCTTCATGTAGAAATGATTTTAAATCAAACAACAGATGTTTCCTTTATGTGATAGATCAGTGGGTCGAAATTGGAACCTTCGTATCTGTACCAATGAGTGAACCACAAGGCTACAGAGATGCTGATACACCACAATGCTTTCAAAAACGTGTTTTCCAAGTTAGTGTACACAAGCAAGAGATATTTCCCGATGTTCAAGGAAAGTAGGTTTGAAACATAACATAGTTCATTAATATTCCGTCAGGTTATGAGCAAGATAAAACACTCTTGGATGTTATGAGATTTGAAACCCTTGAATGTGATTTCTGGTGATTATGGAAAGGAGTTTGTCGCGATATTTCGGCTCTGGTAATAGTAGATAATGATTATTATTATCGAGGACATTAAGACTCGTTGAATTCGAAGATTAGTTGAAGTTTGTTGTGTCGTAATAGGTGATTTGGAAGCCTATACATATCCGTACCCAAGGGACAAAATGTTAGGTATTCCATTTATTTAGGATGAAGGACAGCAAGAATGGGTTTATTACGTTTCACCAGCTTGGAGAATCAAACGCGGACCACATGTGCGACAAACGAATGCAGCATCGTCAAAAGGTTCAGTTCATTGTTCCAATGTCGCCAGTGAAGTAAAATAACGATCATTGTTCCAATGTCGCCAGTGAAGTAAAATAACGATCATAAAGATCGAAATACAAATTCATTGACATGTTGATCGTAGCGCACTCCTTGCAGTGTTGTGTTGAAACACATTGTACTTATTGCAGAACGATGTGAAAGTGTATTTTCGTATCGCGGACCAATGAACTTATGTCACTATTACAAATATGTCTAACACTTCATTTTAGAAACACATTCTTGCAAAGACCTTGCTTTTACTTGCCATGTCAGCAGATCTACTTTAAATGTGAATGCCTTCAGGACATCTTTACTTTCTAAGATATGGACATCATCATTAGACAGGAATATCTCGTGGAATGTCATATAATCTGTACCCTACCTTTCTCCAGAGAAACCACACATTTCCCAGAGTGGAGCACGCTGAAGCCGTCTCCAAAGCCAAGACCGAAGGTCGCTATTGTCTCCTTCCCGTGTGTCCTAATAAATGATAATTTCAGAGTTCCAGACCTCAAAGGTGGGTTCTAGGATGCTATGTAACTGCTGGACAGGAATTAACAAGATATAAGCACCGATCGGATTCCTGGTTAGAATACAATTTAATTCCTAGCAATCTATGCTTGTTGTACAAGGCGACATGTAAGTGGATCAGTTGCTTCACGATACATACGTTTCTTCTCTGCAACGCACAATATTTCACTCGGGTGTAAAACGATATCAATTTTTTCTATTTCTTTTTTAAAAATCCCCCAAACCTTCCCATCCCCAACACCAGAATTACATGTATGTGTTGTCATATCCGACGACCCTGCCCTGGGGTAGTTGTTTGATGAGGGTGGGGCGGGCTCGCCACGAGAGAACGGGTCTGAGGCCCTGGGACTCCACCAACTCAGTATTCTCTATGCTGCCATCTGAAGACACAGAACATGCAATAAACACACTGCCATGGAACCACGGAGGGCGCTACTGAGTCAACCAATTGCTTGCATGAAACCATAAAATCATTTGTTTAATATATTTTCACCCAGTTTACATAGTCATTGAACTTACGGATGTCTGGAATAATGATGCACTGTATGCATTTTAAAACATTCATGTTACATTGTATTTATTTGATTAAATTCAACAGAAGGTCCTTTGAAACTCGTCTTGATTTTTAAAAATATACTTTTATTAATTTTATTGGTGCTTTAATTCGTATTGATTTTTAAAAAATATATCTGTTTCATTATATCATTACCATCTGTTGTAATTCTGTAGAAGGTCTTTTGAAAGTCATTCATGTATAAAAGTTGTTATTCAAGTATTACAAACCATTGACATGGCCATTTGTTGATGTTAGGAAGATAGGATTGTTATATTCTGTAACAAATGTTCTATTTGGGATTACACTTTCTCAGTAAAGTACAAATTCTAGAACATCTATGCTGGCGATTAGGTGCCTCTCTCTGAGAGTGTTGGTTCGTATCCCGGATAGTGTTCAAGCATCAGAAAAGTATCAGTAAAGTATAATAATTCATTTTCGCTTTATCTTATCGACATATTATCATAATTGTGCACTAGCAAATTGTATGTATTATTTTTATTGATACTTTAATTGATTTTTAAAAATATATCCTTTTCATTATATCATTACCATCTGTTGTAATTCTGTATTGCTTCACTCATTGTTTCCTATCATAATTATTTGGAAGTTTTTGTACTCAACAGGCAGGATTGAACCTGATCTATTCACGCGTGATGGAACACAGGGCATTATTAAAGTCTCAAGTACCATGTGGTCGCTTTATTGTCCCATAATGCCTCACAGGCGGAATTATACACCGGAAGTGTCAGGGAATGATCCTTATATCGTAATGTAGCAATTACAATACCTTCAGCGTACTTACGTACACTACAAAGATTATTATTCGATTCCATTTCTGGGTTAATAACTCACAAGTGACTCTATGCTCCATGCGAATGACTCACCCGGAGGCAGACCGTAGAGCAGAGTTCCAAAACGGATGAAATCCAGATCTGTTCCATACCCATGTGCAATCCCTGACGAGCTGGCAACGTGCAGTTTCAGGCCATGCTTCCTGGCAAGTGTAAGTGGGTTGATGTGGTTGAAAGTATATCTGTATCATATTTAATGTATGTTGGATTTATCCTCTTATTTGAAGTGTATGATAGAAGTCAGAAAATGCTTGTGCCCACAGACTCGCCATTTCTATGTTAAAGAAATACCCACAGACGCAATAGATACGCTGAATAACGCACAGCTGCTCAGTCGTAAACTATTTTAGGGCTTCATCGTGGGGTGTCTGGGGACACAGTGAAACGATGTTATGCAAAGCTGTAAATACATTTCCGCCAACTGATCCTTAGATTGTGTTCAGACAATAGGCAATACTACAACAATGTGTATATTAGATTTGGTTATCGTGGGAAGTTGTCCATGTGACATCTGCCAACACTATGTGCGGCTTATTGTTGCGTGTACCTGTAAGGTTCGGTCAGGGACATGAATGTATTGAACTGGTGCTTGGTGAAGTCTGGATTGTCCCAACCCTGGTTAAAATGCGTCATCACACTGTGGACATCCAGGTCATTCTCCAGGCAATACTGGAACGACAAATGAACCATCTACCAAAGTGTTCTCCGTTTGGCAAACACGTACATTCTCTCCTCAAATATGAAAAATATGACATTTGACTGGGTGCAGCAAGACCCGATATCGTGGGTCGTTGCTCACAATATCAACCACTGGCTTGGTTTATGCCATCTATTTTTTCTCAGCAAAGGTTTCAATGAAAATCAGGGTCTTTATCATTTTAAAAATGTGAGGTCAATAAATGCTGTTTAGTGTTAGTTTTAGAGATATATACCCAACAAACATTGTTTTGATAGAAAAGAAATTAAACGATTTGTGTCTTTTCTGCTTTTCAAGATCAAGAAAACACCTTCTCGTACCTAATTTGTCTTAGTGAGTACATGTTTATGGGTGGGCAGACAGAAAATGGCTAAAATATGGTAAGACCCCAATCACCATCACATCAATATCGTAAATATGATAGCTATTCAAACTCGGAATATCTATTCATTTTTAACTAAGCTTGTGCAGTTTTAGATGGGGCCGATGTGGTAGTGTTTGCCAAAAACCCTAGTTCGATCCCCAACCTGGGTAAAATTTGTTATGTCCTTTGTTGTGTTTGGGATATGTGAGTTACATTGTCATAAGGGTTTATTACGATTTCTTGAACCACCGAGGCCCAACAGTGCATGAAATAACTGTGGCGAACTTGCCATACATCCAAGATCTTGAGTAGCTTTTTGCCGAACAGGTAGACAAGTCGATTTGTATGTGTTTTCACAAGACGGCAAAACTATTCAATTAGATATCTTGATTCTATGACGAATAATGATAAAATGGCACACAATGTTGAAGTTGGCTTGTGAATTCATTCTGCCCGACCGTCACCTCTTCATTATATATTGCAGCAAAGGTTCATGCTTTGACGGTTCTACCCTGGTTACAGCAAAAGTATGATTTTGAAATTAGACTGAACACATCAAGCATATGGTTACAGTTTAAAGGGTGAGGTGAAATGGGGTTTAACGTCGCGGCCAAGATTATTGCACTCTTATAGCGACGTGCATGAAGGTGTGTGTGTGTGGCTGCTTGTACTAGTCCGGACTGATGCCGATTTATAGTGCTAGCTCACTGAGATACCATGCCGCAGTTTAACATGAATACCCCACTCACACGCAGTATACTGACTCCGAGCCGACCAGTCCTTGTTTTAGCCCCTTAATGCCGAGCGCCAGACAGGGTAACAACAAGGACCATCTTTTAACGTCTTTTGGTTTGACGCGGCCGGGATTGGACCCCGAACCTTCCGCTCTCCGGGCGGACGCTCTACCACTAGACCACGGAGCAGTTTAAAGGGACATACATGTATCATGAAATCAGAATAACAGTGCAGTTATTATTGCATCTCATCATTTTTTGTTCACTAACATAACTCAAAATAAGGGATATTTATCACATGACTTCTGATCTATACTAAGTCTAATACAACGTTATCGAGTACACATGCGCTTACGCCTTGTTCATGAGTGACCTTGACCTCCAATCACATGTCCTAAAAAATCGACAGGGGTATACAGTTTGTTAAATACGTCATAAGCCCATGGCTGAGAAAGCCAATTGGAGTTCAGATTGGACCAACCACATTAAGCGAGGTTGTTTAGTAATCTTATGTAGTCAACAGCTACCTCTAAAGTAATCGACCCCACCTGTATAAGTGAGGGGAAGTCCTGAGTCTGACACCCATTCCTGGACATCCCCGTGTCTATCTTCAGCACCAGCTGGTGTCTCTTCCTAGCCTGAAACACGAAAAACATGTCACGACGATATTTAAACTTACTATGAAATGTCGAATGAATAAACATGAAGATGTGAATGAGATTGAGTGAATAAATGTTATTTTACGACGCACTCAGCAATATGCCAGCTGTATTACGGTGGCCTGTGAATAGTCTGGGCAATGCATAATGTCACTGAAAACATAGGCAAAGATCCAAGCAAGGAGCCAAGTCAGCCACTCTGACCCTTTTTAGACGTTTCCCACGACAGGCTTGGGTATTTGGGCCCTATTCTTCCCAAGAATTGAATGGTTCACCCACCTGACTCCCGTTCCTGGTGTTCATTGCAGAAGTGACAGTCCGAGACCATTCCTGGAGGAAATTTAATTCTGCCACCGTCGGTGTCAATCTATACTTCACCAGGATGGGGATGTCCTCCTCGACAGCGTTACCTGCGACAAAGACGTTCATGAAGTTTCACTATTTTAGATATACTACAATAGAACATTAATCCAATTATGACGATATAACCTGTGTAATTCAAATATTAGAGGCGATGACATGACACAACAGGGCATAACCTGCAGCTGAGGTACGTTGAGAAGACCAAATAACGTATACCGAAGACCTGTATGTGTCCCTTTATGCCTGCCTGCCTCAGCTGAGCGCCTTCCTCGGGGATGGCGACGGCGAAATGCCCGACCCCCCGGGACTCCAGATATCTGGATATCTCCACACTGCCGTGACCGTAAGCGTTGCCTTTCACCACTGCTATAATGTCTGTTGACAAAAGAGCTAACATTGGTTTCTGGTTTTATTGTCGTAACTATCAACTGAGTCTTATAGTAAATCTGTATTTGCCGAGTGGTTAGATATTTGAATGACTACTTTTGTAACCAGTTATCTGTATGGATAAACTGATGTACAAAAGTAAAATGGTTTTCTTTAAAGCTTTGGACAAAGACTTAACAAAAGTTACTTTCTTAAGTGATATCGAAATATTTCGGCCAAAATACTGAGAGAAAAATAATCAACATTAGATTCCAGGTTTTAAAACAAAATAGGATTTCATCATAAGGAGATATATAGATACATGCCAAAATTCAGCTTCCTCAATCTGGCAATTTCAGAGGAGAAGACTTTTCGGAGGAACCAAAAAGAACACTACAGAACATTATATTTTGAATACACATTGCTGAAAAATGTCCAGTAAAGGGTGTATCTATATTTCTGTGGCAGCTATATTGAAGTTAGAATTCAAACCTCTTGGGATGCCATAAAAAACACCATGACGCTTAAGCTTCATGGGTAGATCATGTTAACAAAGAAATGCATTTCCATCGAATTCAAGAGCATGGTCCAAACGGAAAAGTCATATCTTGGTCAAACTAAGTCCCTTAACATATACCACATTCTTACAGTCTGAACAAGATGGCCGAGTAATGTTAGGGAATGTTGCGTTTTTTTCAATATAGCTGCCGTTGCGGCCATATTTCTTTGGTAACTTCTCCTAATTGTCGTAGTTCTTTGCGTAGAATTTTCAGTGGTCCATTCATATATTTTTAACAGCAAATTTACTTTCACGCCAAATTGAATGTGTTTCGCTCTAGACTGGACATTCTCTTGCATTGACAATTCAAATTTGTCAACTGAAACCACTCGCTTGTATTTCTTTGCTACGGTTTAGGCCAAATGTTTCCACTGTATCTTCTGAAGGTATAGGGACGGTCGGGTAGCCTAGTAGTTAAAGCGTTCGCTCGTCGCGCCAAAGACCCGGGTTCGATTCCCGACATGGGTACAATGTATGAAGTCCATTTCTGGTGTCCCCCGCCGTGATATTGCTGGAATATTGCTAAAAGCGGTGAAAAACCACACTCACTCACTCACTCACTCAATCTGAAGGTATCATCCTGGGTTACATTTCGCATAGATAACTGGTCAATTGGTTCCTGGATATTTTCAGTCATGTCAGCTTCTGATCCGGTGCCAACATTCAGGCTACACGTTAAGCGGAAAGCTATGAAGTGTATCATTTGAAATGGACCCAAAACTAATCCCAATAGTGCGGGCGACATGCATTACTGTAACACGTCAGTCAGCCATTAACCATGCGGTGGACAGCCTCAACTTGAGTTTAAGACTCTAGTAGTACCAGAACAAAGGTCAGCTCCTGTGCTATTCTCCCAAGTATAAATTCAGCATCATATATCTTTGAGGCCACGACCCTTTTGATTTACCCTCATACATGTTCCTCATGTTAAGTGTTGTTATGGACCGCCATAGAGGTAGAGCGTCCGCCCGGAGAGCGGCAGAGCATTTTACGGGAAGGAAAAGGTCGAATCCGATTTAATGTCATCAGGTATTTATGTGAAGGATATGTATTGTTTGTGCTATGTGACAGTATGTATTGTAAACTATATCATTGTGACAGTAGATGGGGGAGCTCGTAAAATATCGAACTTTGTACTAGGTAGATGTTTTCTTTTAGCGGCCCACGGCAGCTCGTCGTAAACGTTGGTGGAACCTATAACCACCTGGTATGTAGAGTATCCGATTTACCCGTCCCAGCCCTACTCGTGTGGTCTTGACACACCAACGGTCATAACCGGGACGAATCTTGGGTTCAAACTCACGACAAACACTTCACACTGCGGCTGAAAATGTCAACTGTCGACGAAGAAATGATTTCTAAATTGAATCCATTCCAACTTAAAGGGGGGGATTAATTTGAAATATATTTAAAGTATTCGGAGTTGATTACAACCAGGTAACTTACACACGAAAAACGTTATATAAATTATCAGTGTCAGTTCCTTGTATATGGATGTGCTACAGGTACCTGTCTGTGGTGAACACTGGCGTCTGAGAATGGCGAGATTCTTGTCAAGGACGTTGAGATCTATACGGAGGTACGTCCGGCGTCCCACCAATGTATATATCTGTGCGTCTATGGCCTTGAACTTGCCTTCCATGTTCTTTGTCGTAGATGGTTCCTAATGGTGTTACACGTAGTATGTCAAACCTGGTATGTCCATTTCCGATATTTGTCAAAACTTGTTTTAACAAGTACCATTTTCGACTGATCATACGCCAATATATATATAAGTCCAAATAATGTTAATTAAATGTACGTTTACAGCTGCGATGACGTTAACGATTGTCAGGATGCTGGAATAACTCTGAAGATCGTCCAGTGACCATATCCCACTTTGGGTATTGACAAAAAGAAATATACATGACATTCTAGGTAAAACATACCTTGATACGGTGTCGGCAAAGCTTTCTCAGGCAGCAGTTGATGGCAAATCGATAAGGCAGTCTGAAATAGAATAAAACAAAACACATTGAAGCAAATTAGCTTGATATAACTACAGGTAATAGATAAGGAAACATACGCCACACAGCAACTGATTGATTAGCATGGAAATGTTTTATTGAAAAACAATAAAAGTGAAACTTCTCTAAATAAATGAACACAGATATGATTCGTAGACAAAAATGATCCGTTTAACCGTAAAAAAAACTGTTGTTTATCGTAAGCCGTCTTCACCGTCTTCACCGCTTCACCATTTAACAAGTTCACTTCACACAGGCGATAGGTAATTACCATATGATGACGTGCGGTTCCTACTTCAGCCAACTCTCTTGTGTCAGGTTTATGTTTCGGATAGCTGAGAACATGGACGTCCGGTTCCTACTTCAGCCAACTCTCTTGTGTTAGGTTTATGTTTCGGATAGCTGAGAACATGGATGTCCGGTTTCCTACTTTAGCCAACTCTCTTGTGTTAGGTTTATGTTTCGGATAGCTGAGAACATGGAAGTCCGGTTCCTACTTCAGCCAACTCTCTTGTGTTAGGTTTATGTTTCGGATAGCTGAGAACATGGACGTCCGGTTCCTACTTCAGCCAACTCTATTGTGTTAGGTTTATGTTGCGGATAGCTGAGAACATGGACGTCCGGTTCCTACTTCAGCAAACTCTCTTGTGTCAGGTTTATGTTTCGGATAGCTGAGAACATGGACGTCCGGTTCCTACTTCAGCCATCTCTCTTGTGTTAGGTTTATGTTTCAGATAGCTGAGAACATGGATGTCCGGTTCCTACTTCAGCCAACTCTCTTGTGTCAGGTTTATGTTTCAGATAGCTGAGAACATGGATGTCCGGTTCCTACTTCAGCCAACTCTCTTGTGTCAGGTTTATGTTTCAGATAGCTGAGAACATGGACGTCCGGTTCCTACTTCAGCCAACTCTCTTGTGTCAGGTTTATGTTTCGGATAGCTGAGAACATGGATGTCCTGTTCCTACTTCAGCCAACTCTCTTGTGTTAGGTTTATGTTTCGGATAGCTGAGAACATTGACGTGCGGTGCCTACTTCAGCCAACTCTCTTGTGTCAGGTTTATGTTTCGGATAGCTGAGAACATGGACGTCCGGTTCCTACTTCAGCCAACTCTCTTGTGTTAGGTTTATGTTTCAGATAGCTGAGAACATGTGGAGAAAGGGCACTTATGTCTATGGGTCCAAATTGATCAAGAAGGTACTTTTGTGTTTTTAATGTTCAAATCCTGTCATCCTACGACCAAGGTCATCAAATTAACTATGCAGAATAACTCAAAAATAGTATGTGGCAGTGTAGTCTGTTGTTAAAAATTGTTATAATTGTATTATATTATAATATGTATGTAAGCAGTGGTGTGGATGTTCCTATATTAAGATGCTTTTGGAGTCAGTTGTAATTTGGAATCTTCTAGAATAGCTAGACTATCCCAGCACTGTTTAAATCTTATAGGAGGTATTTAGACCTAATAAAGGGGAAAGAATGTGGTTCCCTCATCTCACATTACATCTCTCATTATATCAAGACCAACGGTAGTGTGAAGATAATTGTTTTCACTCTGGATATCATGCCTATGCCTACTTTGGAAGCATGACCAGTGTTGCTGTGTGGTGAATATTATTACCACTGCTATTATATTTTTTACTGTCATTGTTATTGTACTGCCAATGAGGCTCGTGAGGATCAATGTTACAGTTGCAATCATGCAACTAAAGAGATGGCCACTGATTAACACACTATTAGATGAAACCAAGAAACCAAGATGTGAGATGAGGTGAAATGGAGTTGGGTACCATGTGTGAAGCTCATTTATGGTGTGATATTGCTGGAATAATTCTTAAAGCGGCGTAAAACCATTGTCACACACTCAAGATTATTGCGACTGCAATGTACTACTCCACAATAATGCTGGTTTTACGCTGAGACACCATGCCGCACAGTATACTGATTCCGTGCCGATCAGTCTTAGTTTTATCCCCAAAATACCTGGCACCAGATCAGGCAACAACAAATAACATATTTTGACGTCTTTTTAGTATGACGCGGGCGGAATTCGAACCACCGACCTTCCGCTCTCTGGGCAGAGCCTCTATCCACTAGGTCACGGAGGCAGTTGCTAACATGGGATGACTCATGTTCGACGTAGTTTTCCGAGCCTGACATCTGAATGGATGAACGTGAACTGTCATATAAACTAGAGCTACACCTACTTTATCACATATAAAAAGTCAGCGCCAGAGAATAAGTCTCGAGTACCTGCCGAAACATATACATATGTACGGTCCCTCACTTTTCACACCCCTTACCGGACCATATATTGTCCAATGAAATTGTCCGTTTTTTTTTATTTCGACATCAAACACTGAGTAAGCAAAATCAAAATTATAACCATCTAAGCTTTAACATCGCGTAATTCAGTGTTATATTATAGAGTGCTACGGGTGGTGACATATGGTGAGATCAATAAAGTGGTTGTGGTGCTTCTCGTAATTGTTCTGCCATGTTTGAATTTCAAGCGAATGATAATTTTGACTATGCACTCATCTCGCATTCACGTAATTATGTTAGTATCGGCCAATTTGAAAATGAAATCAGATCAGACTGTTTAGAAAGATTTACTTGTCTCCAAGAGTTACTTTTGATCTACCTGATCCTGTGAATGAATTACCCTAACCGTTTCACATTTTGTTGCAAAAGTGGATTTTGTGCGGCCACAACATCTAAACGTGAGTCAATCTTCATTAACAGTACTGAAAAGCCATAGGCATATAGTACATATATGCATACAGTAGCAATGGGTGCAATAGGAATAAATATACCGGAGATAATATCACATCTATAATACAGAAGATCTGTTGTACATTGTATGGTATATATACATTGCAAGATATTGGATGACTGTATTATTTTCACATGACATGAGGATATAAAATGTGTCTATTCGAGGATTCAAGTAAAAATATTTCTTTATCTATTCTTTCTGATATCTGCATACAATGGACAAAGAAGCAAACAAATGGAACTCATCTTCTATCTCCTGACAAAAACAATATTAACACAATCGGATTTTCCTTGATATCTCGTAATGTCTACCTTTTTCAATTAGAAGGTCATGAGAACTACATCTGAACCAGGATAATGCTGTTCAAAATGTCTTAATATTTATGTCTTAAAGATATTTTTAATAAGAATGAATACTTTAAAACACGAATAATTATTGTGTAAACATAGTGAAGAGTAACACTTTTGAAAATACGTATCTATTGGCCTTTGTCTTAAATTAAATATGAAATGATCTAACGCTGTTACATGTTGTTCTATCCAAATGTCATCATACCCACAAGATTGGAGTTATGTTTACCTCCACTATCGTAAAGAATCAACATGTTTTGGAATTTCTTTGGGATTCTTGTACTTGGCCTTTTAAGCAATTGTATCTAATATTCTACCATGACATTGATGAATGCTTGATTCTGATTGGTTAAAAAGAGGTTTCCGTTTTGCTACGGAAACCCCTTTCAAATATATTAAGCTTTTTAATAAAAAACGTGCGCATGAATATATAGAAAGCCTACATATCGATTCATAAAAAAATGGCTGCCGATCGATCACCCCCATATAAACTGTAAAACGAATCTTTATTTTCTCTTATCCACGCTGGGTCTCTAATACCAGCCAGCTCTCTAATACACGCCGAGTCAAGGGCTCTCGCGAAATTAATAGACGGCGTAGCGTCAAATAGAGGAAATGCGGTAGTTTGATATCGGATGTTTGGGGCGTTCTAGGCCGCAACCCTGACTGCTTCGATGATGACATATAAAAAGATTTAACAAAGCCATATCTATAAAATGAAATGTTTATGGAACTGTTAGAGAAATGTTTTATGGTGACCAGAATCGGAACAATTTAAGCTATTTCCTCATTGAAACAACTGACAATGAAAGTAAAATATAACATTATAAAAATTGTTTGAATAAAACTTTATTCATGACAACATGTTGTTTACAAACCTTTTTCTGATAGATATTCGTTGCTATATCCGTCAACCACCACCGTTAGAATTTGGCAGGAGGGGATTTTAAAGTCCATCAGAAAACATTACCCTTCGAAAGTCCACGAAAACAATGTCCCAGCTGAAGTGACAGCTTATCAAACTTGATAAAATTCATTTCAGAACACGCACAATTAAGAAAATCATACAGTATCCACTATTTCTGAGACGCAAATGTCTAAGTTCTGTCACTATTTGGCTTTGGATCCGTGAAATCTTGAAATTGACAGGTCAGACGGCTCGCCTGCAGCCTAAAAAGTCACATTGGTAATCATATGGATGTACCAGCAGGCTTGATCAATCCCAGATAATCTACATGTTAATGTTGAACCACATCATAGATCGGGATTGTCATCTTGCTTCATTCTATAACTCGTTACGGAGAATGTAAACACAAGATTGTCAGCCATTGACAGCTGTGAGATGTGAGTAACCGTGATGTAGGTCAAGTTCTGCCACATCCAGGTTTGGGGTGGAGAGGCATTTATCTTGATTTTATTATTGTTTACTGGGGGTAATTGCTAACTAACTAATAACACTTACACATGTTAAATATATTATAGAATGTTAATTCATAAAGTTTGTTGTAGAAATATACATTTAGCATTTTAAAACCTTTTTCTTTAACCCGTCACCCCTTCAGTAGAAATGATGGCATGTTCGATTTCCAAGAAATGACCTCTCTCGCAAAATTCCGAGAAATGACAGTCAGTCCACACTGTACAGCAGTGTACAACAGTTTGGTAGAAATTAAAACATCTCTCTTTGGGCTAAGTTTGAAGTGTTATTTGTCAACTTCTTTTGAAAAACTATGTGTTTTGAACACTTATCATGAGCTACTCATGACTATGGTGTTTTTAATCTTGAACTTTAGTAATAATTGTTACTTAATTTCAAAATTGTTATTTAATTGTTAGTTAATTTCAAAACACAGT